AAGATGTATTTTTCACAGAAATTGAAAATAAATCAATTACCACGGCAGAAGTGAGGGAAAAGATTCAAGAGCATCCCGTCCTCTGTCGTCTTGACCCAAGAAAGGTCTATGACAAGATTCGAAGTGAGTGGCGCTTTAATGACAAAAGCAATTCCCAACCTTCAAATATTGATGACGACAAACCTTCAGCTGAACAGCCCCCAAAAAGTCCTGAACTGCCCAAAGAAAGTGACTCTTTATCCGACAAGGTGTCCTGCTTCTTTTCCAATGAAGAGAGCAGTATGTCGATGGTATCTCCTTCAAATTCAAGCTATGTGTTGAGGAACATCTTCAGTGATGATCACAGGAAGTACCTACTTAAGTTATGTGGTGGCATGGTAAAACCAGGGGTAATATCCCAAACTGCCGTCAAAGATATGCTTGGCAAAGAGGAGGAGGGGAAAGCGATGTTACGCGAGTTCAAATTGAAGCAAATAATACATCGTTTGAAATACAAGAGGAGGTTGAATCAGAAGAAATGAACAATTTACCAAGCAACGCTTTATGTCAGCTAAATTGTAAGGCTAGCATGAAAACCGTAGATAGTGACGATGCTGGTAGGTTAGTTTGTATTCTTAAGAGAAACAATCTATTTTTAATGTAGATTAACTTTCACGCCGTTACATGAAAAACAAGTTACATTAAACTTATTAATTAGCATGAAAACTGCAGAGAGTGACTCTGCTTAAAGGTTAGTTTATATTTCTAAAGGGAAAACAAAGTATGTTTAAAATTGACTTTTTTATTCTCGCCGTTACACGAGAAGCAGATTACGTAAAAGTTGTGAATTAGCATACGAGTGACTCTGCTTAAAGATTAGTTTATACTTCTAAAGAGAAAACAAAGGACGTTTAAAATTAACTATTTTTCACGCCGTTACATGAGAAACAGGTTACGTTAAAGTTTTGAATTAGCATGAAGACTGCAGAGAGTGACTCTGCTTATAGGTTAGTTTGTATTTGTAAAAAGAAAACAAAAATACCTTCAATATAGATTAACTATCTCCCCGTTACATGAGAAACAGGTTACATTTAAGATATTATATTAGCATGAAAACTGCAGAGAGTGACTCTGCGTATAGGTTAGTTTTATCTCTAAAGAGAAAGCAAAGTACGTCCAATGTTACACGAGAAACAGGTTACGTTAAACGAGAAATAGGTTACGTTAAAGTAGTGAATTAGCATGAAGACTGCAGAGAGTGACTCTACTTATAGGTTAGTTTGTATTTGTAAAAAGAAAAAAAAATACGTTCAATATAGATGAACTATCTCGCTGGAGAGTAAAGGATACCAGTCAATGACCAAGGAAGCAGAAAAGTATGCAGAAGAGTACGGCCTGCAGTTACAGCTTAAACAAACAAAACACAAAAACCATGATGGAAAACTAGTTTCTGAATAAGCTGCAACATGACAGTTTTGACCAGAGCCCTTGATTTCTAGTGCCAAACAAAAGGATTACAACCCAGGAATTGAGATTGTGTAATATTTAATTATTGTTAATGGTCAGTGAAAACAGAGATTAGCTTCTGAGTCCATGTTCCATGCCTACTTGAAAGGTCTTTTAACAGTTTTCTAAAAAATGATTCTTTCACTTAGTCCCTTTATAACATTGTGTAAAAATGAACAGTGATAGACCTATTGACAAATCTAGACCTGGGGGAGGGGTGAATGAGTAACTAAATTGCCCATAAGAGACGCCATATTGGATTTTGATGGGAATGTTTTTTGGGCCGGGTAAGAGGAAAGGATTTTCCTCCTTTAAAGTGGTAGACAGATCAAATAAAACCCGGAAATCCACCGTCCAACTTCCTTCTACTCTGCCTCTGGAAAAAGAGCAACATCGTAGTGTGGAAGATGTGGAACAAGGTGAAGAAGAGGAACATCCGTGCGCTTTTTGTGATGGTGACCCGCCAGATTCCGACGATGATGTGGTGCCCACTTCCTCCACCAGCTCCTACAAAATGCGCAAGGAAAGGCTCCACAAAAACTGGGAATCCTTGCGATCCACATTGCTGAAGTTCTCTGTTGAAATGGAAGGTTTCGTGCCCCATCAATGTAATTGTGGTAAAACGGTGGAAAGTCGATGCAGGGATTGTAGCTTTACGGCATACTTCTGCCTTGATTGCTGTAATCACCTGCATCAGACCAAACATCATTTTCATCACCCAGAAATAATACAGGTATGCATGACCTTTATAATTATCAATTTTGTTTTTTGCCCAGAAGAGTAACCCGGGTTTAAGAAATTTATTAAGCTTGTCTTTTTTTTAATACTGAATTTTTCAGGACGGTGTTTGGAAATTGCACACTGTTCCTGACAGGACATTGAGTAATCCCTATCATTCTTGCTCATTTTCCTACACAAGGGAAATAACGGTTATAGATGAAAGAGGTAAAGCTATCCCTAAAGACCAAACCATGATTGTTGTTCATGTTAATGTAGTCCTGGTATTCACTTTTTGCAGTTATTTAATATATTGTAAACATTTATATTGTTTTGGTGAGCTTAATTCTAAGGTTATTAAAATATCGGTATAAAGTCAGCAATGTTCTTCCTTGCTGAATATTTTTTTCTAAAGGTGGTCAGTATCTATTGAAGATTCTCTGTTGCACTTGTTTTAGTGTGGCAGAGAGTTTTCTGTTTCAAGGTTTGTGGCCTGCTACGCCAGTGGAACCAACCTTGGCATTCACCACAAGTCTGATGGAATTTACCCTGGCACTTGTGATGGAACGCCAAGTTTCCATTTTTGATCTTGTGAAGGCCTTAGACTTCTACTCCCACCCTCTCATAAAGGTTCGTTATAGGTTTAGCTGTAAACGACTCCATCGTGTGATAGTTATACACATAAACATGCTAAATGTGACTTTATTTGTAGATTGGAATTTTTATTTTCAGTTCTCGAAATGACAATAATCTTAAATATAAAATAACTGTCATGATATTCATTGTAACTGATGGCGAGATGACTGTTAAGCCGCACATGCATGAATCACTATTGTGAATACTGGTACTTGTAGCCCGCAAATAAATGGCTCTCATTGAGATGCACGATTACTGGTTTATAAAATATTGTGATGGTTTGCTTACCTATCGACCCGTGAATTTTTGAGAGGTAAATAAAGGCTTAGAAATATTTATAACTTATCGATCATATCCAATCAACAAATCATCAGACAAGTGCCTCGAACATTAAACAAAGTAGAATACCTTTTATTATTAGTGATACTCACCTTGAAAATGATCGATAAACCAAATTTACGACCAGAAAGGTGTCGGCTAATTGCACAGATAAAGCGTGTGAGCTTGCAAATAAAGGAAAAATATATCTCTTCTGAATCGATCGATCCGAATTAGCGCGCCAGTGATACGTAGATTACACACGACATTTTAGCTACTCATTCACCCCTCCCCCAGGTCTAGATTTGTCAATAGGTCTATCCCGATTACAATGCATTAATTGACTGGTTACAACGTCATTACAAGTCCAGTAGTTACTGGGTTACAACGTGAGGAACGGGTGAAATAGTCGGCTTTAACATTCAGAAAATGACTAAACGGAAGTTTTATGGCACTTACCTACATGACCTAACATCCCATGCACCAATGCAACTAAGAATCATCTCAGAACGCTCTTCACATCCCGAAAAAGAAGAGAGAACATTCAATACAGTCAAATCAATTACTAACAACACATTATGCTATCGCCCTGGCCACATCATCAGCAACATATTTATTCGCTTACAGGCCAAAGAAAAAACTCCATGTGGGGTAAATTTGGTCAGCGTACCAACAAGACGCAAGTCTGGGAATTTGATGACCCGCAAAAGTTTTCCACCTTCTGCAACAGCGACACCCTCCAAATCAAGTACGTGTGTATCCAATCAGACGACCACGTGGAAGTACAGTACACTCTACAAGAGGAAGACGAATCCATCTCACCCAACCTAAACATGTCTGTCCTAAGCCTGTTCCACGACCTGTTGGGCTCGTCTTAAACTCTACGACGCTCTCGACATGTTAAAAGAACATGTGCTGTACAAAGACATGGACTTGGTCGTGTTCCTTTCCGCCAAGGGAATGCCCGACCCACCACTGGGAGATTATCTGGGAGACTTTAAGGACGAATTGCCGCCAGACGACTACATAATAGAATTTGCTTCCGGAGGTCCCAAGAACTACGGGTACAAGACCCACAAAGGTAAAGAGGAATGTAAAGTCCGAGGTATCACGCTCAATAGCTTGGGGAAGAGATACGTGAATTTCGAAGTCCTCAAGAACAACGTACTGGAAGACTTGACTTCCCCACTGGAGTCTGGCGAAGCGCGCGTCACTGCCGTGCCCATACCATTCAAAATCGTGAGGAACGCCGAAGAATATCAACCATCCACCATGGCCCAACAAAAGAAATACAAGTTGGTCTTCCCGTATGGGTATGAGCGGTGGACGGAAGAGGACGCGCACGTGACCGAACTGCTCGCTTCTCTCTAACTCTTATTCCGACAGTCACCTAGCTTCATCTCACCTCTTTAAAAAAAAAAGTGTAAATAGTACCAGTGACAATGAGTCAAGATGACTACTCGATGATACCCACCCGATCTAAATAAATTCTCCTAGCTAGAATTGATGACGTCATCATTTACGTCATAGGTCAGGTTGGGAGAATTCGAAAAATTCAGCCCTGAGTGAGCGGATACCACTACTATCGTGAGTATCGCTCCACGATTGCTTACACAAGGGACCGTCCCTCAACCCTTTAATGTTCGACATTCTGATTAGATTCCGAGAGAAAAGAGTAGCGCTCGTCGGTGATATAGAGAACAAATTTTATGAGTTTGTCATTTTCATTACCGCAGACTGGGGAGAGGGTAATGTCCTCTAAAGGGAACTGAACATTATGCATAGTTAATACACCGAATGCAAATATGGCGGACCACTTGGGAGGACTGGGTCTAGTTGCGCGAAAGCGAGGCTAGTGAGGCCTCGAGTTTGTTTTGACAACGCGTCCTTCGAGTCCATCGAGTAAGTGTTTTGTAGTCGTTCTGTTCTACGCTTTTCGATATGGTTACGAGTTGTTGTGTCCCTGAATGCAATCAGAAAGGAAAGAAGCCGCCCACAGGAGAGAAAGTTTCTTTCTTTGAATTCCCACGCACTCCTACGAGGAGAAAACAGTGGATTCACGCAATTCGCCGTGAAGAAGGAAAGGATTTTAAGATCGTCGATGGAACAAAAGTTTGTTCCCTTCATTTTAGGCGAGAAGATTTAAGAAAATCATTCAATGGACGGGCTTATGTGGTTCCCGGTGGCGTTCCAACCAGATTTTCGTCGTCAGTTCCATCTCCAAGGAAAAGAAAAGCTCCTCCAGAAAGACATCCTCTGCCTCAGAAGAAATTATTTGCAACAACGTCTGCTTCCTCTGATCACACCGAGTTACATGTAGTGAGCGAAACAGATATCACGGCGGAATCACTTTCCAAGTCGACGGCAACTGCCTCTAACCGAAATACTGAGCCAAACGATACTTGTTCGGAGTTAAATGCGCCAAAAAAGATCGAGGAACTGGAAGAGGAGGTGTTAAAACTTCGACAGGAAAACACTGAGCTAAAAAAGAAATTGGACGAGGTAGAGAAACAGAACGAGGCTATCTCGGCCCGACTATTTTCTCTGGAACGCTTTACATCAGACGCTGACATCAACTTTTATACTGGCCTTCCAAATTATGCTACTTTCCTCGCCTTATTTAACTTTTTGAACCCGGGTGAAAATGGAGAAAACATTCGTCCAAGAAGCACCTTAAAAGATGTGCCAGAGGATTTTTATGATGTGGACTCTGATGATGAAGAAAACATTTCACCTGCAAAGAAAGGACGCCCACGAAAACTCAAACCAGTTGAAGAATTTTTATTGTCTTATGCCGCCTGAGGAGAGGCTTTTCAGAGCGCCATTTAGCTCACTTGTATGGTGTTGCCCAGTCCACCATAAGCAGGCTTTTTTGTGCCATGGATTAATTTCATGTATCTGAAATTTGGCCAGGTTTGCATCTGGCCTCCTAAGTCAGTTGTTCAGGCAACTATGCCTGCAGATTTCAAAGAAAAATTTCTCTCAACGCGAGTCATTATTGACTGCACAGAGGTCTTTTGTGAAATGCCAAGCAGTTTGCTTTTGAACTCTGAACTTTTCAGCTCGTACAAAAACCATGTGACATTGAAAGGACTTGTCGGTATTGCACCAAGTGGAGCTATTACATTTTGCAGTCAACTTTATACGGCAGCATCTCTGACCTTGAAATTGTTTTACGGAGTGGATTTTTGTCCCAATCCTTTGAAGATGGTGACTCTGTTATGGCAGACAAGGGATTTCAGATACAAGACATCCTGCCCCTTGGTGTGGATCTGAATATCCCACCCTTTTTAGGCAGTGATGCTCAAATGTCTGCCGAAGATGTTGTTAGGACACAGCAGATTGCAAGTCTTCGGATACCCGTCGAAAGGGCCATCAACAAGATAAAGAACTTCCGAATTTGGAATGGAGTTGTTCCTCTGAGTTTATTTAGTGTCGTTAACCAAATGTGGACTGTTTGTGCTTTCCTGTGCAACGCTCAGGATCCACTCATATCTAATATCACATGATCTGCTTATGTTTATTGTTTTACTAAGCCAATGTTGTTGTTTTCATTTATCTTTAGTTAAAATATTTTTCAAACCAGTTTTGTTTTTGTCACTTTTTGTGTTTAAAACATGATATTTAGAAACATACAAAATCATAAATCAAACTGGTTTGAAAAATGCAAAACCAAAAATAAATATGAACCACAACAGTAAAATTGACTTGACGGCAGGGCTAGTTATAACACTTAAATGTCCTGCTAACCTAAAAGTTTAGCATTTGCACAACATGGCCAGAAATCGAGGACAACATGGCCCCTAAGCATGCGCACTCCTAGCAATTTGTGGACTTTAAATATGGCAGCTTCATAAAAACTTTGTATGAGAGAAGTAAGAAATCCATTTGTAATTAAATCGTACATGTGAAAAGTCAAGTTCCACACATCTAAAACATGATAAAACACCCTAAACATACCTCACGCAAAGTCGCTCGCAGTAACGACGTGCCAAAATTCGGCAGCAGTGGACCATCTTTTGGGCTTTTCGTGGCGACTTAGCGGTCTTAAATTGGTAATTGATTACATACTTTCATTCCCAACAAGTTTGCCGTACGTGTCCATGAACCAACTCCACACATCTTAACTTCCTCTACGAAGGTTGCTCCTCAATTCCACAGCTATTTGAAAGCTCGTAAGTTCTCCAACATTCGGCGAAATAGATCTGAATAATGCGGAAATTCAAGTTTCGAATGAGAGCATCTCGCTGAGAAAATTTGGCTGCAAAGCGGTGCAAACATGTGTCTTAATCATGACAAGAAAACCTCCGAAATCGGTGTCAACAAACCGCCATTTTGTGAAGCTTTAATAGGCAATTACCGCTGTTTAAGAGCCACTGAAGGCTCCAGAAACGTGATAAAATGCAAATTTTTTGCTGTTTATGGCCTTCGCACAATTCCTGTAGTGTGAAATTAAGTCTCAGAACATTGATTTGGCTTGGAACTAATTCGTTTATTAGTAGACGTAAAATTTAAAATTATAGAATGTCTGACAGACCTCCACTGGAATCCTTTTTAAAATGGAAATTGAGCATCGAAAGCCCCTCTTTAAATTATGCTGCAAAGGCAGTCACAAAAAATGTCATTGTGGCAGTGGATATTCCCTATCCATTGATAAAGGCTTGGCATGAATTCCTAGGGTTGCAGAAGAAGGTTAGAAAGACAGCTGCTGTGGCAAGTCAGCCTAATCAGTCAGCATCAACTAGCAGTGATCTAAGTCCTGCAGCAGTCCAGGAATACACCTATGTTGACCTTTTTGAGTATTGTATTCCTCATCATACCTTTGCCATAACTGCTGATGAGCAAATACGAAAAGAAGTAAACAATACCCTTGCAAAAATTGCTGGAATGGTCCAGAATTTATATGCAAAGGCCAAAGGAGGTAGCAAGAGAGAGGAACTTAACTCAAAAGTGAGAAGATTCCACATTTTTGAAGGACAAACACTTTCAGTAACTTGCTTGAGGGAAGAAACTGAGGCTATTAGAGATGAACTGGAGGAGTGGAAGCAGAATTACCAGCATCTTGAAGCAGAGAGTAAACAGCTATTTGCAGAAATGTATTTAGCCATTCAAGAGAAGGAACAAAGTTTGTCTAACCTTCAGTCAAAGAATGAAGAACTCCAACATTACTTCGAGAAAATTGAAAATTCAGACAAAACTTATGTGGGGAAAGATATATCAGAGGTGAAGAAGAAGTCTCGCACTTTAAAGGAATTTATGTGTAGAGCCAAAACTGCTTTGTGGTTTGCAAAGTCATTTGGACTGGAACTAGAGTCAATGACTATGAATGAGCAAAAGACTGGCATCAGTCACACAGTAATGGCTGAAGACCAGATGTCAAATTACAATGGGAACTCAAATGCATTTGACTCACTGTCTGAAGAGGAGAAGTCCAAAGTAGAAAAGGTGCTATTTTTATTAGATAAATTTTGTGTTGGAGACAACTTTTATCATGAGCTTACAATGGTAGTTGATGGCTTGCCAAAGTCATACCTTGTAAAGCAAAGGAGAAGTCAGCTGAATGACATCTGTCATATCACCTCCACCCCCGGTGAGACGGAAGGGGCACAGACATCATTCACTGACCTTCTGAGAGACAGGGTTCAAGACTATGTGGCAAGCCATCCACATGTGGATCATGTACAAATCAAAATTTCAGGGGATGGGGCGAGAATGACCAGAAATTCTAGTTTCATACTTATGAGTTTTGCCCTACTCCATTCAGATGATGAAGTTATGGCAGCAAAAGGTAACCACACCATAGCTGTTGTAAAGGGTAAAGAACACTACAATACCTTAAGGCAGTCATTTGAAGATGTCTTCAAGGACATCAATTCTCTTATAAGTAAGAAGAAAATAGAAGTGGGTGGCAAATCAATTAATTTGGAATTTTTCCTAGGGGGCGATTACAAATTCATTTTACTTGTGATGGGTTTGAAGGGTGCTACCTCACACTATGCATGTGTATGGTGCAAAATACACAAAGACATGAGGTGGGACACAAGCTTCAATTTAGACCATTATCAATCTCCAGATCTAAGGAGAACTCTTACAGAGATGTTTGAACTAGTAAAGAAAAAGAAACAAAATGACAAATATTGCTGTGAACATGAGCCTCTACTTCATATAGAGCTCGATCATGTAGTGTTGGATGAACTGCACCTTCTATTAAGGATTTCAGATGTTCTCATAGAAAATTTGGTTCGGGATGCCTTAGACTGGGACAGAAGCAAAAACTGGGACAAGAGGAAATGTCAACAAAAAAATGAACACCTAAAAAATTTGCAGGCAGCAATTCGATCATGTGGGGTCTCCTTTGACATATGGGAAAAAACAAATGCTGATGGGAAAGGGTCTGGGCAATACGATTTTACTAGCCTCTTGGGGTCAGACAAGAAAAAATTGCTTAATGAACTTCCAACCAAACTCAATGGGATTATTCAGCCAGATACAGTTGAAGTAGTAAAAACTGTATGGGAAAAGTTTAGGGAAATATATAGCACTGTAACCTGCAGGAATCCCTCCACAGAAATGATAAATGACTACTTCTGGAAAGCAAAGGAATGGGTGAATCTGTTTACATCACTAGGAGAAAAAAGGCATGGCTATAAAAGAGCTAATGTAACCCCATACATGCATGCTATGGTCTACCACATTCCCATATTTCTGCAAAACTATAGAACTATCAAACTGTTTACAGGGCAAGGAGTTGAAAAAAACAATGATATGGCCAGGGCTATAGTTCACAAAAAATCTAACAAATGGGATGCTCCTGCTGACATTCTTAAGCTTGAGTCCAGACAATGGAATCTACGCGACAGTGAGCGTGCAAAGAGAACCTACAGTAAAAGGAAAAGTTCCTATTGGGAACATGATCTCAGGGAAAACAGGAAGAGCAAAAGACTACGAGAGAAGAAAAATTAATAATGCCACCTGTGAATTGTAGTAGCATATCTTGTATATAGGTCAGAGATTTATTAATGGTAGGATTGACATGATAGTAAAACATTGTCATTTATTCTTAAGGTACAGGTATTTACAATTATATTGAGACAGAAAGAGTATAAAAACTGATTTGTATCAGAATTATATATACTGATATTGTACACAAAACCATTTACACATATATAAATAAACTAATTTGCAGAAACACGCAATGGCTTTTTCTTACAATTAATGCTTAGTTTTTCAATAAAATACCTAGGCGATGATATTATTGCTTTTTCCTTGCTCACAGTATGGTTTTTAGGGCTTCTTGACATAAATAGCCGCACTTTTATAGGAAATTCAACTAGTGTTCCATCCCCCAAGCTATCTAAAAGTCTGTCCCAATCAATTGGAAGGGAGCAGTTGGAAAAATCCTGTTTTTCCAACAGTACATTTCCAAAGTCTTGGCTTTTTTTCCCCTTTCCCCTGAAAAGATACTGGAAAACATCATGCCTGAATGGAATGATTGTTGGAGATAAACTCTTTGAGGCAAGGTTTTCCAAAATTGCAGCATGCAAGGCATCCACACTTGAACTAATTAACTCCTGGGTAGGCTTTGGGTTTAAATATGCTCTAAAAAGGGAAAAAATCAATAAAGACAATTTATTTTTGGTCAGATAGAGATAGATACCTGTACAGTTGAAAAATGTACTTGAATTTTATATACAAAAATGCCAAAGATTAACCATCAAACAGGGAAATTGAATCACTAAATATTGCCTATGACAATAAGACAACAATCGGTTTATTTAAAAAATTAGAATTTTCAAAATATTTGCTTTCACGGGTTTTAAGATTGTAACATCGGAACTTGTGACTAAATTATTTGATCAAATCGTAGAATCTCAGAAATGCTACTGTCAAGTTCCATATTAATGCCCAATGAGAGAACTTATCTTAATCAAAACACCGTTCTCACTTCAGTGCCAACGAATTAAGGTTTTCTTCTGGTTCCCAAGTGTTGGAGAGGGAGCCGTAGCCCTTCCACTTCACAAGATATTCAACCTAAGGCGTAATTGAGATATATTTTAGCCTGATTATTGACTGACTCCATTTGAGTACATCAGATCGGACAAACAAAACGAAGCAACTTACCTTGCCTTTGCGGTTTCTCTTTGAAATCACACGTTCCACCTCATAATATGGTCCCTTGGCTGATGATTTCAGCCTCTTTTGATCATTAAAAAAATCGGCAGTGCTCAAATTATTCAATTCGCGGTAAAAGGAACACGTCTTCTTAGCCGCCATTTTTAGATCGAGGCAACCTTAGCAGCTATTCAACATTCGCATAAAATGAGCCTACGGTCGGAACCGCTGGCTGTCCTTGATTTCTGGCCATGTGTCTGAACAATAACAAAACACTATAGACCCATGATGTTACATGAAACACATAAATATAAACCTAAGGTGGGAATGGGGGGGGTGCTCCATTAGGGCTTATGGTGGACATGCAGCCAGCCTGTGTATGGCTTTTAGGGATTGTTTTGGGTTAAATTTCTTAAGCAGGGAACCAAAATCAGCATTCTGTCTGAAAGTCTGCAGGGTGGGAAAGTTTCTCTTCTTAAACATGGTCAGATTTCGAGTGTCTGAGCCACACCTCTCAACCCAATGATACATGGAGTACCCCCCCCCCCAGAATCCAGAGCCTCATGAACCTAATGATTGTATAACAGTAGTTAATTGTTTTGATGTTTAAATGTCCCAAATAGGGGCTCACCATGTAGTAAACATGCATATTATAATAACAGTGACTTTGCCTTATGCTCTTGGTTCTCTAGCTGCTATAGCTAGGAAGTGTTTAAAATAATGCAGTTTCAATGTGTCCTTTAAATTGTTCCAAAATTGCACGTCAAATGGAATTCGCTCGATGCTCATTCCCTTCCTGGTGTAGACGATGAAATCGCACCACTTTGCCCCGGTCACACCCATCAGCCCTTGCACTTGGACATAGTATTTATGGGTGCGTTTAAGTTTAGGCTTTCCATCGACTTCTTCCATGAAAAAGCTGCTATCAGAGCATGCATCCAGTGGGGTGACTAAGTACTTGGTTTCTGGGCACTTGACCTCAGAAAGACCAAATTGATCAGAGCATCCAGGATCAATAACCTTGCCATCTGGTGATGCAGCCAAGTATGGGGCATCCATACTTATTACAAGTCCTGACTTAAAAACCTTCACCGACTTGTTAATAGAGGACATATATTTTTGGTATTGTTCTAAGGCAATTGGCTCATATTTAAGTCCATGATTAGTATATCTTGATGAAAAAGGCTTTGGATTTATAAGATTTTGTACTAAAGATTCATGGTTTCTTTTTCTGTCCCGTATAAGACCAAAATTGGAGGCAGTAAATCGGAATTTCCTTTCCAACTTCCATTCAGGGCACTCTGATTGGCTGCGTGTTTTAATTTCAATGCCATTCAGTTTATCTTCATCAACTTACAGATCCTTTAACAGTGATTTTTCTGCTTCTGAAAGATCAGCAGGTATCTCAAACTGTTCATTAGACTGACTTGATAGGGGAAATCTTGGATATGTCACAATATGCTCACCATGGTTGGCAGGGTTTGCCCTTCGGATAGACGTGATGTCACAAAACACTTTGAAATTATCTTCGGTCACTGCAAGTTGATAGCTAGCATACGAGCCTTGTGGACTTCTGCCAAATTTGGTTTCTACTAAGGGAATAGAATCAGCCTTTGGGGTCATAATTTGTGCTAGGGCCATATTTGGGTTCAATTCTTTCAAGGTTGCCAATAGTTTCTCTTCATCTGCCTTTTGCCCCCGTATATTATTCCTTGCCTCATATAGTGTACATCTGACACCAGGTTCTCGAGCTGATGATCTGGGCTGCTCCAGGTAGGTCTTTGCTACAAGCACCTCCATTGCTGGTTGTGGATTTATAGTCTCCTCTTCCCTTCCTATGCCACCTCTGTAAAGAGGAAGTACATGCTTGCTTTGGCTGCATGTCTTCTTCGTTTTCAAGTTCATGGACAGTTTTACATTCATATAATGAGAATTTGCAAATCTTCATCAAGAGTGCTAATATATGGTTACAAAAACCAACCTTCCCAGCAACGCAGGAACATGTAGCATGTTTCACTTCCCCACTTAAAATGCACAATGCGACTTTCAAGTTGTGTGGGGCATCATTCTTTCGAAAACTGTGATAGCAGTGAGACCGGAAATAAAAGTAGTTGTCATCGCTTGCTGCGGAGATACCCTTCAAATATTCGTCATCCAGAAAAGTTGTCGCTTTCCGAATACTCGTTGGCACTGAATGGGCTTTACTTGTCGGATCAATTCTTTTTCCAGACTTTGAAATGTGGTCATTCATTTCGGCACAGGTAAAAAAGGGCATCCGCCGTATGTCTGCAGACCAGCCATCTGATGGGAAACTCAAAGGATGCTGAGTTGCGGCAATTCCGGAGTTGTCATCTTTGTTTTTATCCAAGCATTCCTTGCGCTTTGTATATACGGAGTCAGGATCCGGATCTACTATATTTTGATCACGACCTTCTTTGATATATTCCTCAACCCTAAACAGAAGGGAAGATAAGATCGTTTTTAAACTTTGGTTACCGCAATTGCAATCAAGGCAAGCGAGGCGCGAAATATCAGCGAATCAGTCGAAGTACGAGCATCCTACCTTTTCACTAATTGTGCTTTTGTTTTCAGTCCTTTCAATGTATCGCCCCTACATTTCAGCCAGAAACGAAGTTCTTCATTTTTTAAGCGTGGCAGGCGATCTACCTCGAAGAGAAGCTCCAGGAATATCGTCTTCTGTGAGCGCACGTGAAGCAGCCATTCATGACGATCAAAACACCGGGAAAAGCCAGCCTCACTGGCTGGCCTCACTAGCCTCGCTTCCACGCAACTAGCCCCGGGCCGCCCGAGAGGTCCGCCATATTTGCATTTGGTGTATGGACCAGAGAAATACGACACACTAAAATCATCAACGGGAGATGTCATCAGTGAGATAAATAGTGTCGTTAAAAATGGCAAGTTAGAGGTTGACGGTGAAGAAATCAGCATAGAGATATTCTTAAGAGGAGATTGTAAAATTTTGCTAATGGTCATGGGCCTTAAGGGGGCTACATCTGATTATTCTTCTTCGTGGTGCAAGATTCACAAGCTTCAAAGATGGGACATGAGCAAGGATACAGATTTTTACAACACAGGGGAAATAAAGAGGACACTTCAAGAAATCAGAGTTTCGAGGCTCAACCAAGTTTTTCTGCATCCACCCTCCCTTGTTTGACATTGACCTTGATCGTGTCGTTTTGGATGAACTTCATCTAATGATGAAAATCACTGACAGATTGACTGATTGTATCATCATTGAGGTCATAGAGAGGGACAGCAATAAACATTTTTTGAAAAGAAGAGGAGAAGAGAAGGGGATTTATCTTAAAAGGCTAATTACTACAATTAATAGCCTGGGAATAACCTTTTCTGTGTGGGAAAGAACCAATGCTGATGGCAAGGGAAGTGGGACTTATGATTGGATTAGTGTTATTGGCTCACAGCTTCAAGAGAAAGATATCATTTTTCCTGAAACAAAGGAGATGGTAGTAAAAATATGGAGGCACTTTGATTCCCTTTACCATTTGATCAACACTGATTCAGAGGAAAATGGAGACCTTAACCTTGAAGTCTTCGAAAAATCGAAGGAGTTTGTTGAACACTTTTGCTCCCTTGGTGAAAAGAGAGTTGGGTACAACAAAGCAAGAGTGACACCACATATGCATGCCCTCTGCTACCATGTCCCATGCTTCATCAAAAACCACAAAAACTACAACTTCTTCCAGCAGTTCACTGGACAGGGTGTTGAAAAAAACGTCGCCAAACGAATTTTTTTCCAAAAGTCGAACAAATGGGATGCAGCTAGGGATGTTTTGCAGTTAGAGGGAAGACAACAAGCCCTTCATCATTATGAAAGGGAGAAGAGAAAATATGAAAAACAAAACAGTGAATACTGGAATAGTGGGATTGTTGATTCAAGGAAGAAAAGAAAGCACTCCAGGGGAGGTGCCAGTGAATCTCAAGGTGAACCACCTGCTTCTAACGCCAATGAAGTCACAGGAACAAATTATGAAAAAATGACAATCAAAGAGCTTATACAGAACATCAAATCACAAAATTTGCAGGTGAAAGGAATATCAAAATTAAAGAAAGCAGAACTGATTGACATTTTAATGAACAGTGATTAAAATAATATTCACAACCCATATGTACTTAAAGGTTATTATGAAAACAAGAAGACACTTCTAGTTAACGTTATAAAAACAATTTTATTCAATTTTGTTTAAGCCTAAAGAAAACTCTTTTACCAACCATTGTCAAACATTTCATTTCGATTTAAAAAATGTTAGACAAGTTCACAACAAAACCGAAAAAAAATTTTTAGAAAAATACATATACAAATTTTTAGAAACATACATATACATTGCTTTAAGTGCTGAAATTTTTGTGGTGATTGTATTCTTAGAGCAGGCTTTCCTCATAATAACCACTGAAACTTTTTCAGAGGGAATAAGTGGTCCCTTCTCAAGAGAACCAAAATTATTAACAATGAGACGTTTTGAATGAAATCCTAGCTTTGTTTTTAATTTAACGAGAAAATCAACTGACACACCTTCACCTAGTTCATCAAAGTAATAATACCAAAATGGAGGCAAACAGAACCTGGAAAAATCCTCTTTCATGTACAAATTGAAACCATCTGGGGCAATTGAGCCCTTATTTTTAAAAAATGTATCTGACTATGTCATGATCTATACTTGTGTAGGTGTTAAAACTAACTTGCACTTCAAAATACCTAATACAGCTTCCACAAATGCTGCAGCTGCTGTCTCCAGTCTCCAACCTTCTATGGTTGGTTCAGTATAACTTCTAAAATAAAAAGAAAACATGTTTTTTAAATCCTCAAACTTCAGAGAACACTATTAAATTTAACTTAAATTTAGGTCACTTTAGCACATTGAAAAACCTTTTAAAGTTAGTAACACTGAACAGACACAACTTTGTATACACACGAGGTTCTATGATAGTATTTACAATTAGGAATCACGAGCAAAAAGCATCATCTAGACAGGGCGAAGCACATCACTCGCCCATACGTCACCAGTGAAAAATGTTTTAATTCCCCGGGCAATATTTATACTCTGGTAACTTTATCATGTTTCAACAACAACGTCAGTAAATTATCTATTATATATTTATACAAGCAAAATATAATACAACTAAAAGTTAGCTTGCAGCTACAAAAGATTTTTCAATAAGCAGTCTTTTCTATTACAATAACAAACTCCCTCTCAGTTTATGTTGATGTATTAAAATAATATTTGTAATTTGGATACGTCTCTTATAATTACCTTACTGCAAGGCAATTTAAATTTTCCAGTAGCCCCCAGCTGCAAGTCACAATGGGCCAATTCTTCCATTTCATGAAATATTCAGTAACCTATCCAATGGAAATGAGTAGCTACTATTTGGCAACATTTTTTCATTTTGTGGATAACAAGAAAGCGAGTGTTTAATTTTCGGCTGGCAACTCAAGTGCACGCACAGATAAGTTCACGTATCTTTTTCCCCCGTCTTTTGCTGATCACTCTTTCCACCACAAACATATTAGAATTTGATTTCCTTTTTTTCTTCCGAAGCTCATTCAAAGATCTGCGGAGCATAGCTCGTTCAACCATTTGCAATATACACGCTCACGCGCTCGAGAGGGCGCCATCTCGGCTACTTGTTTCAAGTGAGCATTTCAGTTACCGTTTCAGCGCTACCGCATTGCTATTTGTTTGCGGGGGCAGAATGTCGTCAATTTCTGGTAATAGTTATGAATAAATTACCTACCCATACCCCCTATTCGTTTTAAAAGAGGTATCTGACAGATGTCTGTTGGGGTAAACATGTGTTGGCGGGAAATTTGATTGTAAGAAGAGATGGGTTGCTGAGTGTTTTTATAGGTTGGTCAATATAAGAAGTCAAGAAAGAGTGAAGCAGGAAGAAGCAGCAGCAACAGCCAATTTGTGGGGAAAAGTTGTCACTAAAGACCTTGAAAGGTACGAAAATATTAAGAAAGGAGATAGAAAGATATGAAAATATTCTTCAAGAATTGAAGAAGCGAGAAATGTCAAGAATGCACGTCTTTTATCAAGCGTTACACGAAATATATGACCCTGAAAGAGGAGATAAAGCCAAAGCCAGCGAATTAACGAACGCTTATCACAAATGGTAAAATCACTTTATCCTTTTTTAGACTGACAGTGAAAGCTATGATGAATAATTTCCAAGATGCTATGTATTACTTTATCGAGACATATGGTACCCAAAGAAGAGAAGATTGGTACACACAAATCTAAACAGAATAAAAATTCAAACTTAAGAGCAAAGCAAAGACAAGAACTCCTTGAAGCTGAAAGAAGAAAAAAGAAAGTACGAGAGCAAACACGAGTGTCAAACGATTGCGAGAAAAACGTAGAGAAGAAAATCGAAAAGACGGAAGCGAAGATGAAAGCACATGTTTGGGTACATCCGCCTTCAAAAACCGGATGGCAAAAGCCCGAGCCCTGCAAAAAACGGTGGAAGTCCTCCCACAAACACCAGCGAAAAAAGCGGAAATTTTTGAAGCAATTGCTTCCAGCCCACGCACGAGGAAAGTTTTGGCAAAAACGGGACTTGTGAAAACTCCTGAGGAAGTGGAAGAAATGACATCACTTCCTGCTCTCGCGGCCGATATTTCTGAAAGCGTGGAGAACATTAAGACAAGCAAGTCTAAAGATGACAAAGCGGCCTACTCAGCCTTCAAAGGTCTTACATTCGGACAAAATGTTTCTAAATGCAAAGCACGCAAATCTCTCTCCAAGCTAGTAAATGTCGGGCGTACAAGCGTGAGCTCAGGAATAAAAGAAAGGGCAAAAATTTTGTCAGGAGAGAAAAAGAGTTGGCTAGATCTAGAAAGGAAAACGAGAGATGATGCTATCAGCACAGAACACAAGCAGCTCATTTTCAACTTTTAGCCATATGAAGCAAGCAGGCCAACAGGAGATAAAAAAGATGTCATCAGGAAGAGAACAGGTAAAAAACAGCACATTGAACACGCGAAGGACGTGCTGGAAAAAACACAAACAGAGGCATTTTAGGAGCTTCAGGCACAATATCCGGAAGTTAAAATAAAACAACGGAAATTCGAGAGTTTGAAGCCATTTTTTGTGCGGTCTGCCAGAGAAAAGGACAGAAGATCCTGCCTATGTAGAAAACATGTTGAAACACAAATAGTCTTAAAAGACTGTATGAAATTTAGAAAGGCAGCGTGCCGAAGAAATGGCACTGATGCAGTTGTTCCCTCCACCCTAACAGAGTTAGTCAACCCGACTCTTTGTATGAAGCCCGAAGGCCACAGCCACCACAGTCTGAAATGTGTGACCAGAGAGTGCAGCGATTGTGGTGTTAGCAACCTTGAGCTCCTTCCTGAAGAAGTGTCAGAAGAATCTATGGAGCAAGTGACATGGAAACGCTACGAATATAAAGGGCCTGGGAAATTTTTATCCAATGGACAGGAAAAGAAAAAGATTGCACTTGTGACAAAGAAGACAGCACCATGGGAGTTATTTAAATACTTCCAGGATCTTCTTAAACAATACCCCTACCATTCATTCATGGCTAAATGACAGAGAGAGCAAATGGAAAACCTTATTGAGCACCTTCCTCTCAGCGAGGTGGTCTGTGTTCATGATTACTCTGAGGGCTACAGCTGCCGCCAGCAAGATGAGCTGCAGTCAGAGTACTTCGATGTGGCAAAAGTTTCTCCGCACATCACCATTCTTTATCGCCATGCAGTGGAGTCTGTAGATGGCAAGACAAGTACAGAGGATGATCCACACATTGTCATGGAGCATCTCTTTGTGATTTCAGATGATGATGTCCAAGATTACCATGCAGTGCACAAGGCTCAAGAATTAATACTGGAATATCTTGAGAATCAGCTGGACATGACAATTAACAAGCTTCATGAGTTCACAGATGGTTGTTCTGCCCAGTACAAGTCTCGTCACTGTATTGGAGACCTCTCTTGTAGTCTTACTGACTATGGATTCCTAGTACAGAGAAATTTTTTCGAAACATCGCATGAAAAGGGGGAACAGGATGCTGCTGGAGCTAATGTCAAACAGAAGGTGAGCCATGCAGTTCTCAGAAAGACAGCTGTCATCAGGAATGCTAAAGACATAAAAGAGTATCTTGAGGAGAATTTCGCCACTCCAGCAGCCTCTACATTTGCATCACGATCCAAAGCAGTGGGTCTCGCTCGTAGAATATTCGTTTATGTTCCCCCAGAAGGTGACGAGGCAGTGAACAGATGCAGACCAGACAGAGCCTTCAAGGAGCTGAAAGGCGTCCGGAAACTTCACTGCGTCAAGACGACTCCTGAACAGGGAAGGGTCTTCACCAGAAGCCGCAGTTGTTACTGCATTGACTGCATTAGTGGTGAAGAGGAGAACTGCAGCAACAAAGAGTGGTTAGATGCCTGGAAAGATGTTAAACTGGAAAGACAGTCAACTGTTGCAACAACAAGGCAAGCTGTTGAGGAAATGGAAGCTATTCTACTTGACACTGCAGTAAGGGTTGCAGATCTTGCTGCCAAGGACAGCGTGGTGGCTATTGTAGCGGCCGACGACCCTGACTATGATTACTATTTAATGAAAGTAACAAGTGATGGTGTAGTGGAATTAGATGAGCCTACAACAGATGACTATGGCTGCACCTTCCCCAGAGGTTCTCTTGGCCTTGAAGGATATTTTTTTGTCAGAGATAACATCATGACTTATAAACTAGACAAAAACAAAACAGCTTTTGTCCTTGCTGGCACGGTGCAGCATGTTTGCGGGGAGCTACAAGAGCGTAGAAATAACATTTATAAAGTCCCTTTCACTGTAAATGAAGAAGTAATTGCTTCTTTGTGATACTGTTTGCTTTTTCCAGTAATTTTTGTTATATTTTAGCCATTATAGCCATGCTAACCAAATCATTTAGTGATATGCCACGCCCACAAAGGATTCTGGGTAATAACTAAAATATGTCTTAAATGAGAAACAAACAATGAAAACTTGACAAATGTTTTTCTCATGACAATTACTTTAAATCTGGGAAGTTACAGTTGTTTAGGTATATTTAAAACATATTTATGAAAATGCCCCTTGTTACACCTGTGTACATGTGTATCATGCTACAAGTCAAAATAAACAAATTTGACCCACCTCAATTAGCATTCGCTATCTGCAGTACGGTCAAAGGAATATCTTGTAAATGTGTAAGAAAATAAAAAATAATAGTGTGAAGTGAAAAAGTGTAAAAGTGTGTATTCTGCCACAAATTTCATCTGTTTATTTTCTCTGTCTGTTTTTACTTTGCTTGGGCAGTAAACTTCTTTATGAAATGTACAAATCAGCTGAGATCAGTAGCACAGTTCACGTGCACAAACACAGAGAAGCAAACATAAACAAAAATATCTCTCGTACTTTTCCAGCTACAATGCCGACTTGGCACAAATAAAAATGACATAATACTCTACAACTTTGCGTAATATCATGGATTTTTATTGAATTCTCATTTTTTTACAAATTTAATTTTTCCAAAAATATGCATAATTTAGGGCGTCACGCGTAACATTCCCATACACAAAATTATCATTATCTTAAAATTTCATGTGTTTCTCGCAGAAGATATCAACGGAAAAAATAACCAAAAATATCACAATAAATCAGAGATTTCAGATGTATATGTACCAATTTGAAAGACAGACTAACCTTAGAGAAAAATAGCACTTTTTGTTCAAGTGTACAAGCATCACACTCCATGTTTCGGTCCATGAAATCTGGAGAAAGGTATTCCCCTCGGCGGCATAGAATGCCGTAAAAAGTAAAAAGCTTGTTACAATGGAATTCTCATCTTCTAAAGAGCCAGTCCTGAAAGTTTTGGCGACTTTGCGTATCGCCTATGAAACATACCGCGTCTTTCCGTAAATAAAGGATGCAATGCCAAATGTAAGCCATCCGCAGTACCGCCGGCGTTGGACCAAACATGTTAATTTCCTGCGGTGTCATTCTCATCTCATAACGAAGCTAACTGCTCATTTTCACGAGAAAATATAACAAATTGAGGGAGCAAGAAGCGTTTTTCTAAATCCCAAACGTTTTGGAACATTTCGTTCAGGGTTTCAGGTTACATTGAGGAAAGAAAGCAAAAACAGCCGCGCGTCACTTCGAAAACTCTCGACCACTTCGACCGCCATTTCACTCGGCTACGTGCAATCGAAGGAAAAACAACAGCTTTGTAACCACCCTTGAAGCTTCTAGAAGCTTTTTGTTATGTAACAAGCCTGGTACACGTGAGCTAAGTTCATTAAAACACGTGAGATTGTGAAAGGTCAGCGTGAGCGCACGAGTTTCACGTCTTCAACCGGCAGCCGTCGCAATGGAGCGTGAAAATAATGCAGAATCAATGAGAAAACGGAGAGAGAAGAAAGAAGAAAAGAAAAAGGCCTCAAAGAAAAAATATTACGAGAAAAACAAGGTAAAAATCTCCCAGCAGTATGTTGAGAAAAAATCAAAAATGGCCGAAGAGAAGAGACCACGTGCGTCATCTAATACGGGTCGCCGCGGCAGGACAGCTACCGCTACTGCCAAAACGTTAAGTACAGAAAGGGTAAGAAAGTTTCGCCAGAAAAAAGCCGCAGAAAAAGAGGAAGAAGAACGAAGAAAAAGGCTTAGCAAGGAAAGATCTAGGAGATATCGTGACAAGAAACGAGCTGGCGTACTTACAGGACAATCCGTGATGCCGACAGTTTCACCCGGAAGTTCTTTTAGTCCTTCCACATTCCAAAGCCGTATGGCGAAAAAGAGAGCTGTGGACAAAAACAAAAGCGTTTTATCGAAAACTCCAGAGAAAAAGGTTGAAATTATAACGAATCTGGTATGCAGCCCTCGAACAAGAAAGGCACTGCACGAGAAAGGATTGGTAAAATCTCCAGAAGAGGAAAAAGAGGTTGAAGAGGTTGAAGCGTTGAGAGCTGTGGCAGCTGATTTAAGCGGTGCAATAAAAGTCCTGAAACACGACAAGAAAAAAGAGAGCCGGGCTGCTTTTGGCGCAATGAAATCGCTAGCCTTTGGAGAAACTGTAAAGAAGAAAAGACTTACCTCTTCAGTTTCAAAACTGGTTTCTCTTAATAGGCGGTCAATCAGGAAGGGCATTAAACGCAGGGCTGAGGTGCTAAAGGGAGATGAACCCAGCTGGCTGTTCACCAAAAGAAAGCCCAGAATTGATTCAGTAAAGGAAGAAGTTAAGCAGACCATCTGTCAGTTCTGGACATATGAAGCAAGTAGGCCTACTGGTGACAAAAAAGATATTGTGCGCAAGCGTACTGGCCCTAAGCAATACCTGGAGCATGCAAAACATGTGTTGGAGCAAACACAAAGTGAGGCATATTTCAACTTCCGTGCTCAACATCCAGAGGTTGTAATTTCGCAGCGCAAATTTGAACAGTTGAAGCCTTACTTTGTGAAAGGAGCGAGAGAAAGAGACAGACGGTCCTGTCTAGGCTGGAAGCACGAGGAAGCAAGGCTGGTCTTCAATGAATGTGTCAAGTTTAGAAAGAACGTGTTAAAAGAAGCCACTCATGCTGACAGTCCACCAGTACCATCATCACTCACAGAAGCTGTGGAGCTGACACTGTGTCCAAAGCCTGAAGGGAGTGAGTTTCACAAGTACTTTTGCATTAGCAGAACATGTGAACATTGTGGAACACATCTTTTCAGGCTTTTACCAGAAGAAAGCTCGGAGAATGGCTCAGTCAAGTGGAAGCGCTTTGAGTATGTGGCATCTGGAAAAGTGACATCATCTGGGGAACAGCAGAAGAAGATCGCCCTTGTGCAGAAGGAACCTTCACCAAAAGAGCTTTTCCAGTATTTCATTGAGTTGCTAGACACCTATCCCCATCACCAGTTCATGGCCATCTGGCAAAGAAAGCAGCTCGATGATCTACTGGAAAATCTTCCCCTTGGTCATGTTGTCTGTGTCCATGATTACTCAGAGAGCTATGCCTGCAGGGGACAAAACGAAATACAAACCCAGTATTTCGATGTCAACAAAGCTAGCCTTCACATCACTGTAATGTTCCGCCATGCCACCATGGAAGCTGATGGGAAGGAGAGCACTGCAGAGGAGCCAGTAGTAATCAAGGAACATGTGTTTGTTATCAGTGATGATCCAGTGCAGGATTTTGACTCAGTACATCATGCACAGTCACTCATTGCAAAATACCTAACTGAAGATCTTAAGGTAAAAGTAGAGAAAATGTATGAGTTCACTGACAGTTGTGCAGCTCAGTATAAGTCAAGGCACTGCATTGGGGACCTTTCCTGCTGTGTTGCAGATTTTGGCTTTCCAATCCAGCGCAATTACTTTGAAACATCACACGCAAAAGTTGAGCAAGACGCTGCAGGCTCTCACGTGAAGCAACAAGCCTCACTTGCTGTGATACGTGGAAGAGCTGACATCAACAATGCCAAGCAGCTCTGTGACCACTTTACTGCAAACTTCTCTTTGCCTGCACAGTCTTCCTTCCCTTCCCGTTCCACTGCAGTGAGCCTGAAGAGAAGACTGTTGTTTTATGTTCTAGCAGAAGGAGAAGAAGCTGTTTCTCGTCATCGAGAAGGCCGCCGTTTCAACACCGTCAAGGGCATCAGGAAGTTGCACTCTGTGGCCACTTCTCCTCAGCAACTAAAGGTTCATGTCAGGCAGCGCTCTTGCTATTGCGGTGAATGCCTCTACGAAAACTATCCTGACTGTAACAGTGTTCTCCAGAAGCGCCGGCGGCCGGCGTTTTCGCCGGCTACTCATGTATCAAGCACCGGCTACTCACGTTAAACAAAAACAAAGAAAAATTATCCTTTAGTTTCTGTAAAATAATTTCGCACGTTGCGTGTTTTCGGCTAAAAATGTCAAGTACCAAAAACAGTACGCGTTCATGTTATTTCCGAAGGAAACGATAAACAATAGCTTAGTCTAGTACGCTCCAGGAAGATAACAATGGAAATGTTATTTTATTTACCTGAAGACAGACATCTACACCGAAACACGCTTGGAAATTTTGACCTCAAATTGGGCCAAGGAAATGTCCACTAGATTCCAGTCCTTTTAAGGCCAAATTTCGCTCGGCCATTTTCATGGCGACTCAGAGGGACCCGGGGAGTCATCTATTTTGCCTGTTTGCGGGAGACTTGTAATGAAAACAAACGTTTGGCGCTAAAAAATAAAATCTATTCCTTTCAAGCTTTAGTTTGATATCTGATTCATCGACTTTGTCCATATTTCTTGATTTTTGCATTCGTAGTGAACACAGGGCTCCAAAGAACGATCGCAGTTATATAAGTCTTCAGTCGACTTCAAAAACGGAGGTAAATAATGTTAAAGCACTCGTTTTGCTCAAAAAGGAAACGGTAGAACCACAGAAGAGATATTGATCGTTTATAATTTCGAGTTGAGCGGTCATAATTTTGCTTTTATATGTGTAAAAATTTGTAACAAAAATACTCAATTTTAATTGAAAGGAAATAGCCTGTGGCCCATGACCGTGGCGATCGGGCAATGGGAAGTAAGAAGAGAAGAACCCCTCGGAGATCGCTTGCATTTTCGCAGAAGAAACGATTCCCTGTAGCTGAACTAGCTAGAGAAAGGGCTACCCTTCGAAAAGAGTATCTGTCAAAGAGTAAAGAGCTCTCTGCTCTGAGAAAAAAGTTAGAGCGCCTACAAAAAAAAATGGCGAGAAAATACGAGAATGTGTGGATCAGCTTGAGCTTGAGGTGACCCCGCCAACTCAAAGCCGTGCGACAGCATTTGAAATCTTGCAAAACACTTCTACAAGTAGGAAAAAAAGCCCAACTGAACTCACTGGAGAGGGTAAATTAAATTTACCGAGACGAAGTGCCCACAGAAGGCAATTAGAGACCCTGATTGCTGCTTCAGAGGTGAACGGAGGTTCCGTGGAAGATAGAACTCCTGCTCTTGATGGAATGTTTTCCACTGTTCTCAAATATGGCAAAATGGCTGATATTTCTAAATATTTCGATTCTTCTAAAAAGCTTAAAAAGGGCAGCTGCGATGAAAATAAATGCTCAAGCGAAGGAGTACGAGGAAAGCAATGAAAATTTAATCCGTTCTTTATCTCTACTGTATGCAGGGGGATCATTGGAAAAAAAAAAAATACCAGCAGGGGAGATCAGCAATGGTTATGAGACATACTGGGAAAAGAACCATGAAAGGTTATCTTTCAAGGGAGAGAATCAAATTTGGCTTTGGAGTTCCCATTCCAAGGCCACTTGCTTACAGTGCTCTCATGCACAAAATTGAAGAAATCAATGTTGGAGAGACCTTGTCAGTGAGAGAAACACTGTGCACTACCTTACCCAGGGATCAACGAGTTGATGGGGTCTACAGAGACTTAGAGACAATGCTAATTATGCTTAGTAAATTTTACTTTGAAACAAATGAATTTAGAAAGGACAATGACAAACTTAATTGGTTTGGTCACAAAGAAGGATCCTTTAAAGTGGCAATTGGGGGGGATGGAGCACCCTTTGGGAAGTGGGATGACTCAATGTCCTGGTTGGTGAGTTTCTTAAATGTTGGGCCAAGAGTGGCTAGCCCAAATGACAATTTTCTTTTATTTGGTGCCAACTGCAAAGAAGACCACCCATGTGTAGAGCAATTTACTCTGCAATTAACCTCCAAGATTGAAGCAATTGAGAAGAAAACATATACAGTGTCAGAGAAGCAAGTAACCTTCACTTTTGAACTGGTTCCCTCAGACATGAAATTTCTGGCTTTCCTTAATGGGGAACTTAACAATGCTGCCACTTATTTTTCCAGCTTTGCAAATGTATCAAAAGAGGACTGTGTTACACTGAATGGAAAATTTGGGCTAACGAATGATTGCAAGTGGAAACCATGGCCATACAAAGATAGATTAAACATTGCCAAACAGGTAGAAAGTTTTAAGGCAAAGCTTCCCTCCAGCCTTGCAGCCTCAACAAAAAGAACAAAAATCACCAAATTTATTGCCAGTAATAAATCAAGGCAGGAATTTCAGCCACTGATTGGAAAGTTGTGTGATAAAGAGGTTGTAGAGCCCCTTCACCTTAAAACCAATGGGGTACAGCATTTACACACAATGCTATTAAACCTAGCAATTTCTTCAAGTAACCTCCCACAGAAGATCTCCAGCCTATCAGACCTATCCCCAGCATGTGCAATGTCAAGGTACATGAAGGCACTAGAGTGTGATGTAAAAGCTGGACGTTTGAAAAAGCAGCTAGGAAAGTGGATGCTGGAAGATAGGTCTAAGGACAAAGACTTTTCTTACAGACTGACTGGAAAGGACTCAAGACTTATTTTGCATGGGTTTATGTACCTTGTGAATGCCATCAGGGGGGATTGAGATGATCCCAAATTGCTTATGAAACTTTTGTTCATTGTTTTCATTGCAATGAAGCTCAGAGATTGTGCCTCCATTTTTTCAATGTACCACATTACTCAGCCAGCCATTGATGAACTCAAGGTCTTAGCTCGGGATTACTTCACAGCAGTCACACTCTTCACAGGCACTGTATCAGGGACAGTTTGGAGCATTGGACATTTGGTCCCAGTTCACACCCAGTGGGTATTTGAGAAATATGAAACTGGATTAGGAGTGAACACCATGCAAGGGAGGGAAGCCAAGCATGTTCAAATTGCCAGCTATGCAAGAAACAGCCTTTATAAAGACCGCTGGAATCAGGTATTCAGGCATGATTACATCAGTAAACTTTGGCTCCCTCTCCGCCAGCCATCTCTCTTGACATATCATCAATCAAGAGACAGCCTCATCCCCAATCGCATTACCACAGATGCACAACACTTTTGCTCCTGTGGGTTTTCCAAAGGTGAACACGACGACAAATGTTTCTTTTGTGGTCATAAATTCATGGATGAGATCAAGAAGTCTGTTGCGAAGGGAAAGCCTACTAGAGAGTGTTTGAAGTACTTGTCTTAACTTGGTCGTGGCTTAGTCTTACAAGCCTAGTGGCCCATGACTGCCAGAGCTTATCCCAGTTTCCGTAGCATGAAGCAACTATTGTCAGGTTTCCCTGACAGTTTGCTATACATACATACATACATACATACATACATACATACATACATACATACATACATACATACACACACACACATACACACATACACACACACACATACACACATACATACACACACACACACACACACACACACACACACACACACACATACATACATACATACATACATACATACATACACACACACACACACACACACACACACACACACACACACACACACACACACACACACACACACACACACACACACACACATACATACTTTTATTGATGCTCCCTAGAAAGGGTTTTTCAGCTAAACACAATACAATTACAAATACAGATTTAAATTTAAATTAATTAAGAATATAAATGTAATTATAACTATAATAAATGTCAAAAATATTCTAAATGTAACGAATATTCTAAATGTACAGTGTTGTTAGTAAATCTGCTTAATAGTTTCCTTAAGAGAATAATTTTTATTGTTAGGGGTCTGCCAGAGACTGTTCCCCTTTTCTATATTTTAATTCCACTGAGGGCATTGCAACAATAACATATAAGACAATTAATGTACCCACAATTGTGTTAGAAGTGTATAAAATCATAAATATAACATCTATTACATATATGTTGTTGTCTCGACTCGATTACAATTTAAGAATGTACCACTGCATCCAATCAATACTGGAAAAACAAACTGCTCCTGTTTCAATGCTGAATGATGCCAAATGCATTCCAGTACCCGTAATGGAAATTAAATTGTAAAATTTCCTCTTTAAACTTGTATCTCATAATTCCATTCTTCCTGTCGTCAACAATAAGTTTTACCACCCCTTTTCCAGCTCCTAGCTCCTTTGTAAATGCTTCGCAGTCCTCAAATTTATTGAACAAAGCACACAGTCTTCTCATATTTGTGAATGTTATTGTCACTGAACGGGTTTCTCCGAAACATCTACACCATAACTTGTGCGATTTACGATCCCTTTGTTTAATAGACTGAACACTTCCTGCGGCATCGGAACATCGAAACAGATCACCCAAGGATGGATTTTACTCATCCGTGGAGTAAGGCGTGTATTAATTCCATTCTTAGCTATTATCATTGTTCGTTCCAACATTGGATATACATGACTGATTTCATGCTCGTGTCGATAGCGAAGGGGACCATATTTTCCTTTCACAACAGCTTCGGCCAGTTTCTCTAGTGCGTTAAATGTCTCATCTAGATCTTTCAACTTGTGAACATTTGAAATCTGGCGTTCGAATTTCGATTTCTGCCGCTTTAATGCTCCTTTGATCCCATTAAAAAGTTCTTCTTGGTCAGGCTCACTTTGGGACGCCATTTTGATTTGTTTGTGTACATGGGCCCAGACCCTGCGCGGCCGAAAGAGTTTGGCCCAATTTGAGGTCAAAATTTCCAAGCGTGAAAATAATCGTGTTAAAGTGCATTGGCCGGAAGCTGTCAATTAAACATCAACTTTTGCCGCAATTCTGTCAAAATATTTCGTAATTTCCATCGTTCCAGTTCGTTTTTCGGAAAGAGTGGATGCGAACAAATCGACAGTACGATCCCGTCATTATGACAAGAAAATTTACATTGAGTCTTAGGGAGATGTCAAAGCGAAAATCCGTGGAAAATCAAATGAGTGGGAAAAGAGGAAAAATAACAAGTTTCCTTATTCCCAAGGAACCAAGAGAAATCGGTAAGTTTATTAAAGGAGGTTTAAGTCCTCATACATTACCATGTGCCATCCGATCAGCTGTTCGGTCGCGCAATGTTAAACTTGTAGGTTCGTTCGAGATAACTTCATCCCGAGGTGGTTTGCAAGCATGTGAAAACTCTTATAGGCTAAGAAACACGATATATTACAAAAACCAAGGTAGATATTCACGAGTTTACATTTCCTTCCTTGTCGGTAAAGAGTAAGCACACGTGCACACGACCAAGAAATGGCGGCCATGTTGAAAGTCGGGCCCAGTCTCTTCGCATCTACAGAGTTTTGGTTTTCGCGCCTGACGAAAGAATTCAAGTTAATCAAGTAAAATTAAAAAGAAGGAGAATCAAAAACTTCGATTTGAAAGCTTTCAATTTTGAAACAAATTTAATTTTTGTAAAATAGAGTTAAAAAATAAACGTCATCTGTTTTTCCCCACTCTAAATCATTCCATTTTAGCTTCATCTAGTACTCAGCAGCTCTCTCTTGAAAATGCAACTACCTCTGAACAGCAATGCATACAAAGTTCCTGCAGTGCTGGCGGAGAGCAAAGGCCAAGTTCTCTTGAAGAAAGCACAAATCTAATGCCGGACATGTTACCAACTCCAGAAGCAATCTCTCTGTTAGAAGAGTATTTTCAGATGCGATGGAAAAGAAGCAGCTTCATAGCTTCTACACCTGTTGTGGCAAATGCTCAGACGTATCTGAAGTTGAAAGAGCCAGAATTCAAAGCCAGAAAAAAACAACAGAAGGGAAAAAGAAAGGAGTGGACATGTTCAAACACTCATGGCTCACTGACAGAAAAACTTCATTCTGCGACAAAACAGGTAAATGACACAGTGTTTTGTCAATATTAAAACATTTTCTGAAAAAAATGTTTACTTTATTATAAATTCAGTTCTGCTTTTTACAATGACTACAAAAAACAATGCCTGTTTTTTTTTTTGTTTGTTTTTGCTTTTTTTAATCTCAGGCATGTGGTGGTTGGTGTACTGTGAAGGGGAAGGGATGTTCTGCCTACTGTGCCGTGTTCATAACACCAAAAACAAGTATAACAAACAGAACATATTCAACTTAGCACCATCCACCAACTACAAGCATAGTGCTGTTAGTGACCATGCAAGAGCCAGTGGACATACGTCGACAGTAATCTGTGAGTTGGAGAGAAGGAATTCATCCTTGGCTAACCAGTATAAAGTGGCTCACGAGGTGGCTGATAAAGTAACCTACAACGCATTCCTGAGCTCTTATTGGCTTGGAAAAGAAGAAGTGGCTAACAAGAAACTTCTCTCCCTGATTGATTTGGAAAAGCACATTGGTGTCACGGAAATGCGAGAATTCAAAAATACAAGTGAACGAAGTCAGCGGGAGATGCGCCTCCTCCTTGGTCAGCTTATCAAGGAGAAACTGATTCAAAGGGTCAAGGATGCCAAGTGGTTTAGTATCTTAGTTGACGAGGTGACGGATTGTGCTATCCTAGAGCAGCTGTTGATCTATGTTGGTTATGTTGATGAGGAAGGGAAGACACATTTTGATTTTCTTGAGGTGAAAGACGTTCTTGAGACATCAGAATCCGCAGATTCTGAGACTCTCACAAGGATCATCACTGAGGAGCTGAAGGCCTGTGGTCTAAACCTTGCTTTAGTTTGTGGTTTTGGCTCAGATGGTGCTAGTGTCATGACTGGCAAAAATAATGGTGTTGGTGCCAGGCTTCAAAAGGTGTGTAGCATCATGGTGCGCAGTCACTGCATTAATCACAGGCTTGCCTTGGCATGCAGTGATGCTAATGACACTGTGAAGTATATCCAGACCATCGAAGTTACCCTTCGTCAGTTGTGGAAGTGGCTGGAGTATCCAAAACGTTGCTCAGCATTTGTGAAGGTCTGTGTGTCACTTTAGAAAATAAAGCTGGCTAATGCTAATGATGACCCTGCAAAACAGAAAAAACTGTCAAAGTCTCTGGCAGTCAAGATACAGAAAGCTTGCAGGACACGGTGGCTTTCAACTGGCCAAAGTGTATCAAGCGTCTGCCGAAATCTTGTTGCCCTGATGCAGACATTGAGGCAGTTTAAGGAAGCTGATGCTACAGCTCAAGGTCTTCTCCAGAGAATGAACAACACCAAGTTTGTTGGCACGATGCTTCTATTGAATGCAGTTCTACCTCATCTTAATACCCTTAGCAAGCTGTTCCAAAAAGATCACACATGCTACACCTCCATCAGACCTGCACTTGATAGCACCAAATCCAGAATTTCTGAAATCCGGTCCTCTTTTGACCTTGTTCCAGAGTTGCAAACAGCCATTCAACCAGGTGGAGACTATGCTTCTTTGGAACTGGAGCTTAAAGATGATGGCCAGGTAGAGGCATTCCTGAAAAATCTAGTAATAAACTACACAACTGCCCTCGAGAGGAACCTAGATAGAAGATTTCAAGAGGCTGCACCCGTTCTTGAAGCATTTTCCATCTTCGATCCGACCTGCCTCCCAAAGCCAGAAGATCCAGCCTTCAAGAAGTATGGTGTGGATGAAGTAAACGTGCTGTGCAAGCAGTTCCAGTTTGACAAAGATCACACACTTGCGCAGTGGTACAACTTCAAGTACCTGATGTCATCATGGAAGGTACCCTCTGCTGTTCTCAGGGGAAAAGATGACCTCTCTCAAACTGAGTTCATTTTAAGAAAAGTCGTTAAAGAGCAGGTGGCTCACAGAATCAACTTCCCACAAATTGTGGATGCGGCTCAGATTTGCCTCACCCAGCCCATGTCCAATGCAGTTGTAGAACGGGGTGCAAGTGCAGTAAAGAGGGTAAAGAGCAGGTTGAGAAGTCGACTCAAGAATGACATGATGGCCAGCCTGCTCCACATTTCTCTAAATGGTCCCGATCATGGTGATGAAGAGTGCAAGGAGATGCTTGTAGAAGCAACCAAAGTCTGGAGAAAGACGCACTTCAGAAATCTACCATCACTAAAGAAGTTCCCAATGGTTGGAGGATCAGACCATGAAGGCAGTCTTTACCATCCAGCCACAAAGACTGATATTGGAGTACAGGTCGAATTTCCAGATGACCTTCAGGCCTCTAGATCAGCCCAGGAAGACAACGAAGTATCTGTGGAAACTGAACTTGATGCTAACGTCCAGGTTGTAGCTCAGGCAGTTGCCAGCAATACTGATTTGTGTCATGACGCACTGGATGCCATGGATATGGGAGATGTTGAATCTGGCGTTGATTCAGACTTTGAGTTTGATATGGAAGATGATTAGTTATCTCAAAACTTTATCAACTTAACTTATGTAAATCGAGTTTCACTTTGAATTCACTGAGAGAAGTAAAAGGATAAATGCTGTGAACTAATAAGTAATGGTTGTATTGGTATTGGGAGACAAATAAGTGAAATAAATAATTTCTTTTATCACTACAGACTCCAAATATAAACAAAAACTGACAGAAAAATTACACATTTTTTCCTGCCACAGAGTGCCCAAAATGCCTCAAATTGCATCTCCGGAGAGATATTAACCATCCAGAATGAATCTATCTGTGTACTTACATGTGTTTTATTTAGAAAAAGGTGATTATAACGAAAAAACATTGAAAGAGATCATGCAAATGAAAATGGGTGGGGTCGCAATGCATCATGGGTAATAGAGAAATTGCTGGAAATTAACCGAAATGTCCCAAAATAAAGCAATAAGTGAAAGAACTGTAATATATTCTCTAAATAAAGAGTTAAGAGGTTTTTGATTCCTTTATAAATATTTTGTATTTTTCTTGCATGTTACGCTATTGTTCATATGTACTGTGCTACTGATCTGAACAAGAAGTCGCATAAATGGATGCAGGGCACAGCCTGCCTCGAGTAGACTCTGCTTTAAAGATTCTGATAGGGAAAGTGTGCCAAGAATGCAATGTCCCTAGTGTGATAGTAAATTATAGACTTGTACAGGAGTTCAAACAAAGATCTGGAGACTAAATCAAGCACCAGCGAAAGCCAAAACCAAAGAGGGTAGCGCGTTATAAAAGCTCTTTTTTAAGCTCTTTTTCCCAGGGGACAAATGGTAAATATTCAACCTGGAGTTTTAAGATTTATTACAATGAAATGGACAATATAAGAGTACAAAATGAAAACATTGAATTGAAGGGAAAGAAAAGACAGCTCGAAGATGATTATAAATAGGAGAGGTGCAAGAAAAGAAAGCTTGAGAAGAAATTAAAGGAAGAAAAGACTCGCAATAAGGAAATTACTGGAAAATTCTAAAAGAAATTTAAGAGGCTAATTCGAAAAATAAATGAAACTTCAAAGGAAACAGAAATCAAGAGGCCCTACAAAAGGAAAACATTTTCAGATTATCGCGAAAGGCATCAATCCAGAGTTCGAAAACAAACAGTCAAAGACTGTGAAACATCACTATCATTTCTTGGGCTTCATAATTTTGTGGCCACTAAAATTGAAATATTCAATGAGAACACTAACAAATATGAGACCCTTACCTTGGTTGATGAGGAGAACATTCAAACCTCATCTCCTACTGAAGAACTGACTGATGAGGACATTGATGAAATAAATTTGCTGCTTGACACAAAAGAAAGATTTAATATTTCAAATGAAGCATGTCATGAACTTACAATGATTGGCAAGCATCTGACCAGATCTTGGAAAATTCAAGACAGGATCAAGGATATGAATAGGAAATGGAACTTATATCCAACACCTAGTAACACAAATAGAGTCCAACAGAGAATGAAGGAGAGGTTGGAAATCAGATTACAGACTTTAATTAAAAACACTCCCTCGTATGCAGCCTTTAAACTTGATCGTAAATTAGAGTAAAACTATCTGGGAATGGCGCGAACATCGGGAAAAGGTTACATGTTATCAATGTAACCTTTACTATGCTGGACGAAGAAAGAAAAGCAATGGCTGCTGATGGCAATCACTTAATTGCAGTAATAAGAGAAGCAGAAAACTATGACAAACTAGCACAATCCCTGGCAGATATAAGTAAAGATGCGAGTTCTCTAAAGCAAATTTCACTCGGAACACTGAATTTTGAAATTGAGTGGTTGTTAGGGGGCTACTGGAAATTCCTCGCTTGAGTTTGTGGCCTTGATGCAGCAAAAGCCATCCACCCATGCATTTGGTGCAAATGTCCACTATATGAATAGTATGACAAGAGAAATGAAAGGTCTCTCATTGATATTTCAAAAGGTGCACGCACTGTTCAAGAAATTGAAATGTCGAGGGTTACGGCAATAGCTGATCAACGGTATAATGTTAAGAAAGTTCCCCTTTATCCATCTAATCCTCTCGACTATGTCATCATAGACTCTCTGCGCCTGTTTCTCAGGATCTCTGACAATCTTATTAATCTAGATGCTGAAAAGGACAAGTACTTGGACAAATTCAGTGTAAATAACTGGGAGAAAATGGCGTTCATGGGAAAAAATGAACATTCTTTTGCAAACTGCAAAGGATGCTATCATCGCTATGCCGAAATTCAAGCTTTACTTCCGGTCAGGTCAAATTAGTTTTAGGGAATAGCAAAATAGAATCCATTTTTCACCGCTGGAAAAGAATTGAAGATCAAGCCATGCAAGGCAGGGGAAGTTAAAACTATTGCAAGATCTTTGTACAATAAAATTGATGTCACCTTTTAAAACCTATGCAGTATATCTTTTGGCGAGGCTTTGACTAACCTCCCAGAGCTCCAACTTCAAAAAAGACAATCCCCAGCTGAAGCCAAGAGAGAAAAGAGAGCCACATATAGAAGATATCAACAGAGAGTTGAGGACGAATGGGAGAAAACTTCCCTTTTGAGGTAACTATTTTTGGAAGAGGGTTACTGACTGTGTCAGTTTGTAGGGAATATATCTGTCAAGTAGGCAATTTACATCAAATAACCATCTAATTTAGTCAGAGCATCATCACCCGAAAAATCTGCTATTAACTGTAGTTACCAACAATTCAACAACTTGTAATTTGCAAAAATTTTCAGATGTCTTAGGGAGCGGCAATCATAAGCTGCAAGGCAACGGGATTGGCTTGATACTTCCTTTGAGACTAGAGAAGCTGCAATTAAAAGGAGACCAGTTCAGAACATGAAGATTCAGCTGTCAAAAGAAAGCGTCATGCAGGCAATTTAGATACTATGACATGGGACAAGAATAGTCTTAAATCTGAAGTAAAAGGGTACGCCGATGGTGTGAAGGTTAATTGGTCAGAGATTGCCAGAAGGTACAAAATAACAAACCAAAAGGGAGATATTGCAAAAAACGAGGCCAGATACCTCAGGAATGGCTTATTTCCCAAGATGTTGACCTACACAGATTTAAACGTGCTGCTGAAGTTGAGCGACAGCCCAGAAGACAGAAATTAAAAGATGAAAAATTAAGATAAAAAATTAAATGATGCTCTAAAAGAGAAACTGAAACTTCATATTCAGGATGGCGAGCTTATAGTTCCTAGAGAGGTAACACAAGTTGAACCAAATATTGAAATAATTGATCCCAGAGCTGTTATCTTATTTTATCAATTTCTTTTTCACATCTGCTTGACCGGTTAAACAAACAAAACACAAAAACCATGATGGGAAACTAGTTTCTGAATAAGCTGCAACATGACAGTTTTGACCACAGCCCTTGATTTCTGGTGCCAAACAAAAGGATCACAACCCAGGAATTGAGATTGTGTAATATTTAATTATTGTTAATGGTCAGTGAAAACAGAGATTAGCTTCTGAGTCCATGTTCCATGCCTACTTGAAATGTCTTTTAACAGTTTTCTAAAATAAAATGATTCTTTCACTCGAGAGTTCCAAAATGATGCAACTGCCATTGGTCTACTATCCCAGATGAAGACTGTGAAATTCATAGGTAAAAAATGAGATTTTTATTCTGGGTTAAGAAAGGCCTGTGTATGTACTTAGAAGACTTTGTTAAAGTCTGATGTTTTTATTGACAAGTCTAGTGAACAAATGATTCAACGGCATTATGTTTCTTCTTTTTTCTGTAGGGAGTATTTATATCCTGAAGATGATTCTTCCTATCCTCACAACAATCAGCAAATGTTTCCAAGCTGGTGTAGTTTCATTTGCCAAGATTGTTCCTACACTTCAGTATACCAAGGAACAACTCAAGCAAATTTCTACCAACGAGACACCTATCGCAGTGCTAAAACAGGTACACTTTATCTACATGTTTTATTGTAACTGTAATGTATGTATTATCAATGTAGTTTTATAAGTTGTCAAGTTGTTCTAGTGAAAATCAGGGTGAAAACCTGTATATTTCTTAGTTATCATAACAGTTACCGACATATAGTTAAATATCAATTATGCTACGAGAATAAAAAACAATTACGTTATCAGATTTTCTGTCATTCTTCATACAGGACTTGCAACCTGAAGGACGACTCCAACTTGTTTTGAAGGACTTAGGAGCAAGAGACCAGCCAGACCAGTCACTGCCAACATCCCACCAAGAAACTCAACTCAAAAGCTTTTTGAAGAAGTATGTTGGTGCCCTGACTGAAAACATTGATGCACGTTTCCAGGAGTCCTCTCCCGTACTTGATTCCTTCAAGATATTTGATTTACTTTCTGTTCCTGCAAAAACCGACGATGGCTTCAGGTATTGTCTACTTTGGGTACTTTGATATCATAGTTTTAACATTAAACAAATTAGACCACTGTCTGGTTTATGCTTTTTCATTTACTGCTTTACAATTTCTTTTTCTTAAAGTGAATATGGCTCCAGCATGATTAAGAAGTTGGCCGACCATTACTTCCCAGGGCCTCAGCATGCAGAAGACCACCAACCGCTTATTGTGGAATGGCAAAAGGCAAAATATGACCTACTGCAGTGGAAGGAAAATGATCTGCCACAAGCTATTCGTCAGGGGGAAGGTTCAATTACAGCCACTGATTGGTGCCTATCCAAGCTGATGCAGCCACCCTATAGATCTCACTATCCCATGCTGTCATTCATGGCTGAAGTTTGTCTAAGTTGCCCAGTCAGTAATGCTTGGCCTGAGAGGGGAGCCAGTGTCCTGAAATGGCAGAAGAACAGGTTGCGGTCAAGAATCAAAAATGATTTCCTAAACCCCTTGTTGCACATTTCTATCAATGGGCCCAAACAACAGTCAAAGGAGTTGCCATCCTTAATCCGTGATGTGGTTGCAGAGTGGCTGAAAGAAAAGGATAGAAGAGAGCTTAAAAAGCTTCCTCCCATCTCAGCTACTGTGGCCTCATCTTCCTTGGCAAATGCAGAAGCAGTCCCAGACCATCCTCCAACACTCGATGAAGCCACTCCACATGATCTAGATGTACCATCCTCCATGGAAGTTGATGATTCACAAAGCATCAAGAGTGAGCCAAATGTCGACGCGTATGTTGCTGCTCTCCAGCTTGACTGCGATGAGAAAAGCCACAACATGGAAGATTCTGACTATGAATCAGACTATTTCTCTGATTAGCTATAAAGTATCAAGTATAGATAATTCATTGCTCTGAGTTGTCTTAGGGTAATCACACCATAAATGAATGCATTTCTGAGCCAAAAAATTATTATTTTTAAAGAAGAAATAAATTATCGAGGAAAATTTTTTTACTTGTGAATTTAAAACAAGAAAACACCAGTTCTTGACATATGAAGAGCATCCTGACTGCAGAAAGATACATTATAGATTATTGAAGCTGAAAGGTATGTGTTTTATAGAGGAGTATTATAGATTTATACCATGTGAACTTTACAACTTTGAAATTGTGAAAAAGCCAAAGTTGTCATTTATTTCTTAAGCATTTTGGTATGTAATCCGTACTACAAGTTGCATGTTTCATAGTAACAAATGCCATATTATATCAGCCACTATAAGAACAGAAAGTGTGCTAAAGTAGCCTCAAATGCACCCATTTGGGCCTAAAATTTTCAAATTTACTTTGGAAAAGGTCCCTGTTACTAAAAATCTTAACAAAAACCCTGCAGGATGATGGACTCAACAAAATGAGGAATCAAAGACAAGAATTGTCAACCACACGATACCTTAAGATGTAGCATGACCACTCCACACTTGCAAACACTGGCCACATCATTTTCACAGTTAACCGCCTTTATGATCCTGCCATCTACATGACCGATCAAGAATACAAGAAAGCATCAGGAAAAGTTGCCAATGTCCAGAAAGAAGTTGAGAAACCTAAAGTCTATATTGTAGCAAGATGTAGAAGCTGTGATGTAGAGCAACTGGCCTATGTAGAGACACGTCTTTGCTGTCTACAATCTTCAAAGAAATCTGTTGACCACAGATGGGATTGAAATAAAAGATATAAGATTATTTCACGGTGATTCTCCATCTCGGCAGTTTCAAAATGGGCAGCAGAAGGGATGGCACTATTACTGCTCTGGTTGTGGAGTTTTTGCAGATAGAGTGAATGGGCTAGACCCCAGCTTCAGAAGCCAAACCATCTCACTGCATGATAGATAGAAGATTGTAATGAAAGGGCCCATAGGAAAGAGGAACTCTCTCCTTCTGAAGCCAAAGTCATTTAGCGGTCTGCAGAAATCAGAATTGGAATTGGAACTAGGAGGGAGAGGAATTTATGAGGGGAAGACTAGGAAGGAATTAAATATTCTCTTGGATGAGAGTCTCTATGGTGTGCGCAGAATGCCAGCACTTCTTTACAACAACCCCAATGCCACCTAACATCCCATGCCCCAATGCAACTTAGAATCATCTCAGAACGCTCTTCATATCCCGAAAAGAAGAGAGAACATTCAACACAGTCAAATCAATTACTAACAACACAGAAAAAACTCCATGTGGGGTAAATTTGGTCAGCGTACCAACATGACGCAAGACTGGGAATTTGACGGCCCCCAAAAGTTTTCCATCTTCGGCAACAGCGACACCCTCCAGATCAAGTACGTGGGTATCCAATCAGACGACCGCGTGGAAGTACAGTACACTCTACAAGAGGAAGACGAATCCATCTCGCCCAACCTAAACATATTAATGGCCTGTTCCATGACCTGTTGGGCTTGTCTTAAACTCTATGACGCTCTCAACATGTTAAAAGAACAAGTGCTGTACAAAGACATGGACTCGGTCATGTTCCTTTCCGCCAAGGGAATGCCCGACCCACCACTGGGAGATTATCTGGAAGACTTTAAGGACGAATTGCGGCCAGACGACTACATAGTAGAATTTGCCTCCGGAGGTCCCAAGAACTACAGGTACAAGCCCGCAAAGGTAAAGAGGATTGTAAAGTCCGAGGTATCATGCTCAATAGCCTGGGGAAGAGACAAGTCAATTTTGAAGTCCTCAAGAACAATGTACTGAAAGACTTGACTTCCCCACTGGAGTGGGACTGCCCATACCATTCAAAATCGCGAGGAACGCCGAAGAATATTAACTATCCACCATGGCCCAACAAAAGAAATACAAGTTGGTCTACAACAAGCGCGTGGTGAATCCTCAGACCTTCCAAACCTTCCCGTATGGGTGTGAGCGGTGGACGGAAGAGGGCGCGCACGTAACCGAACTGCTCTCTTCTCTCTAACTCTTATTCTGACGGTCACCTAGCTTCATCTCACCTCTTTAAAAAAAAAAAAAAAGGAAATAGTGTAAATAGTCCCAATAGACAATTAGTCAAGATGATTACTCGATGATACCCACCTGATCCAAATTAATTCTCCTAGCTAGAATTGATGACGCCATCATTTACGTCATAGGTAAGGTAGGGAGAATTCGAAAATTCAGCCCTGAGTGAGCGGATACCACTACTACTATCGTGAGTATTGCTCCACGATTGCTTACACAAAGGACCGTCCCTCACCCCTTTAATGTTCGACATTCTGATTAGATTCCGAGAGAAAAGAGTAGCGCTCATCAGTGATATAGAGAACAAATGTTATGATTTTGTCATTTTCATCACCGCAAACTGGGGAGAGGGTAATGTCCTCTACAGGGAACAGAACATTATGCATAGTTAATGGACCAGAGAAATATGACACACTAAAATCATCGATGTGAGATGTCATCAGTGAGATAAATAGTGTCGTTAAAAATGGCAAGTTAGAGGTTAGTAAAAATATGGGGGCACTTTGATTCCCTTTACCATTTGATCAACACTGATTCAGAGGAAAATGGAGACCTTAACCTTGAAGTCTTCGAAAAATCGAAGGAGTTTGTTGAACACTTTTGCTCCCTTGGTGAAAAGAGAGTTGGGTACAACAAAGCAAGAGTGACACCACATATGCATGCCCTCTGCTACCATGTCCCATGCTTCATCAAAAACTACAAATCCTTCAAGCAGTTCACTGGACAGGGTGTTGAAAAAAACGACGTCGCCAAACGAATTTTTTTTCCAAAAGTTGAACAAATGGGATGCAGCTAGGGATGTTTTGCAGTTAGAGGGAAGACAACAAGCCCTTCATCACTGTGAAAGGGAGAAGAGAAAATATGAAAAACAAAATAGTGAATACTAGAATAGTGGGATTGTTGATTCAAGGAAGAAAAGAAAGCACTCCAGGGGAGGTGCCAGTGAATCTCAAGGTGAACCCACCTGCTTCTAACACCAGTGAAGTCACAGGAACGAATTATGAAAAAATGACAATCAAAGAGCTTATACAGAACATCAAATCACAAAATTTGCAGGTGAAAGGAATATCAAAATTAAAGAAAGCAGAACTGATTGACATTTTAATGAACAGTGATTGAAATAATATTCACAACCCATATGTACTTAAAGGTTATTATGAAAACAAGAAGACACTTCAAGTTAACGTTATAAAAACAACCTAATTCAATTCTGTTTAAGCCTAAAAACTCTTTTACCAACCATTGTCAAACATTTCACTTCTATTTAAAAAATGTTAGACAAGTTCACAACAAAACCATTATCAATATAAAGATATAATTTTAGAAAAATACATATACATTGCTTTAAGTGTTGAAATTTTTGTGGTGATTGCATTCTTAGAGCAGGCTTTCCTCATAATAACCACTGAAACTTTTTCAGAGGGAATACCGGTAAGTGGTGCCTTCTTAAGGGAACCAAAATTATTTACAATGAGAGGTTTTGAATGAAATCCTAGCTTTGTTTTTAATTTAACGGGAAAATCAACTGACACACCTTCACCTAGTTCATCAAAGAAGTAATAATACCAAAATGGAGGCAAACAGAACCTGGAAAAATCCTCTTTCATGTACAAATTGAAACCATCTGGGGCAATTGAGCCCTTATTTTTAAAAATGCATCTGACTATGTCATGATCTATACTTATGTAGGTGTTAAAACTAACACGAACTGACTTGCACTTCAAAATACCCAATACAGCTTCCACAAATGCTGCAGCTGCTGCCTCCAGTCTCCAACCCTCTATGGTTGGTTCAGTATAACTTCTAAAATAAAAAGAAAACATGTTTTTTAAATCCTCAAACTTCAGAGAACACTACTTAATTTGACTTAAATTTAGGTCATTTTGGCACATTGGAAAACCTTTTAAAGTTAGTAACACTGAACAGACACAACTTTGTATGCACATTAGGTTCTATGATAGTATTTACAATTAGGAATCATGAACAAAAAGCATCATCTAGACAGGGCTGAGCACATCACTCGCCCATACTTCACCAGTGGAAAATATTTTAATTCCCCCGGGCAATATTTATACTCTGGTAACTTTATCATGTTTCAACAACAACATCAGTAAATTATCTATTATATATTTATACAAGCAAAACATAATTCAACTAAAAGTTAGCTTGCAGCTACAAAAGATTTTTCGATAAACAGTCTTTTCTATTACAATAACAAACTCCCTCTCAGTTTATATTGATGTATTAAAATAATATTTGTAATTTGGATACATGTCTCTTATAATTACCTTATTGCAAGGCAATTTAAATTTTCCAGTAGCTCGCAGCTACAAGTCAAAATGGGCCAATTCGTCCATTTTATGAAATATTCAGTAACCTATTCAATGGAAATGAGTAGCTACTATTTAGCAACATTTTTTCATTTTGTGGAAAACAAAAAAGCAAGTGTTTAATGTTCGGTTGGCAACTCAAGTGCACGCACAGATAAGTTCACGTATCTTTTTCCCCCGTCTTTTGCTGATCACTCTTTCCACCACGAACATATCAAACATAAACAGGCATGGCACCCAGTTACAAGGGAAGATATGGAGGCTTTCATAGGCATAATAATTTTGATTGGCATTATCAAGCTTCCACATTTTCGAATGCACTGGAAAGAAGATTATTTTATTCACCAAGAGGGTATCAGCAATGTAATGTCACGCACCAGATTTTTACAAATCTGGCGTTATTTCCACCTGGCTGATAATTCTGTTGCACCCCCAGTTGGTGATCCTGGATATGATAAACTTTACAGAGTCAGAGAATTTCTGAACATTATTTCCCGCACCATCAGCAGGGAGTATAAGCTTTCAAGGGATATTGCAATTGATGAAACCATGGTCCCTCACAAAGGCAGACTGTCGTTCAAACAGTACATCAAGAACAAACCAACCTAATGGGAGATAAAACTCTGGGTGTTATCAGAGTCCTTTACTGGCTATGTGTACAAATTTCAAGTGTATCTTGGTAAAGAGGGGGGCAACGCAGAAAAAAATTTGGCTCGGCGTGTTGTCAGAGATCTCACTGCACCAATTGAAGGGAACAACCACCATTTGTATATGGACAATTTCTACTGTGACCCTCATTTGTTCATTGAACGGATGAACTCTGGCATTTATTGCTGTGGCACAGTCAGAGCTGGAGGGAAAGGATTTCCTAAAGATATTCTTATTGCAAAAGCTGATGAAAAGCGCCTGCCCAGGGGCTATAACCAGTTTAGGATCCATGATCAACTTGTTGCTATGAGCTGGTTTGACAGGCGTGGGGTTTACCTTCTTTCAACAATTCACCGACCTAAAAATCCTGATGGCACCCTTCCAACTATACCACGGAAGAATGGGCGTGAGCAAGTCGATGTTCCATGTCCCCCTGCCCAAGTGGACTACCAAAAGTACATGGGTGGGGTGGACCTATCAGATCAGCTTATCAAGACCTTTTCTGTGGTCAGAAAGTCAAGGAAGGCATGGAAGAAGCTCTTAGGGTATGGCCTGGAGGTTTGCCTTCTTGATTCTTTTATTATAATGAGGAAAGCAAATCCCCAGTCCTCCCAGGAGTTTATTGACTTCCGAATGGAAGTTGCTCGCCAGCTGATTGGACAAAGGTCATTTCGTCGAAAATCTGGTCGACCCCCCTCTATCTGAGGCAGATGAGAAAAGGCTAAATGACAGACGACATGTCCTGGAGGTGTCTGACACAAGAAGAGACTGTGCTGTTTGTGCAAAGAAAGCCATTGTGCAGGATCTGGGAAAGAACTTTCGATACAAGTCACAAATTGTTTGTGTTACTTGTAATCGCACTCCGTTATGCATCACAAAGGACAGAAATTGCTGGGAAAAATGGCATACATCACCTATTACTGGCAGTAGTAAAGACTGCTGAACATGTACTGTGCATTTACACAAACAACATTGTCTTCTTCTGAACATTTGAAATCGAGAGTTTAGTCTCCGCAACTTTTAGCAACAACTGATTGCAACTGGCTTGTGAATTTCAGGGAATTTTATTGTATTCAGAATTTTTATTTTATTGTATTCAGAACACTGAACTGTTTTGTGCTTTTGATATACCTTTTGAGCAAATGGAAGGGTTTTTTCTAAACTCCTTTGCCTGTTATTAGATTTCAGATCAGGTTTGTTGTTGAAAGGCTTGACATTTTGGAGCCCGATCGAAATTACAAAAAATTGCATAATTTCTGTTCTTTTTATGATATTCACAAGGGGTTTTTTGCATTCTGTTCCTTAGAAATTGCAGAATCTGCTTAACATAAAACTAAACCAGGCAGGGATCTTTTCCATGATGAAATATGACAGTGCTTTCATCTTTTAGAGTTCATCGCAAACAGTGAGCAAGTACTGTGCTTACCCTGAAAGGATCAAATTGTTATTACTTACATAAAAACACAGCTTTTTGGAAAGATAATTTTATAAGGAATACATACATATATGGTTTTATAGCATTTAATTAAAATCCCGATGATCTGTGACTCAAAATGTTGTCGTCGTTCGGGGGAAAAAATATGGTGTAAAAAAAATCTGGGTCTTAAAGCAGGGGTTTTATTAGAAGCCGGGACCCGGGTACCGGCACCCGTCTACTCTGAGTACAGTACCCGCCTTCACAAAAATGAGGTCATGAGTGGATAAATAAAAGAACAATCAAAAAACTGAGACTAACCGAAACATCTTTCCACAACTCTCCCGCTTTGCTAGCATAAGCTAGTTAACCAGGAATTGCATCTCCGAATTACAATCCTTTTTACATGTAAACTAATATTTCTGTGTCCGGATTAACGAGTGTTTTGTCAAGCAAAGTAATAAATTTCAAAGTTTGATCGCATCGTGTGTCTTCGCGAAACGCATCGCTTACGATATCAAAGTAGATACCAGGACCCCCTCTTGTCAGCTGTTGCATAACATTTGCACGTGACATTTCACACGACTGAAAAGCACATGGTTTTAAAATGGCCACGACGAATAAAAGATCTTCTCAAGGCGTACTTGACAATTTTTTTGTCGTTTCAAAGAAGTCAAAAGGTGAGTTCTTAATACTTCACAAGTCATTTCTTCAACATAATAAACTTGCATTGGTGGATATAAATAAAGTATATTTGCATGTCTAAAGAGTCAGTGAACCGCGACGACCTTTCAATATAAACAAATCATCAAAATCGCCCTTCGTTCGCCACCGATTTCGCCGCTTTGTTTACTTCTTTTCGCCCTGACTATCACGCCCTTGTGTCTCCGAGGATGCATACAAATATAACTAATCAAAGACTGGCTCTTCTTTGCTTATTGTGACAACCTTGAGAGCTTTCAAGCGCACGGAATTACTAACAGTTAAAAATAAAACAAACATTGCGTGAGAGTGCGCGGCGTAGATGTTGTCCAAGGAACATTGCAGATTGCTTTCGGTTTTTTCACAAACGAGCCAGTTAAAATTTTAAGGAAAAGTTTTAAGGTTCTTTGCACTGTTTCAAGCGCTTAATTTTCTCGATATGGTTTTTTTAACTGGGTTTTTGACTGAAGATATGAAGCCTTGTGTACACATACAGTTTTTATGACTCTTCCAAAACTTATAAAACAAACGACATAAAAAATTACTACAAAAAGGTAAATGTAATTCTGCAATGGAAACCTGCAAAAAAATGAACTCAGCACATGCGACAAGGTAAGGCGTATTTTTTTTATTTTTTTTTTTTGTAATTTGTTTTATTTTTGTACAACACGTTTCACTTCTTACACTACTTACAATATGTACATTATCCATTACATGATATCGCTGTTTTACACTTACAATAACTTGGTAAGGTGAGGCTTATCCCTTGTTATATTGAACACTTCTTTGGCAGACAATTCAACAGTAGAGCACAACGCAACATTAGATGAGAGATCTGGACACTAGTTATGATTTGCCCGATAGGTGCCTGGCGCGAGCCACTTGTAACAAGCTGTACTTTGCACATGTTTCTATCATTCTCTTACGAGGATGCTCGCCTTTCTAGGATAAATCTCTCGATGAAATAGACAAAGTCTTATCTATGATAGAAACATACTTCAACACGGATTGATCTGGCGAACGAGACACCGGTTGCAAGCGGACTACCCAGTAATACGTCGAACAGAGAGGAGAACGCGGCCATCGATCGCCGATCGACCGCCATCTTTGTTTTCTTCCTGGACTACAATAGTACACAATGTCGAAGAAATACAAATGCCCATTCCCGAATGCACCTACGAGACAGAGGAAGTTACAGACGCTCGCGGCCGTCCCTTCTATCAGTGCACTCTTCGGGAGTACATGTCACTCCAGGAACAGTGAACACGATCAACCCCAACAGTAACACGAAACTCGAAAGAGTACGCCGTCCGACAATTTTCGCAGCGGGATCGAGTGAGGATTGGTCGTATTTTTCTAACGCGTTGGGGCGATTATGTTGCGGCAACTAATGTCACCGGCAAAGAAAAGGTAATCCAGCTCCTCGAGTGCTGCGATGAACAACTTCGCAAAGACCTGACAAGAACGCGGGCGGTTCCCTCACCGACAAAACTGCAGATGAGGTCATGGTAGCCATAAAAAGCTTGCAGTACGGGAGGAGAACGCAATGGTCGCCCGTGTGCAGCTACACAACATGCGGCAAGACCGGGATGAGACGATCCGTAGTTTTGGTGCCCGCCTTTTGACCAAGCTGGTGTTTGCAAGTTTTTAGTCACTTGCCCTGGCTGCAACATAGAGGTCAACTATACGGAAAACGTCCTTCGCGATGTCCTCACACGTGGCCTGGCTGACAGCGAAATCCAATTAGACCTGTTGGGGGAACGAAACCAAGACATGAGCCTTGAGGAGGTGTTCCAATTCATTGAGGCAAAAGAGGCCGGCAAACGGTCAGCAGGCCGCCTGTCACAAAGCCACAGTACAGACGCCGCACAAAGTCAGTATCGTCGTGCCAAAAATGATGAGGTCAAGCAACGTAAGGATGGGGACGCGAGCGAACTGTGCTCTTATTGCAACAAGAGAGGGCATGGCAAGAGCGCGCCCGACCAGAATCCGCCGTCATGACTGCTCAGCTTATGGCACCATCTGCGACAAGTGTGGACGGCAGAACCACTTTGCCAGCGTTTGCCGCAGCAGAGGCAAAAGCAACAGGCCCCAACAGCCGCCCGACACCCATTGGCAAGAGCAGAGAAACGGAAAGCGCAATTTTTGACTCACTTTGCACCACAACTAGCCTCAGCAGGCCAAGCAAAGGAGTCATCTCACTCGACCACCACCTCTACTGCCACCTAACCGATCACTGGGTTGACAGCCATCCAAGCCTCAACCGTTCATAACGCTTACAGCGACAGCCCATCCTGAAGACTACACAGCCCTTGGATACAACCCACCCAAATCACAGTTGGCAACAGCACAACTCTCTGCTATGGCTGACACAGGCTGCCAGAGCTGCTTGGCTAGCATAAAAGTCATCCGTCGCCTGGGCCTCTGTGAGAGTGACCTGATACCCGTCACTATGAAAATGCACGCTGTGAACAACAAAGGGATCAGCATCCTGGGCGCAGTCATCTTAAGGTTCTCGGGCAGGTCTCCATCCGGAAAAGCCCTGGAAAGCCGACAGATCGTACACGTGACAAGCGACTCAGACAAACTTTTCCTCAGCCGAGAGACATGCATGGCACTGGGCATTATCACTAAGAACTTCCCCATGTTGGGGAGACCCTAAACACATGCAGCTCAATCGAGCCAGACACAGCCTGCAATGCAACTGCACCAACCCCGTCAGACAGAGATATGCAAACTTCTGAGGGCTCAGACAGCCCCCATGCACCTGCCAGCGCCGCATCACACCGCCACCAAGCCCACAACCACCCCCTTTCCCAGCAACAGAGAACAGTCGGATGAAGATGCAACAGTGGCTGCTGGACTACTACCGAACCAGCACCTTCAATACATGCGAGCACCAGCCACTACCCCTAATGGAGAGCATCCCTATGAGGCTAATGGTTGACCCCCAAGCGAAACCAGTCGCACACCACAACCCCATACCAGTGCCACTTCACTGGCAAGAGGAGGTCAAGGCAGGACTCGACCAGGACGTCTCACTGGGTGTCCTCGAACCAGTGCCAGGAGGAGAACCCGTCACCTGGTGCCACCGCATGGTTGTATGTGCTAAAAAGAATGGCACGCGACACGTGAAACCCACCACACGCAAAGCCCCTTCCACCAGGCACGTTCAATCCCAAGCAACACCAAAAAGACCGTGTTTGACTGTTGGAATGGTTACCACAGCGTTCCCCTCCATGAGGACGATCGACACCTCACCACCTTCATCACTCCATGGGGTCGCTACCGCTATAAAACAGCACCTCAAGGCTACATAGCTTCTGGCGACGGCTACTCAAGACGGTTTGATGAGATCGTGTCCCACGTTCCTAACAAGACCAAATGCATCGACGACACCCTTCTCTGGGCAGACAACCTTGACCAAAGTTTCTTCCAGGCGGTTGACTGGCTCAACCTCTGCGGACACAATGGTATCATACTTAACCCAGACAAGTTCGTCTTCGGAGCCGACACTGTCGAATTCGCAGGATTCTAGATCACCCCAAGCTGTGTGCGGCCATGCAAACAATACCTTGATGCCATCCGCAACTTTCCAATCCCAGCCAACATCACGGATGTCCGCTCCTGGTTTGGCCTGATCAACCAGGTCTCCTATGCCTTCGCAGCGACTGAGCGCATGTTGCCATTCCGCCAGCTCCTCCAGCCCGGCACCCCTTTCCAATGGACCGACGAACTGCACACACTCTTTGAAGAATCCAAATCAGTGATTATCAGTGAAATCGAAGAGGGTGTGCGTATCTTTGACAAATCTAAACCAACCTGCCTGGCAACCGACTGGTCCAAAAGCGGCATCGGATTCTGGCTGTTCCAGAAACACTCCCAGTGCCCATCCCCCGAACCCTTCTGTTGTCGTACAGGCTGGAAGATCACTTTGGTTGGGAGCCGTTTCACACACGCCGCTGAATCACGCTATGCCCCAGTAGAGGGCGAAGCCCTAGCCATTGCCGACGCGCTTGACAAAGCACGATTTTTTGTCCTGGGTTGCAGTAACCTGATCATTGCTGTCGACCACAAGCCCCTCCTAAAAGTGTTTGGAGACCGGTCCCTTGAAGATATCACCAACGCCCGGCTCCACAACCTCAAGGAGAAAAGCTTACGTTACCGGTTCTGAATGGTACACATCCCTGGCGTGCGACACAAAGCTGCCGATGCTGTATCCCGCCATCCTACGGGAACCACCAAACCAGACCTGCTAGTCTTGCCAGACGACATAGCCGCGGCAACCGCAACCCTGGCCGCTCTCCCGCAATTAGATAACTCCGGACGCTCCTTCTTGGCTGGCATCCGCCACACCGAACCACAACGGGCACTTGCTCCATCACCATTGACGACCAGCTAGCCTCATCAGCCTCATCGGCATTAAACACTATTGCCGTCACATGGGATAGGGTCAAGCTGGCCACAACAAGCAGCAGGGCAATGACCCAGCTAATTCATCTTATCGAGACTGGATTCCCTAAATCCCGTAACGAGCTACCACCTGCCCTTCGGGAGTACCATCAATTTCGCGAACACCTCTATACAGTTGATGGCATCATCCTCTACAAGAATCGCATCGTGATACCACCCTCTCTCCGCCAGCATATTCTGACTGTCTTGCACTCAGCCCACCAAGGTGTGACTTCCATGACAGCACGCGCCGAAAGCACAGTGTTCTGGCCAGGCATCACCCCAGCCATCATTGCCCTACGGAAACCTGCAACCACTGCAACCGCATGGCACCCTCTCAACCGAGTTCACCGTCCTCTCCAGTTGTACCCCCAGCCTACCCGTTCCAATGTGTTTGCGCCCGACTTCTTTCACTACAAAGGGGTTACCTACCTTGTTATCGTGAGACCGCTACTCCAACTGGCCCCTCGTTGAGCGAGCAAGAGAGGGATCTACAGGCCTGATTGACTGTCTACGACGAACCTTTGCCACATTCGGCATCCCAGACGAACTCGCAACAGATGGCGGCCCTGAATTCACAGCAACAGCCACACGCCAATTCCTGAAAGACTGGGGCATACACCACCGTCTGTCGTCAGTGGCATTCCCACACTCAAATCGCAGGGCAGAGATTGGCGTCAAATCAGTCAAACGGTTCATCACTGACAACACCACCCCATCTGGTAGCCTAGATACTGACTCCTTCCAGCGTGCAGTCCTTCAATATCGAAACACACCCGACCCGAATACTCAGCTATCCCCTGCACAATGTGTCTTCGGCAGGCCAATCAAGGACTTCATACCTATCTTACCTGGTCGCTACCAACCACACCCTACCTGGCGTGACACCCTTGCGACAAGAGAGGCAGCACTAAGAAACCGCCACATGAAAGCTGCAGAGAGATGGTCTGAGCACACCAAGCAACTCCCACCCCTGGCCGTTGGTAACCATGTTCGCATCCAGAACCAAACAGGCCCCTACCCCACTAAGTGGGATAAGACAGGAGTCGTGGTCGAGGTTCGCCAATTCGACCAGTATGTCATCCGCATCGACGGCTCAGGGAGGATGACTACCCGCAACTGCAAGTTCTTAAGGAAATACCTCCCAGTACGGACCACACCGCCCCACCTAACAATTGATGACGACCTGCGTCATCTTGCTATGCTGCCACACAGACCGCCCAAGCCAATCGCCCCCACCCCAGCACAAGCAAGGATGCCCCCACAACCATCCCCTGCACAGCCACTAACTGGGCCAACCCCGGCAGCAGTGACACCTGACCACCACAGCCCCAGCCCAAAGCCAAATGCACCACAGATACAACTTAGCAACCAAACACCTTCCCCATCTCCTGAGCACCCCTCGACAGCAACTCCACGAACGCACGCGTCCAGCCCCCAAGCAGATCCACTGGCGCCCGTCAAGCCCGCCGAAAACCCCAGAACGACCAAAGAAACCTCCCTTAGCCCTGCGGCCGGCTACGGGACTTTAACTCAAAGGACTATTGGAACAGTGACTTAGTCATTAGATCCATGAGACAGTCAAATGACACTATTCCATACTTAGTTTTGTTCTTTAATTCAAATTAACATTTGTGTTCTTATCAGTCTTCACTATCCCCCATATGCAAGCATGAGGAACACTAAAGACTTGGGGAGAGATAGAGCACAACGCAACATTAGATGAGAGATCTGGACACTAGTTATGATTTGCCCGATAGGTGCCTGGCGCGAGCCACTTGTAACAAGCTGTACTTTGCACATGTTTCTATCATTCTCTTACGAGGATGCTCGCCTTTCTAGGATAAATCTCTCGATGAAATAGACAAAGTCTTATCTAAACAGTGCCTTCAGTACAAGAGGCTACTGGAGAGGCAGAAACAAAGTCTTCTAATGAAGCAGTCTCAGATACGTCACAGCGAGTAGAAAAAACTCGTGGGACAAATGTTTCTAAAGCAATAGCAGATGACATTATGTTATTAGAAATGGAGAGATGTGGACTTGCTAACCTGCACAACTACTATGAGTGCAAACAAAAAAGCTGCAAAGATTTCTCAGAAGAAGAAGAGGCCAGGCAGAAGAAGCTGAAGAAGAGACGATTTCATCACAGCTGGGTTGAAGAAAGAGAACTAGCCTATGATAACACCACAGGCATTTGGTGGCTTCTTTTCTCAGAAAACCAAGGCATGTTTTGTTTTCTTTGCTGCAAACATAAAACTTTGAACACTCAAAACAATGCTGCAGTATTCAGCACTACACCCAGCACAAGATACAGGAAAGAGGCCATCAGAGAACATTCTTTAACCAAAATGCATGAAGCTGCTGTGGAAGCTGAAATGAATCAGAGGGTGTCAATGTTTCATCAACAGTATGAAGAAAAGAAAGCAGTTCGCAATGATGTATTGTACAATGCTTTTGCAGCCTTGTACTGGTTAGCAAAGGAGGCAGTTGCCAATGTTAAGTTTTTCTCTTTGCTAAATCTGTTCCGTGCTGTTGGTCTAGACAAAATGCAGCATTTTAACCACAAATCTCCTGCTGCAGTGAGAGAAATGTTCCTGACAAGTGGAAATGTGGTCAAGAACATGATTATAGAAGAAATAAAAAAAGCAGGGTCTTATGGCCTTCTAATTGACGAAGTAACAGACATTGCTGTTACTGAGCAATTAATCACATTCGTGCAGTTTTGGAACAGCACTTCTGGTGGCACAGAGATTAAGTTTCTTAGTGCTAATGATCTCCTTGTTGAATCTGATTCTGCAAATGCAGAAACCATAACAAGCACTCTTGTAAAGGAGTTAAATCAGTGTAACTTATCAGTTGGAAAGCTCAATGGCCTTTGCACGGATGGAGCATCAGTGATGACCGGAAAAACCAGTGGGGTAGCTACCAGACTCAAAGAGTTAAACAAACACCTTGTCAGCATTCACTGCATCTGCCATAAACTGTCACTTGCTTGCTGTGACACTAATGATGAGATCGCATACATGCAAGAAGTTGAGAGATGGCTTTTCCAGGCCTGGAAATTTTTTGAAAATTCCCCCAAACGACTTGCAGCATATCTAAAGACCCAACTTTCTGTGAAAAAGCTGCAAGAGCCTTCTAAAGAGGCTAAAGATAAGTGTGTCCGTCGACTTGCTAAAGCTACTCGCACAAGGTGGCTCTCTCTGGGCAAGGCTGTAGAGGGTGTACATAAGGATTACATACCCCTCATGCTTACACTAAGGCAACTTGACCAGAAAGATGCCCAAGCATCAGGTCTTCTTGGAAAAATGTACAAAGTGAAATTCATTGGGGTGGTAACAGTCATGCATCACGTTCTTCCTGTTCTCAACAAACTCAGCTGCACCTTCCAAGAAGGAAAGATTTCCTTCTCCCATATAAAGCCAGCAATTCAGAAGTGTATTGACGATCTTGACAAGATTGTCCAGACGGGAGTTCCAGTCACCGAGTTTCTTAGAGATCTATCACCTGGAGGCAGACTGGAACAAGCTGATCTCATTGCTTCTGATGGAGATGAGCTGTTTCTCAGCAATTTCCTGGTGAAATATGTCAATTCACTGAAAAAAAGCTTAAACAGCAGATTTCCCACCCTTCCTCTCCTGTCTGCTTTTAGCATATTCGACCCTGCACTAGTTCCAGAAAGGGGCCAGCCGGGATTTAGGGATTATGGCAGTGTATCAGTGAAACTCTTGGCTGAGCAGTTCTTTGATGAAGACAGCGACAAAAGGCAGCTGATGGATGAGTGGCAGGTATTCAAGTACGACTTGGCAAAATGGAAGAATGAGCTGCCTGAGGAAGTAAGAAAGCCCCCTGGTGGGAGCAAACCTACACTCACTTCAACTGACTGGTGCCTCCAGAAGCTAATGTTCATGAAGGACCTGGTTCCATTTAATCTTCCACTGGTTGCAAAGGTGGCAGAGGCAGTGATTTCTCTTCCAGTCTCAAATGGATGGCCAGAAAGGGGTGCCAGTTCTTTAAAACTGATGAAGACAAGGCTTCGAAGTAGGATGAAGAATGACATGCTCAACGCCCTACTACACATTCTCATTAATGGTCCAAAAGTGGGAAGTAAGGAATTTGAAGAAGTGATTGATGCTTCTGTTAGAGCTTGGTTAGCTGCAAAACCATGGCGAAAGTGTCCTCCAAAGTTTGTCAGCACACCAGTGGTTGCCAGCGCAGGTGATATAAGTGAGAACTTTGTAACTGTGCAGGATGCTGGTGTACAGACGGAGGGTGACGCGGAGGGTGTCACGCCAAGTCACCCTTCAATTGCAGATGAAGTTGATGCAACCTCCAAAGCACTTGAGCTACCTGCAGATGACGGTGATGATTCAGATTATGGCTCTGATTTCGATGACTTTTAGTTTAGTTGTTTCACCTAACACTGTTTATTTGTAAACAAAGTAAACAATATAAGCCAATGAGTTAGATTTAATATAATTATTCATGTTATGGATTTAGTGAATTCCCTGAGTCTGCGAACAGTTGCAGTAGTGTTTTAATGAAGTCAAAATGCTTGTCAATTTAGTAAATTGTGAACAGTTACAGTAGTGTTTTAATGAAAGAACAATGTTTGTCAATTTAGTAAATTCTCTGAGGCTGTGAACAGTTGCAATATTGTTTTTCATATAGTCACTTTGTGCTAGTGGGTAAAACCTCCTTAAATTATTCACAATTTGTGTTTGCAAAATGAGGATGTAGAATAATAAATTTCCACCTCAGAATGCTGGAAAACGCATTTCCGAGAGTCTTATTTTAAAAATTTTCCGGGGGAGCATGCCCCCGGACCCCCCTAGCGGCTCAGATAAAGGGGAACTTTCTTAACATGTTACATGTTTACATGTTATCAATGTAACCTTTACTATGCTGGACGAAGAAAGAAAAGCAATGGCTGCTGATGGCAATCACTTAATTGCAGTAATAAGAGAAGCAGAAAACTATGACAAACTAGCACAATCCCTGGCAGATATAAGTAAAGATGCGAGTTCTCTAAAGCAAATTTCACTCGGAACACTGAATTTTGAAATTGAGTGGTTGTTAGGGGGCTACTGGAAATTCCTCGCTTGAGTTTGTGGCCTTGATGCAGCAAAAGCCATCCACCCATGCATTTGGTGCAAATGTCCACTATATGAATAGTATGACAAGAGAAATGAAAGGTCTCTCATTGATATTTCAAAAGGTGCACGCACTGTTCAAGAAATTGAACAAATGTCGAGAGTTACGGCAATAGCTGATCAACGGTATAATGTTAAGAAAGTTCCCCTTTATCCATCTAATCCTCTCGACTATGTCATCATAGACTCTCTGCGCCTGTTTCTCAGGATCTCTGACAATCTTATTAATCTAGATGCTGAAAAGGACAAGTACTTGGACAAATTCAGTGTAAATAACTGGGAGAAAATGGCGTTCATGGGAAAAAATGAACATTCTTTTGCAAACTGCAAAGGATGCTATCATCGCTATGCCGAAATTCAAGCTTTACTTCCGGTCAGGTCAAATTAGTTTTAGGGAATAGCAAAATAGAATCCATTTTTCACCGCTGGAAAAGAATTGAAGATCAAGCCATGCAAGGCAGGGGAAGTTAAAACTATTGCAAGATCTTTGTACAATAAAATTGATGTCACCTTTTAAAACCTATGCAGTATATCTTTTGGCGAGGCTTTGACTAACCTCCCAGAGCTCCAACTTCAAAAGACAATCCCCAGCTGAAGCCAAGAGAGAAAAGAGAGCCACATATAGAAGATATCAACAGAGAGTTGAGGACGAATGGGAGAAAACTTCCCTTTTGAGGTAACTATTTTTGGAAGAGGGTTACTGACTGTGTCAGTTTGTAGGGAATATATCTGTCAAGTAGGCAATTTACATCCAATAACCATCTAATTTAGTCAGAGCATCATCACCCGAAAAATCTGCTATTAACTGTAGTTACCAACAATTCAACAACTTATAAAAAATGGGGTAAAAAAGACGAAAACTTCATGCAGCACATAACTGCTCTATTAAATATTTATTAAGCTAAGAAGATTATAAATGTCCTAAAAATGCCTGTAATTTGCAAAAATTTCAGATGTCTTAGGGAGCGGCAATCATAAGCTGCAAGGCAACAGGATTGGCTTGATACTTCCTTTGAGACTAGAGAAGCTGCAATTAAAAGGAGACCAGTTCAGAACATGAAGATTCAGCTGTCAAAAGAAAACGTCATGCAGGCAATTTAGATACTATGACATGGGACAAAAATAGTCTTAAATCTGAAGTAAAAGGGTACGCCGATGGTGTGAAGGTTAATTGGTCAGAGATTGCCAGAAGGTACAAAATAACAAACCAAAAGGGAGATATTGCAAAAAATGAGGCCAGATACCTCAGGAATGGCTTATTTCCCAAGATGTTGACCTACACAGATTTAAACGTGCTGCTGAAGTTGAACGACAGCCCAGAAGACAGAAATTAAAAGATGAAAAATTAAGATAAAAAATTAAATGATGCTCTAAAAGAGAAACTGAAACTTCATATTCAGGATGGCGAGCTTATAGTTCCTAGAGAGGTAACACAAGTTGAACCAAATATTGAAATAATTGATCCCAGAGCTGTTATCTTATTTTATCAATTTCTTTTTCACATCTGCTTGACCGGTTAAACAAACAAAACACAAAAACCATGATGGGAAACTAGTTTCTGAATAAGCTGCAACATGACAGTTTTGACCACAGCCCTTGATTTCTGGTGCCAAACAAAAGGATCACAACCCAGGAATTGAGATTGTGTAATATTTAATTATTGTTAATGGTCAGTGAAAACAGAGATTAGCTTCTGAGTCCATGTTCCATGCCTACTTGAAATGTCTTTTAACAGTTTTCTAAAATAAAATGATTCTTTCACTCGAGAGTTCCAAAATGATGCAACTGCCATTGGTCTACTATCCCAGATGAAGACTGTGAAATTCATAGGTAAAAAATGAGATTTTTATTCTGGGTTAAGAAAGGCCTGTGTATGTACTTAGAAGACTTTGTTAAAGTCTGATGTTTTTATTGACAAGTCTAGTGAACAAATGATTCAACGGCATTATGTTTCTTCTTTTTTCTGTAGGGAGTATTTATATCCTGAAGATGATTCTTCCTATCCTCACAACAATCAGCAAATGTTTCCAAGCTGGTGTAGTTTCATTTGCCAAGATTGTTCCTACACTTCAGTATACCAAGGAACAACTCAAGCAAATTGCTACCAACGAGACACCTATCGCAGTGCTAAAACAGGTACACTTTATCTACATGTTTTATTGTAACTGTAATGTATGTATTATCAATGTAGTTTTATAAGTTGTCAAGTTGTTCTAGTGAAAATCAGGGAGAAAACCTGTATATTTCTTAGTTATCATAACAGTTACCGACATCTAGTTTCGTTCATACGTGGAATCAAAGTCATGAGATAAAATTTCTCTGTCAAGTGACTCTGCTGATATGACTCAATCGCTAGTGAGCTCCCTATTCCTGTCAGGGGCCGGTCCACGTCAATCTTCTCCTAGATGTTGGAATGTCAGAAAAGTAGCCTCCTACATCATCTTCCGAATGAAAATATCATGGTTTAATTTAAATTAACATAAAATATAAATTCCCACAACGCTTTTAATTGCCACTTTTCAGCCGTATGCCGTGAGTTAAACTATTGCCTACAAAAATGCGCGTGTGTGCACTTTTTTTCGGTAAAGACGTGTTATATTTTAACTTAGCACATACATAGGAGTTAATTCTTCTGAAACAATACGCAGTTGGTTCCCTAAAACGTAATCCTTTGACAAATAAAATGTTTTCAGAGCAAAAGAAGTATAACTGGGTACTTGCTACAAAAAGCGAGTACTTGCTACGTCAAATGGGTTTTTGCTACGGAGTGGCTTTTTTGTAATAAATACGTTCAATTGCGACATATAATCCCAAAAACGGTTTTAACATGATTTGTTTAACAAGCGCAGAACCCTCTAAGGAAGAAACGCATTTAATGTATAATGAAATGATTTTATAAAGGAATAAGATTCTCGGCCTCCTCAAAAATTCTTGACGTCTTCAGTGTTCTCCAGAAGCGCCGGCGGCCGGCGTTTTCGCCGGCTACTCGTGTATCAAGCGCCGGCTACTCACGTTAAACAAAAACAAAGAAAAATTATCCTTTAGTTTCTGTAAAATAATTTCGCACGTTGCGTGTTTTCGGCTAAAAATGTCAAGTACCAAAAACAGTACGCGTTCATGTTATTTCCGAAGGAAACGATAAACAATAGCTTAGTCTAGTACGCTCCAGGAAGATAACAATGGAAATGTTATTTTATTTACCTGAAGACAGACATCTACACCGAAAATAATCGTGTTAAAGTGCATTGGCCGGAAGCTGTCAATTAAACATCAACTTTTGCCGCAATTCTGTCAAAATATTTCGTAATTTCCATCGTTCCAGTTCGTTTTTTGGAAAGAGTGGATGCGAACAAATCGACAGTACGATCCCGTCATTACGACAAGAAAATTTACATTGAGTCTTAGGGAGATGTCAAAGCGAAAATCCGTGGAAAATCAAATGAGTGGGAAAAGAGGAAAAATAACAAGTTTCCTTATTCCCAAGGAACCAAGAGAAATCGGTAAGTTTATTAAAAGGAGGTTTAAGTCCTCATACATTACCATGTGCCATCCGATCAGCTGTTCGGTCGCGCAATGTTAAACTTGTAGGTTCGTTCGAGATAACTTCATCCCGAGGTGGTTTGCAAGCATGTGAAAACTCTTATAGGTTAAGAAACACAATATATTACAAAAACCAAGGTAGATATTCACGAGTTTACATTTCCTTCCTTGTCGGTAAAGAGTAAGCACACGTGCACACGACCAAGAAATGGCGGCCATGTTGAAAGTCGGGCCCAGTCTCTTCGCATCTACAGAGTTTTGGTTTTCGCGCCTGACGAAAGAATTCAAGTTAATCAAGTAAAATTAAAAAGAAGGAGAATCAAAAACTTCGATTTGAAAGCTTTCAATTTTGAAACAAATTTAATTTTTGTAAAATAGAGTTAAAAAATAAACGTCATCTGTTTTTCCCCACTCTAAATCATTCCATTTTAGCTTCATCTAGTACTCAGCAGCTCTCTCTTGAAAATGTAACTACCTCTGAACAGCAATGCAAACAAAGTTCCTGCAGTGCTGGCGGAGAGCAAAGGCCAAGTTCTCTTGAAGAAAGCACAAATCTAATGCCGGACATGTTACCAACTCCAGAAGCAATCTCTCTGTTAGAAGAGTATTTTTCAGATGCGATGGAAAAGAAGCAGCTTCATAGCTTCTACACCTGTTGTGGCAAATGCTCAGACGTATCTGAAGTTGAAAGAGCCAGAATTCAAAGCCAGAAAAAAACAACAGAAGGGAAAAAGAAAGGAGTGGACATGTTCAAACACTCATGGCTCACTGACAGAAAAACTTCATTCTGCGACAAAACAGGTAAATGACACAGTGTTTTGTCAATATTAAAACATTTTCTGAAAAAAATGTTTACTTTATTATAAATTCAGTTCTGCTTTTTACAATGACTACAAAAAACAATGCCTGTTTTTTTTTTTGTTTGTTTTTGTTTTTTTTTAATCTCAGGCATGTGGTGGTTGGTGTACTGTGAAGGGGAAGGGATGTTCTGCCTACTGTGCCGTGTTCATAACACCAAAAACAAATATAACAAACAGAACATATTCAACTTAGCACCATCCACCAACTACAAGCATAGTGCTGTTAGTGACCATGCAAGAGCCAGTGGACATACGTCGACAGTAATCTGTGAGTTGGAGAGAAGGAATTCATCCTTGGCTAACCAGTATAAAGTGGCTCACGAGGTGGCTGATAAAGTAACCTACAACGCATTCCTGAGCTCTTATTGGCTTGGAAAAGAAGAAGTGGCTAACAAGAAACTTCTCTCCCTGATTGATTTGGAAAAGCACATTGGTGTCACGGAAATGCGAGAATTCAAAAATACAAGTGAACGAAGTCAGCGGGAGATGCGCCTCCTCCTTGGTCAGCTTATCAAGGAGAAACTGATTCAAAGGGTCAAGGATGCCAAGTGGTTTAGTATCTTAGTTGACGAGGTGACGGATTGTGCTACCCTAGAGCAGCTGTTGGTCTATGTTGGTTATGTTGATGAGGAAGGGAAGACACATTTTGATTTTCTTGAGGTGAAAGATGTTCTTGAGACATCAGAATCCGCAGATTCTGAGACTCTAACAAGGATCATCACTGAGGAGCTGAAGGCCTGTGGTCTAAACCTTGCTTTAGTTTGTGGTTTTGGCTCAGATGGTGCTAGTGTCATGACTGGCAAAAATAATGGTGTTGGTGCCAGGCTTCAAAAGGTGTGTAGCATCATGGTGCGCAGTCACTGCATTAATCACAGGCTTGCCTTGGCATGCAGTGATGCTAATGACACTGTGAAGTATATATCGTCACGCAGTGGAATTCGTAGATGGAAAGACGAGCACAGAAGACAACCCACAGATAATAAAGGAGCACCTGTTTGTGATCTCAGATGATGAAGTGCAAGACTATCACTAAGTGCACAAGGCACAGGAACTGGTTAAAAGTTACCTGGAAGAACAACTGCAGATGAAGATCAACAGACTGCACGAGTTCACAGACGGGTGTGCTGCCCAGTACAAGTCGCGACATTGTATTGGGGATCTTTCATGCTGTCTTTTCGACTACGGATACCAGATTCAGAGAAGTTACTTTGAAACCTCGCATGCAAAGGGTGAGCAGGATGCTGCTGGAGCCAATGTGAAGCAGAAGGTTAGTCAGGCTGTGCTGAGGAAAACAGCAGTGATCCGGAATGCCAAGGACATGACCGACTTCCTTACTAAGAACTTTACCACTCCATCAGCTTCTTCATTTGCTTCACGAGCTAAAGCAGTGGGACTGGCTCGTAGGGTTTTCTTTTATGTTTCTACGGAGGGTGAAGGTGCTGTTGTAAGATGCAGACCAGACAGAACTTTCAAGACACTCAAAGGCATTCGGAAGCTACACTGCGTCAAGACAACTGCAGAGCAGGGATGGGTGTTTGTCCGAAGCCGTACTTGTTATTGCATTGACTGTATTGGTGGTGACGAGGGGAAATGCAGTAATAAGGAGTGGATGGACGACTGGAAGGAGGTCATTCTCGCAAGGGAGTCATCTGTTGCTACAACCAGGCAAGCTGTCCAGGATACTGAAGCAACCCTTGGTGACACTGCAGTCAGAATTGCAGACCTCGCTGCTGAAGGTAGTGTAGTAGCCATTGCAGCAGCAGATGACCCTGACTTCGAATACTACCTTTTGAAAGTTACAAGCAATGGCTTGGTAGAACTGGAAGAGGCAGTCACAGATGACTACAGCTGCACCTTTCCAAGAGGATCAGTTGGAATAAGAGGCAACTTTTTATCAGAGACAACATCATTGACATGACATACAAACTTGATGTAAAAAAAAGTGCGTTTGTTTTGGCTGGCACTGTGTGGCATGTGTGTGGAGAACTAAAGAGAAAGAGGAATAACATTTACAAAGTCCCTGTAGATGTCAATGAAGAAATAATTGCTTCTTTGTAAATCTAGAGATAGTTGAAATATAATTTTTTTGTAACTCAGCCATTATGGCCAGTGAAATCTAGTGATACAGTCAAATGCCACGCCCGCAAAGGATTGTGGGTAATCAGTAATTAAGCTTCAAAAACTGAACAAACATTGAAATCTTCACTAATTCTTTTTAGAACGTAAATTAGCAAGTATATCTAGCAAATAAAAGTATTTTTGGCATACTTTTTACATTTTCATGAAAATATCCTATGTTACACATTTGGGCATGATGATTGTGCTACAAGTCACTGAGTACTTTTCAGAAATTTCTGTACATATAAGTTAAACACAAATGCAATTAAAATTAATTTAAGAAATAAATCTTTATTAGAAAGATCCTATTTTTGCGACCTGTGTAACAGAGGCTATGATCACGAAGATTTTCGAAATTATCCCTGTGACGGTCGACGTTAAACAACCAGAATGTGGTCCTAAACGTGGTTCTCCTTCGCTGCCCCGCAATGTCTGTCATCCGAAGTTTTACAATGAAACGTGTCTACAATTACATGTAACACAAGGTGTATGTCAAACACTGAAACGATGTCCTGAATGTTGCAAACAATTTGATCCCAGAGATGAAAGAACCTCACCGATGCCATTACGACAAGTGCCGTATCTCCAACAAAACTGTCCATCTTTTAGACCATCAGTGTTACATTCAATGTGTCAAACCTGAACATTTTAACCCTTTCCTTCCCAGGTAGCCCTGCAGGGCTACCTGGACCACACACAAAAAGCTCCAGGCGTTCCTCGTGTTACAACCGTGAAGTCGGAGTCTGGGTACGATTAAAAGCCATCAGTGTTGTTTTGAGTCTTATTCTGGCTAGTTTGGGACGTTTTCCTCGCAATTTTTTGCCTTTCTCGGATAGTTACACCTTTCTTGTTTATCATCAGGATATTTAAAAATGGCGACTTGTCGAATTCGAGAAAATTTGTCTGTAGAAGAAGTTTTAGAGCGGCTAGATGCGATGGACGCCGATCCATCGATCGCTTATGACTCGTCTGAGTCAGAGATCAAGATGAGGAAGTTGTGGCCGTTTTTCCTGAGAATTCAGTGGGAATTGAGGATAATTCTGGCGACAGTCCTTCTTTATCGGATGAAGAATGCTAGTCTTGAGTGAAAGTGAGGTAGATCGTCGTGAATATGTGAGAGAACAGCGACAAGACAGGTCTCGACAGCTCGAGAAGCCATTGGCAGAGCACGTGGTCGAAGAAGAGGCCAAGGGAGCGGTGAGAGCCAGAGGGAGGAGAGGAGGAAACCGAGGAGCCAGAATCCAAGATGGCGGCCAACAATATGTTTGGTTAGAGGAAAACAGCAGGAGAAATTTAAAACAGTTTACAAGTGCTGTTGGGCCAACAAGACGAGGTGAGAGGAGGCAGGCAAGTGCTCTTGAGTACTTTGAACTGTTTTTGACCACCATGTGTGGAATTTGTTATTGACAATGACAAACCTGAATGCACAAAGGAAGAGGGCTGCTGGTACTGATGGTGGGGCCTGGAAAGATGTGACCCTGGAAGAACTGAAGGCATTCTTTGGACTAAACATTGCCATGGGAATTGTGAAATTGCCTGAGGCTAAAATGTACTGGCAGCAGAAATGGCTTACTAATGTTCCTGCCTTTGGTCAAGTCATGCCCAGGAATCGCTTTTTCCAGATTTTGCGCTATTTGCATGTCTCTGATGATGCTGCTATTGTTCCTGTTGGACAACCAGGATACGATAAGTTACACAAAATAAAGCCACTATTGGAACTGCTTTTTCCTAACTTTGAAAAGCTTATAATCTCCATAAGAACATATCTATTGATGAATGTATGATTCCTTGGAGGGGGCGTTTGTCCTTCCGCCAGTTTATTGCAAGTAAGCCAATCCGTTTTGGCATCAAAGTCTGGGTCTTGGCAGATTCAGAAAGTACATATATTTATAGGCAGCAATTGTATATAGGGAGAAATCCAGGGGAAAGGGCAGAGGTGGGACTAGCAACTAGGGTGGTAAAGGAATTGTGCACTGGATTGGAGGGTTTTGGCCATCATTTATATACTGATAATTTTTACACAAGCGTGGATCTTTATCAGTATTTATTTGAAAACAGTATTTATGCTTGTGGGACCATCAAGGGATCGAGGAAGAATTTTCCGAATGAAATATTATTTGAAGGGACCAGGGGCTTGGCCAGGGGCACATATCAATGGCGGATGTGTGGTCCACTTCTTGCTGTTGGGTGGCTAGACAGCAAAGCTGTTTATTTTTTGTCTACCATTCACCCCCCTGAATTTCCACGTCGGGCAAATGCTGAGGCAAGGGTTGTTCGGCGAAGAGGGGCGGGAGAGGGAGGGGAAAGTGGAGATGTCCCTTGCCCACCCTTGTTGAAGGATTATAATAATTGCATGGGTGGGGTTGATCAAGCTGATCAAATGCTAAGGTATTACACTTGTATCAGGAAAACAGTGAAGTGGTACCGTCGTGTTCTTTTCCATGAGGTAGAGGTGGCCATTCACAATGCCTTTGTCATTGAATGCCATGAAAGGGAGGGAACAAACAGACCTAGGAGGGTTGCTTTGGACTTCAGGTATGAGTTGGCCGAGGGTCTGATAGGGAATTCCCCGTACCCAACCAAAGACCCCAAATGCGCCACGAAATGAGGAGTTACGACTCCAAAATGTGGGTGCACATATGCCAGAAATGCTTGCAACTAGGGGAAATTGTGCTGTTTGCAGCAAAAAAATAAGACTATCTCATAAAAATGACTTCAAAGATGTTCCCAAGGATAGGTCACCCCCAGTTCCATATGTGCCACGCCCAAGCATATTTTGCAGGGTGTGTAATGTTTTCCTGTGCATCCAGAAGGATCACAACTGTTGGGGTGATTATCATTCTAAAGTAGAGTACTGGAGATAGAATTAATTTTGTAGACAATTTTACCTTGCATTTTAAACATTTGGGTCTTGCTACAGGCTTTGTAAATTGAAAATGTTAATTTTTATATTAAAATATATTTTTATTAAGTTTATTAATATTTTATTAGAAGCTGTGACTATATGACACTGTATTAAATGATATATTCTTAAAAAGAAATGTCTAAAGTTTCATTTGATATCTCATTTATGGTAGTATGTTGACCATTAAACAACTTAGAAACATTTATTTGTTGGTCCTCTTGTATCCTTAAAATCCACCCCCGGGAGCCTGGGAATGAAAGAGTTAAGGAAACAAAGACTAAAAAACTACTCGAGTATCATCGAAGAATTAATCCCAACGCTTCTATCTGTGTGGACCCACCTGTCTTTGTCTATGCGGATTTTGAAGCCATGCTTTCTCCTGACAAAATACATCTACCTATTCTCGTGTGTGCTGCCACCTCTCTCTCTGATACTATTTATTCTTTCTATGGGTCTGATTGTATGGCAGATTTCTTGGCGTTTCTCACCGAATTGACGGTGAATGAGTATGGTGAAGATCAGGATGTCATTTGTATCTTTCATAATCTGAAAGGGTACGATTCAGTGTTTTTACAACACCAACTTAAAAAAGAAGGAAGACATATGGAAGACATGGTGAAAACAGGTACCAAAGTCCTTTCATTTGTTGTAGGACCTAATAAGGCAAGCCTCCATATCACTGTTATGTTCCGCCTCACAACTATGGACGCTGATGGAAAGGAAAGTACAACTGAGAATCCATGTGTCCTCAAGGAGCATGTTATCGTGATCAGTGACGACCCATTGCAGGATTTCAACTCCATGCATCATGCACAGCGGCTCATAGGAAAACACCTTACCCAAGATCTTAAGGTAACCATTAACCGTCTCAGAAACTGAAGGTCCTTGTAAGTCAATGCTCGTTACTGCGGTGAATGCCTCTATGAAAATTCTTCTTGCAAGAATAAGGATCTTGTAGATTACTTTGAAAACATCAAGTTAGAGCAAGAGGCATACCCTGCAGGAACATGCACGCAACATGACCAACCACTTTCAACAGAGCCATTACATCTACGTGTTGCGGATCTGATCAATGAGGGCAGCCATTGCGGCACAAGATGATGACTCATACGACTATTACCTAATGAAGATGACGAGTAATGGCCTTGTGACTTTAAGAGCCGAGGAAACTGATGACTATGGTTGTCAGTTTCAAGCAGGGAACATAGTTTTGAAGGGCCAATTTTCCTGAGACATAACTTGATAGTCATGAATTATAAGCTCAATGTCAAGAAGAAAGCGATGGTTCATCCTGGAACAGTCCGTTATGTGTGCTCAGAACTTAAAAAGGAAGGAAAGGGACGTAACGAGATGTACCAAGTGGCAATGGATGTACACGAGGACATAATTAATTCATTGTAGCAAACTTTTGACACAAATATTGTTGGTGACCTTACCGAAAGTAAACTGTACCTATGTTGTGGGCAACTCTGATTCCCTTGTGATCAAAATTTGCCTTCATAATTATTTTATCCTAGTGTACAACCTTTTCCATAATTATACTTTATCTGCTTTATCTGATAAAATACAGCTAAAACTTTGATTTGGCTTTACTTTTGTTTCATTTGCATTTAAGACAATTTTTTATCAGAAAAACTAACCCGATATTGTTAAAAAACGTGAAATGGGCGGGACCTCATTGCATTCAGGGTACTACAGAAATTGCTCCAACTAATTTCAAATAGGTCAACAAGTTGTAATTTTATTATAGAAGTTCATTTTCTGTGCAAATAAATGATTTTAAATGAATTTTGAAGTCCATTCAAATTTTTTATATTTCCTTGGCATGTTGCGCATTTGTACGTATGTACCGTGCTACTGATCAAAACACTTCATTACTTGTGATAAAACAACGAATTTAACACACGACGTTTGAGAAGCCTGAAATATTTTGAGGAGGAAGTTAAACGAATTGTGTGAATTAAGGAGCGTCTACCTTAGGCCGAGCGTTTAGATCATCTACAATCCGTATTTGATTTTTGTTTATTCGCTGCAGTTGTTGTTCACGTTACTGAGAGGTGAAGTCTGATCAAGCAGTACTCATTAAGTTCCTTGGACATATGAGTTAAACTGATACAACTAACTGCTTTCTTTGGTTATGTTGACACAGCATGGAAGTCAGCAGGATTACTGGATGTAGGCCTTCTTTGATCACCCCTGATAACCACTCCATGTTGCACCCATATTAAATTCTCATTCGATTTAGATAAATGAAAGCTCAAAACAAGCTGTATGAATCTGTAACTTGCTTCCGAAATTGTTATAGGCGTATGAGCAGCCCAAGATGTTAAAAGCCACTTAAAGAGACACAACTTTGGTAAAACACTTCATTTCTTGTGATATAACTACGAATTTATCACATGACATTTGAGAAGCCTGAAATATTTTGAGGAGGAAATTCAACGAATTCTGTGAAGGAGTGTCTACATCGAGCCGAGCAGTTAGATTGTCTGCAATCTGTATTTGATTTTTGTTTATTCACTGCAGTAGTTGTTTATTTTGCTCAGAGCTGAAGTCCGACCAAGCAGTACTCATTAAGTTCTTTGGACATACAAGTTAAACTGAGGCAACCAACTGCTTCCTTCGGTTATGTTGACACAGCATGGCAGTCAGCATGGTGCGAGGTCGAGCCTGTCATTACTCCCAGCTTTTTTAAAATTTTTCTAGCGCTTACTTCATCGTATGCGTGTGAAAATACATTGGAGAGCCATTGGGAGTGGTCTTTTCCACACCCGCTCAAATCTGGCGGCGACACAAATGGAATTCCTAGGCCTCTTGTTTATCAGAGAAACTAACCTGATATTGTAAAAAAACGTGAAATGGGCGGGACCTCATTGCATTCAGGGTACTACAGAAATTGCTCCAACTAATTTCAAATAGGTCAATAAGTTGTAATTTTATTATAGAAGTTCATTTTCTGTGCAAATAAATGATTTTAAATGAATTTTGAAGTTCATTCAAATTTTTTATATTTCCTTAGCATGCTGCGGATTTGTACTTATGTACTGTGCTACTGATCAAAACACTTCATTTCTTGTGATAAAACTACAAATTTATCACATGACGTTTGAGAAGCCTGAAATATTTTGAGGAGGAAGTTAAACGAATTGTGTGAATTAAGGAGCGTCTACCTTGAGCCGAGCGTTTAGATCATCTACAATCTGCATTTGATTTTGTTTATTCGCTGCAGTTGTTGTTCACGTTACTGAGAGGTGAAGTCCAATCAAGCAGTACTCATTAAGTTCCTTGGACATCTGAGTTAAACTGATACAACTAACTGCTTCCTTCGGTTATGTTGACACAGCATGGAAGTCAGCATGATTACTGGATGTAGGCTTTCTTTGATCACCCTTGATAACCACTCCATGTTGCAACCATATTAAATTCTCATTTGATTTAGATGAATATATGCTCAAAACAAATTTGTATGAATCTGTAACTTGCTTCCGAAATTGTTATAGGCGTATGAGCAGCCCAAGATGTTAAAAGCCACTTAGAGAGACACAACTTTGGTAAAACACTTCATTTCTTGTGATAAAACTACGAATTTATCACATGACGTTTGAGAAGCCTGAAATATTTTAAGGAGGAAATTCAACGAATTCTGTGAAGGAGTGTCTACATCGAGCCGAGCAGTTAGATTGTCTACAATCTGTATTTGATTTTTGTTTATTCACTGCAGTAGTTGTTCACGTTACTGAGAGGTGAAGTCCGACCAAGCAGTACTCATTAAGTTCTTTGGACATACGAGTTAAACTGAGGCAACCAAGTACATCCTTTGGTTATGTTGATACAGCATGGCAGTCAGCATGGCGCGAGGTCGAGCCTGTCATTGCTCCCACCTTTTTTAAATTTTTCTGGCGCTTACTTCATCGTATGCGTGTGAAAATACATTGGAGAGCCATTGGGAGTGGTCTTTTCCACACCCGGTCAAATTCTGGTAGAGACACAGATGGAATTCCACCACAAAAGCAGTAGGCATGCTTTTGGAAGTAACATGTCTATAACCCACATAAACATTAATAGTATTTGGAACAAGATTGATGAAGTTAAACTACTGCTGCCTATTTCACATTCTTGCCATGTCGGAAACCACGTTGGACTCTATATATAATAGCTCTCATCGGCAACACACACATTATAGAATGTTGAGGCAGGATCGGAAAAAGGGAGGTGGCGGCCTGTTGGTACGCATCAAGAACAGTGTTTCTGCCTATAGGAGATCGACCTCTTGGAATGTAACAGCAAAATGAACCAATTCAATAATGGAACACTGGCTAAAGACTCTGCTTCATGTACATCTCTGGCATGCAGAAAAAACTGTCATCACCTAGTTTGGGTTTTGCATAACGTTTTCTATTTTCCTAAAGACGAGCCATTGATTAATTTTTAAAAAAAACCATTTACCCAAGCTGAATGGCAAAAAATAATTAACGCTTTACCTTTTTCACAATTGCCAAAAGTTACAAATCAGACATTCCAGGTTAATGTGAGTAAAACAACTAAAGAAGCTAAATGTACTATATGCAAAAAAAACAACATCACCAGGTGATCTACAGCATATGGCAATAGATTGTTAGTTTGGATTACATCGTGTTGTCACATCAAAAGATACAGTCCTCTTCATTTGTTTGAACTAGCAAGAGGGGTTATAAGAATTCCGCAACAATAGGGTTGTGGATTTTTTACTCCCAAAGGAAAGTTTGAGAGAAAATAAAATAGCTTGATGTCATAGAGATATGTCTCCCTGATTATGTTGTTCCAGATACAGAGAAGCTTGAGCTTCAAAGGCTCAGGAGAGACATTGGAAAATACTAAAGATCAAGATTGTTTATGGAACAACATATAGAAGACTGAGGTGGATAACTTTGAAGGAGTTCTACAAGGTAGCATTGTGGCAGTTAATCTTGATGGCAACTACAACCCTCCGCATCTGACCAAAGTGAGGGAGGTCACTAACTCCTTAACAATGCAGCGGCTTAATGGTAGTTACAAAGGAAAGTGGGTATTATGGCCTGGATGGACTTCCACCCTAATTCCTAAAAGTGTAATTTATCTTGATATTGAAGTAGATGAGAATGATAAACTAAGAAAGGAGTCTGCACAGTTCTTAAAGCGGAGGTACTAAGTATCAAAAAAGCGATGAAATGCATTTTCATGCTTTAATGTAGATCAAGGCTTTCCATTGAAACTTCAATCAATAGGTCTGCTTATTTGTTGGTGAAACGGTAATGTGGTAAACTGTAAGATATTGAAGGTCAGTTTAGTACCAACATGTCTAAGATGGAAATTTTTGGACATGTCTATAACTACTGAGTTAATAAAATTCCAATAACATCATAAAATGTAACATGTTCGTTAAGCCAAGATTAATCCAAACGTGTGTAGAAATTTCCATAGATCTGCAAAATGTCTAGTAATGTACATCGTTAAACGCAAGATGTTTGGTTATGTTTTATCCAACCAACATCGCTAAAAACCTTCCTCAACTTAATCAAGAAACACTTCCCACCAAACCACAATCCTCACCCCGTCTTTAGCAAGAACAACATGAAAGTAAGCTACAGTTGCATGCCGAACATGGGCAGCATCATTAACAACCATAACAAGAAAATTCTTAACACCACCACCCCAAAAAACGGATGCAACTATAGAAAAAAGACCAATGCCCGCTAGATAACAACTGCCTCATCACCAGGGTAATCTACAAAGCCAACGTACTCACAGACAAAGGCAACACAGGGAAGAGTTACATCGGACTAACAGAAGGAACATTCAAACCACGATATACTATCATTCTGCAACAGGAAATATGCTAACTCCACACCTTTAAATTATAGTTTTGCTCTTACAGGCATGTCTTTCAAAGATTTACCTCTTTTGTGAGAGATGATCAGTGCTTTATAAAGGTCATTTGTGACGTTTTACAAGATTTGCACATTCAATGAACACCTTTTGCTCATTATTGCAACATTATTTGCGCATACTTAACTACAAAGCCATATCTGGGATTTCTATCTTAACGCTTTCATGAAATGAAGGTGTTTCGTGAAGCTGACTTGAATGTGATGCCAATCTGCACTGAAGGATTTGGTCTAACTGCCCTTGAAGCAACTTCAACTGGTCTTCCTGTGATTGTCTCTATTTTTATAATTTTTAAAATATTACAAACAAAATTTATGGTTTCAATCGACACCGTCACAACGTGATTTGCTAATATTGAGCTCATAATGAGCTAAAAAACCGTATCTGGGATTTACCACTTTAAATCAATGAAGATGTTTCATGAAGCCGACTTGAATGCAATGCCTGCGTGCACAGAAGGATTTGGTGTGAAGCAATTTCAACCAGTATGCCTGTGCTTGTCTTTGGTGAATAGCAGAATGGACGGTGGAATGTCTGTGGTTGTTTCCTCAAATTCACCCAAGGAATAGGAATCGACTTTTCTAATTTTGATTGTTAAACAGAACGGGAACTTATTCTTTCTCTGGGATTTTCTGGGGTTTGTATTTCGTGCTTTGACGAAGTAAAGAAGATGTTTCGTGAAGCTGACTTGATTGTGATGCCAACCTGCACAGAAGGATTTGGTCTGGCTGCCCTTGAAGCAACTTCAGCTGGTATACCTGTAAATGTCTCCGGTTTTAACATTTCGAACATTAACGAATGGGAGCATAGTTTTCCACGCCAAGGCGTTTTAAAGATGACACTTTCAATCGATACCTTTTGGTTTCCGTCACAACGTGATTTGCACATACTGAACTACAAAACCATGTCCAGGTTTGTACTTTAACATTTCAACAAAATGAAGATGTTTCGTGAAGCTGACTTGATGATGATGCCATTTTGCACTGAAGACTTTGGTTTGGTTGCTATGGAGGCAATTTCAGCTGATATTCCTGTGATTGTCAACGAGAACGTCTCCGGAAATTGTATGTTAAGGAAATGCCGATGTTTCATGAAGCTGACTCGATTGTGATGCAATCTTACACCGAAGGCTTTGGACTGGTTGCCCTGGAAGCAATTCCAGCTGGTATGGTGGTGTTTTACTTCAGTGAAGAGCAGAGTGAATGTGGGATGTCTCAGATTCACCAGAGGAATATCGATAAGCCAAAGGTAGCTTTGTCATATCATGGGAACTTATTCTTTTAGAACGGGAACTTATTCTTTCACGCCAAGACGTTTTACCAGACTTGCACGTTTAATTAACACCTTTCGCTTAACATCTCAACGTAATTTGCGCATACTTAACTACAAAGCCATATCATGGGTTTCTATCTTAACGCTTAAACAAAGCGAAGGTGTTTCGTGAAACTGACTTGAATGTGATGCCAATCTGCACAGAAGGATTTGGTCTAACTGCCCTTGAAGCAACTTCAGCTGGTCTTCCTATGATTGTCTCTATTTTTATAATTTTGAACACATTACAAACAGGTACCTATTCTTTCATGCTGGGACATTTTTGGGATTTACACTTTCAATCAACACCATTTGCTTTTCATCACAATGTGATTTGCTAATATTGAGCTACAAAACTGTATCTGGGATTTGTACTTTACTGCTTTAAATGAATGAAGATGTTTCATGAAGCTGACTTGATTGTGATGTTGGAGCACAGATCCTGCTCTTAGCTCTACAGTTTTTCCCTAGCGCAATGTCCAGGGATCGATTCCTCCAGATTCTGCGATACTTACATTTAGCAGACAACACCCAAGCCCCCAGGGCTGACTCAGCTGGTTACAATAAATTGAACAAAAATTAAACCATTCCTGACCTTGGTAACACCCAAGTTTCAGCAAGTGTATAAACCTAACAGGCAGCTTGCCGTTGATGAAACTTTGATAAAGTTCAAAGGGAAAGTACACTTTAGACAGTTCCTTCCGATCAAGCCAGGGAGGTTTAATTAAGGCCTTTACTCTCGCAGAGTCTACCAGTGGCCATTTGTTAAATAGCAAAATATATACTGGGAAAGAAGGTGATGAAGTCCAGAGAGACTTCGGTAAAGAGGCTGTGATGACAGTCATGGAGCCTTACCTAGACAAGGGATATTATGTCTTTATGGACAACTATTATACTTCCTTTGCTTTGTATGAGGAACTTGAAGAAAGGAGCACTCTTGCATGTGGGACAGTAAGATCTAACAGGTTAGGCCTGTCAAAAGAAATTTGTGGCCCAAAAGAAAAGTAAAAGAGCCTTAAAGGGAGAAAGTTTGTATACGCAGAAGGGAAGTGTGACATGCGTGACCGAAAACCAGTGAGCGTTTTAGCCACCATTCCCACGAGTGAAGCAGATGAAAGTGTTGTTCAACGCTACGTGAAAGTGAAATGAACCTAGGGAAAAAAGGGACTCTGCTAGGCCAGGTGTAATTGGCCTCTATAATACTCATAGGGGTGGTTTCATCTTACGCCTGAATCATGAGGGGGGTGGTCTGGTATTTCAAGGTTTTTTTAATCTGATTGAAGTGAGTACTTCAAATGCACACATTTCGCATTGTAAATCCCCTAATCGTGCCTACATTTCAAGTCTTGAGTTTAAGAAGTCAGTGCTTAAAGGGCAAATCCTTTAGGAGAGACACAGGAATTCATCACATCCCAGTCTCTATCCCTGATATCAGGTTCAACCGTGACCATTTCCATCACCTTATCAGTCGTGACACCAGATCTACCTGTAAGGTACACATTCAACAAGTGAAAACTACATACACCTGTGCTGTTTAAGGAGTAAGAATGTGTCCAGAACCATGTTTCAATAGATATCACATATTACAAGTTTAATATTTCGATGATGACCGTTACAATGGCCCTAGACGACTGAAAGAGGGAAGGAGGCCTTTTCTTAGGGGAAAAAGGAGATCTTTGCGAAATTAAACATGTCAGAGTTTGTTGCAGTGTGCATAAATGAATCTGTGAAATATGTGATTGTATGAATGAGTTGATTGAGATTAACTAAAACTGTATATCTCGTCAAAAGTTACATAATTTTACCTTTTCACATGTAATTATACAGCTTATTTAAGCACTAATTTTCAAACTATTTAGTAGAAAGACACTTCTGCAGCTTGTTATCTTTTAAACTCTAACTTTTGAACGATCAGATATTGCAAAATCGTGGATTTAGTAGGAATTTTTCATCTGCTTTATAAAATTTGCATAATTATGCAAATTATGCACGCCGTGATATCACGTGATTTCATATATGCCAGAATATTTTTAATTGATATGAACAAGAATTTAATACTCTTTGTGAATATATATGGTTTTGTGAGGTTTCCATGTAATGTACTTGTTTGGAAAGCATTGTAACGCATAGTGCTTGTATTCTCTCAAATTAACCCCACTCCCCCGTAGTATGCCAAGGGTTAATCCACACCTTTAGGTTTCCATGGCAATGTGATTTGCACATATTGACCTTTAAAACCGTTTCTGGAATTTGTATTTTAACATTGTAACGAAATGAATATGTTTCGTGAAGCTGACTTGATTGTGACGCCAACCTGCACAGAGGGATTTGGCCTGATTGCTCTTGAAGCAATCTCAGCTGGTTTTCCTGTGCTTGTTTCTAGTGAATTTGGAATAACAAAAGCTCTACAAAGTGTGAATGTCTGAGGTTGTTGCCTCAGACTCACCAAAGGAAGAGGAAGGCCAAGGGTAGCAGGCAATCAATGGTCGCTACCTATAAAGGAAATTTACAGGCAGTGAAATTCAAATGAGAAGGGAACGACTCCAACCTGTATAGACATCGATGGATGGAATGTGTTACATTCTGCCACGCAGGGTCGTGTGCCTGAAATCATTGCTCTGATCTTTTCTCACCCGCTGGACATTGACCCAAGAACCGCCAAGGGTTACATGCCGCTAATGGTTGGGGCTTTTTTCCCAAAGGTACTTATGTAGCAGCGAATTTGCTTCATACGAGGGGAGCAACTTACAATCACCTTGAATTTTTCTTTTTGATTAAGTCTAATATGATTGCCTTATAGTAGAGAAATTCCTAACATGAATCGTGCTTAGCCTACCTGTATCATTTGTCCACGGTGCCAAAAGGCAGTGAAGGAGATGATTAATGAGTCAGCAAATCGTGTTTCACACATCATTTATCAAAGAAACTAAAGTTTTAACTAGGGCTGTTTTAGAACCTAGCCTGCTGTTAGAAATCAGAACTACTGAATAATTATCATCATGTATCATTCATTGATTTTGTTTTTCTCAGAATTTTTTTTTTTCGTTGGTGATCTGTATAGTTGAAGTGAGTAAATAAAATATCGCAAAAAAATAATTTTTTTACCAGCTTCAGACCAACAGTTGTTAATAGCAGTCGGGATTTGCTAAGCAGGCCAACTTCGCAAAGCCAAGAAGCCAAGAGTTCGGAGAGCCAAGGAAAGAGACCAGCTGGCCGACGTATCGTGACAAACGAAATTTAGCAATGACACTAATTAAATGTATTAACGAAAGTAGTAGGATGGAGTCAATAGTTCAAAGGAAAGTACAACAACAACTTTTGGTTTGTTCATGCTGAACCACACTCCAAAGAACAAAAGAAGCCATCCTTTGAATGAGGCGCAACATTGGGCTTCGCAAAATAGAAAACAATAATGGCTTCCGCCTTGTGATAATTACATAACCTGTGTACTTTTGCAAAGTGATACTGCTGGTCACTATCGAGCCCTCGGTGATCAGCATTATCTGCTGCTTGATATGTTTGGGCCTCTGCGTACTCTGTCCCTTACACTGCAGTCAGATCAGACAACTTTGGCCGATGTTGGTGAAAAAATTCAAGTCGCTAAAAATGCAATCATCTCCTTCAAAGAAAGGTACATTACAAAAATGCATTAAACTTGTTTGTTCTGTACTAGTCATGTCACCTCGACTCCTTTAGATGATTTAGGGGATTATGTTATATTTTACAGTCATGGTCCAAGACTAAGGCAGTTTTTGAAAGATCACGAAGTGGCTGGCAGTTACAAGGGTGAGCCGATGACTGGCAAGGTAACTGAGGACAACTTTCACACAATTTTAACGACATTGGAAAACAGGTTTACTGATGTTTCAGAAGATGTTGTGGCAGCCACCCGAATTGCCAATTTCAGACAGTGGCCACTATTTTCAATGAAGGAAGATGTAACAGGTAAAGTGTCTTCATCTACATACAAAAGTTTTAAAATCTTATAACCAAAAATATACAGCAATAATCTTAAGTCGTGATGTTCTGTGTATTTATAACAGTGTTTGGCGAAAAAGAACTCCAAGTCCTATGTCAACGGTTTGCTGAAGTGTTGCAGCATGCAGGTGTAGCCTCAGAGCAAGTGCAGACGGAGTGGGTGATGCTGAAGTCTCATCTTTATAACAAGTGGGTTTAAGACTGACATTTCTGAAAACTCATGTAATAGCGAAGTAAATGTGAATGCTTTAAAAAGTATCCACTTCAGCTGTTAATCAAATTTCTACTTTTCTTTAGGTACAAAGACAAAATCCAATCTCTTAAATGGGCAGAGATTTATAGTCTTTACGAGGATGGTCATGCAAATGTTCTTGCCATCATTGATCTCATCCTTACCCTACCAGCTAGTTCTGCTGCAAATGAGCGTGGCTTTAGCCAGATGAAACAAACGAAAACCAACACCCGAAGCCGAATGAACAACTCGACACTCAACCATTCCATGATAATTCAGATGGCAACACTCAAAGTGAAGGAATTTGATCCTGATCCTGCAATTAACCCTTAAACTTTTGGGCGAGTGAAAACTTATCCGGGCGAGTGCATTTTGAGGGTTACTTGCCCGAATGACGAGTGCTCTCAAAATTAAGTGTCCAACCCTGTCATAAAATCCAAGTATCCTTATTGAAAAGCCTTGGCAAATGGAACAGCTTACCAAATGAAATAAAATCATGTCAAGATTGTCACAGTCTAGCAGTAAATTATGTAATTTCTCAGTTGCCAATATTTTAAAAATCTCTCTAAAAATATTTCTTTTAATACTGTATACTTATAGTATGGTTGACAATAATTCAAATTATTATTATAATCATTCTTCTTATTATTATTATTATTCTTATTATTATTATTATTATTATTATTACTATTAATTTTTTATCATCATTATTATCATTCTTTGTACAGTTTTACAAACTCCCTTTTTTGCGAATAATGAGTCTGGTCATTATAATACAGAGTTGTTTACTGCAGTTGCAGAGAAGATAATTAATGAACAAAATGCATCAACGCCACTTTTTCTATACATTGCACATCAAGCCATACATTCTGGCAACATACAGGAACTACTACAGGCACCAAAGAGATTGGTGAAATTTTTCTCTAATTTTCCTCACAATGGCATCAAATATATGCCAAATTATTGCTGATCATTGAATGACACACAACATTAACAATTTTCTCAACACAGGCCACATCTTGACAACTCCACAGCCACTTCTAAACACCCTCATCATATGCTTCAAGTGCCAAAATTCTAAACATATTTATTGCAATTCCAAATTATATAGCAAGGAATTGACTGATCATTTGGAATTTGTAACATCAATAGAAACTACAAATGCAATCCCAAGTTAAATGGATTGATCAAACAATGAGATGTTAAGAGTTGGGAACTGAGCACTTCATATAGACATGAAAATAAAGAGAAAGATGATTCCAAAGTTGACATTAGCGGTCCTGACGTTAGCACTCCCAACTACGTCACTCTTGTTAATGATTTAATCCCTGGTCACTGCACCCAAATTAGCCACAAATCCGGGCAACGAATCAATAACAACTTAGCAAAAAAGGCAGGATCTGTAAGAACCAAGTACAGAAATTCAAAGAATGGTGGAGAGAGAGGTCAGCTTGATCAGAAAACCCTTAAGGTTAGCATTTTCCAGAATGAACTTGTATCACTTAAAGGTGTTGAGGAAGAACTAAATGGGCTCAAGACAAGAGATTCAGGAATGAAAGAGAAAAATTGAAGACTTGAGAGCTTAAAAGAGAGAACTAGTAAAAGAAATGAATCGCCCAGTGAATCAATCAGCATATGTAAATAAATAGGTTAAGGAAGCAATTTGAGTATTTAAACAGGAATAGTGGTACCAGTAAGATACATTTGTATCCAAGTAATTTTCAGAAAACAGTGAACCTTTACTGTTTAAATATCAGTGTTGCAGTTCCTATGAATTGCAAGGTATAATGGTTTCAACCTTTTTAGATTCACAATAACTTTCTTTAAAAATGAATAATTAAGGGTTAGGAGACAAATAAAATCTAACATCAAACTAGGTTGAAACTATTTTAACCTGAATTTCACTTTGAAAATTAACTTTCATATTATCATATTAATGCTGTTTCTTTTGAGGCAGCCTCAAAATAACACAGAGGAAAATAGCAAGGACATTGACAGTCCAATAGAGCATGATGTCCCTCTTGATGATCTCAAAAAGCAACAACTCAGAACTCAATAACAAAATCGTGTTTTGAGTATCTCTGACAACTGGGAAAAGGTATGGGAAAAGTTGCTGAATTTGCACCTTAGAGAACAGCATCTCCCAGACAATGTAAACTATGTAAACTGTCGAGAAAGTATTGCTACAACACAATGTGAATACTGTGGCCCTCACCAGTACTTCTGTGTTGGATCTGTATAAGCTCTACATGTTAATCAAACCTTGTTTCATGTACTTGAGTGGTGGAAGGTGTGTATGAATGTTTTCTGGCCAGATGTAATTTATTCTATCTACTTTTAGTGTAACATATCTAGTTACACTGTACTTTTATCTGCCTCTTGCTTTCTTTATTTTAATAGGATCTGCAAAATTTTGGTTAATTTCTCAACTTCTAAAGTCCACTTTGGCGAGAAACTCTCTTTACAAAAGTTTCAGTGATTCTGGTATATAAGAAAAGGTTACCTCGAAATAATAACATTCGAAAAATGAGGAAAAGGGGAAAAAAAGGTACAAACAAAACCAGTTTTGAATTCCCAATAATTGCAATTACCTTATTTTCCTCCAGAGACTATCAAATTTAGCTTAAAACCACCAATAAAGTTTATTTTTTATTTCAGTGATGTTTTCACTTTAGATCCTGATGATGCCGGTGCCTTTAATGTCTTTAGCGACCAAAAAACAGCCGGTGGGGGGTGGACAGTGTTTCAAAAGAGACTGGATGGCCCAGTGTATTTCTTACTCAGTCTGGAAGATTACAAACGAGGCTTCGGAAATTTTAACGGTGAGTTTTGGCTCAATTGAAACATGAGAAAAGGAAGGATTACTAGAAAAAAAGTCCACCAAGTATGAATATAGTGGTGGCCTAAATAAATTAACAACCTCAATTCCTTTTCAATTCTGATGCAAACACTTTAACAAATGATTTGCTCATTATCTTTGTTTAATTGTACAAATTCATCCTGGATAAGGGGTGGCTTTTACTCTTCCAAAGTGATCTTGCAAAGCTAATGGAAATGCTCAAGAATGATACTAAAACACCTGAAGTTCTTACATCACTACTAAACAACACAGAAGAGAAAAGGGAAGGAGGAAAGAAGAGAAGGAAAGCAAGACATCTTTAACCTCTCTAAAGAAGGGAAGCAAGACCTCATGCAGAAAAATTGTTGTGGACATAAAACAAAAACTTTTAGATAGAATTCAAAGTAAAAGATTTGTTGATTACAATGATGCAAGACTATTAATTAGAATATTTTGTTCAGTATGAGTAACTCCATGACATGGTATACTATGATACTAATTGGAGCACTCTCTTTGGATACAACAAGTACAGCTCCCAGGGAATATCAGAAGTGTTACTCAATTTATGGTGGACAGGTATGGAATATTAGTTTCATAGTGCACAGAGATGATTTTTTTTGTCACTAAAGAAATCAAGAGCCACCATATAAGGTGCACTCATAGCAAAAATGGAATTTTTAAGAAGAGGAGTCAAAGTCAGGTTGGATGCTCATATCTCATGAAATTTTGAGGATTCTCTCACTTTGAGCCAGTGTGAGCACAAGTGGTCTACAAGTGCTGCTCCTCTAACAGACACTGAATTGAAAAATTCAGTTTCTAACCAGCCTAGCAACTAAAAACCTACTACCTTTTCTACCAAAACCCAACAAATCCTTCTGTTTAGTTAAAGGGCTTATTTACATGTTGCAGTCAATAGACAACAGAACCTCTCAGATGGATAAACCAAACTCAACTGCACAAGCATTGTAGCCTCACCAAGAACAACTGCTAGAACCTGTGACCTGGCTCATGCAGATGAATCAATGGCAAATGAGGAATGGTTGAAACAATATGAAAGGGAGTACGATGAGAAAAGAAAGAGAAACTACATTCACTTAACCCACCCCTTAATTAAGTTCAGGAAAAACTTCTTTTATATATTCCATTATAAATTACCAAGAACATTAAAAGAGGCCATGCTGCTCTCCAATTTTAGAACCTTTTTTAACCAATCTTACGTGATATACGAGATAATGCTGAAGACAATGCCAGCTGGCAGTCTCAGGCATCAGTTAAGCAAGGTAACCTGAGGGTTTTTCAATACTTAAGTACTTTTACTGCGCTGTGTTTAGTGTCAAGCCAGTTTCACTCATGTTTCCTTTCTCGCTAACTTGCCAACAGCTTCTCTGCTTTATGGTTTCCTCTGTTTAGTATTCTTATATTTCTTATATATTTTTATATTTCTTACATTTCAATATTTCAGAATGTCCATCTCTGAATCATTTATATCACATAAGAACAGTCTTATATTTTTGCATAAACATCCTACACCAATCAGTTCAGTGTATTAGCAAAAGCAAACCTCAAATTTGCATACAAGCACTAGAAAGTAGATTAAGAGAGCTCTTCAAGTGAACAGTGATCCTTTGATAGCCTTATTAGATCAAAGAAACATACCAACTAAGGCACTAGGAACAAGCCTAGCTAAGAAGTTGATGCCTCACCACACCACAAGCTTGATACCCACAGCCACAAGTATCAAGCTACTGCACCCAAAAGTTCCATTAATGTTGAAGATGAAAAGACAAAAAAGCCTAATGATAACTCATGAGTGATTCTCCTGCAGCCCACCAGAGATAGACAAAGGACAAGATATCAGAGTTTTACATTTACAAAACAATCAGTCTGCTAAATGAGTACTTTTATGGAGGCATTGTCAGATAGACCCTTTATGGTGAAAACAAACACAGACAAGCAAGTCTGTTATAGAAACTAATAACTTTTAGCAAGCTGAGAAACCAGCAGCTCCATTCAAGGCAGTTGAAGACACTGAAAGCTAGCTTTCAAAGCATAAGGTACAGATACTAATACCAGAACCAAAAGGCACATATCTACACCACCTTCTCTTCCAGTGACAAGGACTCAACCCAGTGTTGAAATACCACCCTCTACATGTAGGTTCAGTGACTTTCTTATTTAGTTTCCAGCTTTGAAAAGTGACCACAAATCCCCACAAAAGAGGGATGTTCACACAACCTCAGCTTAAGACAGTGTGCAAACCAGATACTCCAAACTGGGAGTTTCATGTTTTCTTTTGTAAATAGGTGAATATTCTTGACAGTAGACCATTCACTATAGAGCTGTAGCAACATGAGGCTCCTTGCCAGAGGGGTTAGGGAACTGGGTGGGTGAAAAAGAAACTCCAGGCCCTTCTCTTTGATGAGTTTTAACTGTACAAACACTTGTATTAAAATTAGATTCTTCACAGCTTTAAGAATTACAAATTGTATTCATGTCAATATTGATATTAGAATATTACTACTTGTCTCTTCTAAGAGTTACAAATATAGTTTTTTTATTGTCTATAGTAGTTTTTGTACAAAATTTATGTGATACTCAAGGCCCTGAGGGGAGTATTTGTATGTAAGTTTTTAATAAACATCATTCAGTAAAGGTCTCTCATCAGTCCATTTTTTGCTTATCTTTTAGCTACAGGATATATTCAAAGCATTGTATTGAATCACAGGATATGTAATTTTATATTTGCAAATATATATATTTTTTTTATTTTTTTAAATCTCATAAGCTAGTAACAAATTCCCATTTAAAAGGTACAAAAGTAAAATACTAATTTAATTTCAAACCCAAGCTTATCTTGTTGCATACCCAAGTACCAAATTATGAATTTCTGTTACTGAAAAGCCATTTTAGGGAGTGGCAATAATTATGGCATAATTATTGAAAATTTACAGTATGCTGAACGAATGCTCAAAGATTAAGATGAGTTTTGCAAATAATGAATGAAAGATCTGTCTGATGAGTATTGTTTATAAACGTAAAAACGGATCAGTTAGTGTTCATAACTTAAAACACTGTCTCCTGAAAAGGATGACTTGAGCAAATTAAAAAATGTGACTTTTATGCTATTTTCCATGTGTGACTTTTTTGCTATTGTTTGTAATGTGTGACTTTTTCACTTTCGTTTTGAGAATGAGAGGACTGTAATTACTGTTAGTAACTTTTGGAAGCAAATTGTTGCAAGTACAATGAACATGGTCAACAAAATTTCCCGTAATTCCCGGTGCATCTTGTAACAGGGTATTAATATGAAATTTTCATTTTGCTTCCTTGTCACAATCGTCTTCAAAAGTTTAGGGTACGTCTTATAACCGAGTGCGCCTTATAAGTGAATAAATATGGTATTTTAGTTCCTGAATGAATCAATCGGATCTCAAAAACATATTATTGAGATCTCTGAGAAACAAGATATGGTGTCAAACAATCAGTTTTGGTTTGTAATTTGAACCTTACTTTATGGAAACTAAGTACCTCAACAAACCAGTAACATGGAAGAATAAATGACAAGTCATTTCCAAATTAAGGTTTGTCCAGTTCTTCAAGTCAACACAAAATAAAACAGAAAACAGTGGTTTGAAAATTTCTGCTTCAACAGCAGTAATGTTTCACTACTAAGTGGAAGCTATCTTAAGTAAATTATTCCAAAGGTGACTGTGTTCAGATACATAGGGAATCTTTTTGTTTCTTTGCTTTAATGAAAAAACAAATCTTGTGCCATAACCTGGTGACGGGAATTGCCTTCAATGCTTTATAAAGGGAAGTTTTCATTTCCAAATCAATAAAAATGAGGAATATGGAGATATTGGCAAACCTGGTTGATGTCTTCTTGAGTGTGAGCAACCATAAGATCCATAACTGAACCTACAAAAAATGGAAAAGTATTTGAGATCAACAGGCATCCTAAAAATCAATTTCATTAGCTTATCAGTGTCTACAATCCATAAAAAAAATGTGTGTGAAAAAGGCAATGAGACATTACAATTTAAAAAAAGAAAAAAAACCTTAGTCACCTTTTCAAACACTGGCTTTCACTGGAAGGGCACAAAATCCAAGGATATGGATGTTCTTGCAATCTGTGTAGCAATTGTCCCAAAGCAGATATAATAATGGAGGTAACATCTCTCACTTCACAGAAAAACAAGAATAATATAAAGGATAAAACTAGTGCAAAATAAAGGTCAAACCATATTATTATTTCCAACAGACACTCCATAGCACAGGCAATCAAAAGGCTCAATTCTCCTTTTTTTAAATCTGACTCGCTAAAATCATAAATTGGTTGCCAAGAAGACAATTTTAGCCAAATCATTGCTCAGGTGAACTACTGTTGACTTTATTTTGCAATGGATTGAGAAGGCCTTTGTGACTATTTTAAACCAAGGGCGATTTGTCAGGATGTTGATATTAATCCATTGGTCATCGAATTAGCATCCTGTAGCAAGGCATCAAATCCAGAGAGCAAAACACCAAAGCATTTCCCATTCCGATGGGAAACACTGCTAAAACGAAAGGTCAAAATTGCTGTCGGTTAAGCAGGACGCTTGGCAGAATTGTGGATCAAGCGCCGTTGAGAAGCACTAATATTAAAATAATTACGGCTACTTCTTTGTCGAATTCCACGAAGAGGAAAATAAACCTGTTCAACAGGATTCACCTTCCGATCAAACTTGTTTCAAATACTAAATTCCGAACACGTTGTACAAAAACTAGAAATAAAAACAGCTCAGTCCAATGTGGAAATTTGACGCAGCTACTATCACAAGGATTTAATGATCGTATCGGTTCAAAACCCACCCAAAATCTGTGCGGAATAAAGACAAACGCTATAGATTCAAAGCACGTGTGCGATCATCGCTTTGCAGTGAAAGGGATGTTGAAAAAAGAGGTCGACTGCAAAATAGTTTTGATTGAGAAAGAAATACTGTTGTCGTAATTTCGCTATTATTGAACCATGGTATGCAGTGACACAAATATCAATTACAAATATACATTCAATCTAACCCTTCCCTTTCCCTGGGTTGTTTTCTTGCAAGGAATTTCTATGCACTACAGACTGGATACCCATGAAAAACTGTAAAATCACACAAATATTCACTTATAATGGAGTAGAAGACGACCAAAACTAAAATTTCAGATAAATTTGCTCAAAAGACAAAGAAATTACCTTCACAGATGCAACACAGATGCAACACAGATGCAACACAGATGCGACACAGACGCCGACCGAACGTTCTACTTGACACGCGGCATGCGCAAGAGTTGGATAATCGAGTTCCTGTTCCCACCCAAGAGAGCGGACCCTGGGAACGAGGTTGACAAAGAATCCAGCTCCACTCCTAGATCTGCTACAAGTTATGTGTTGGTATCCTTGCAAAATCGTTACATTGCATTTTCAATCAAAAGGGAACGGAAGCGAAACATTATAAGACTTGCAACTTTTGATTCAACACCAAATTTGAAAGATAAGAAATGTCTGAGACAGATGTGAAAATTGCTAATTGCGTAATCGAGAGTGAGAGCTAACATGTGAAAACATTCCTCCGCACTTCAACGTTTAAAATTAAAAAAAAATTCAAATTAAAAACAGGGATTTTATAAATTTTGTGCTTTCCTTTAGCACAAAAAAGATTTACAGAGCAGATGCGTCTGCAAAGCAACCTCCAACGGTTACCGTGGTCTCAGCCGAAGTCAAATGCGATCGTCACATGACGAGCCCAATCGGCGGCAGTGGGAGATGTATGGAGATGTTGCTCGGATTTACATCTGCATCAAACACCTGCTTCTACTACCATCGCCCACCACACCTAAAATTGGAATAAAAACCTAAGAAAGGTTGGGGGGGGGGGGATTGCCGAAGGTAAACACGACTATAGTACATCTCTCACGATCAGTCTCCGAGTTAAATTCGACAATTTAGTGCTAAATGTATTGGATGCTACTGATATTAAAGGATGGCTTGACCTAATACTGTATACAGTAAAAAAATCATATTTTTTTCTAATATGGCTAAGAAAACAAGTGATGCAATGATCTTTAAAAAGATCTATTGTCACATGTTAACCCTTTAACTCCCATGAGTGACCAAGACAGAATTTCTCCTTACAACATCAATACAGTATCAAGCAGACAAGTGATGAGAATAAAGAAAATATCAGTTAGGGGATTTTAAGTTGATCCAATGCCAAATTCTCCAAACTAACATCACAAAAACTGTATGGTAGACATGGTAGACTCAGAAGAATTACTAATGAGATGTTGAGAATTAAAGGATTAATAACACCTCCATGGGGTTTTTCCTTAAAATGAAGGTTGTTGACTCACAAATTAATGACTGATACCAAGAGTTGGTTAATTCAACTAATTTTATTTTAATTTTTATGTACTGTCAATCCTTCAGGGATGCTGGAAAGAACCCAGCTGCCAATTGTTTGAGTTCTGTTCTGAGTTCAACTGGACTCCAACAATGCACTCATTACATCAACTACCAGTAGGGCTTATATTTATATCTATCACTGTTTGAAATATACTTTTAATTTTATCCCACCATTACACAAATAGTAATTAATGTAAAATAAATACTGTATAAAGTTCTATCAGCCAGTCCCGTACAGAAAAGTAATATTCTTTAACAAAGAATGACTCTGGTCCAGCAGAAGTTGCAGAAAACAGAAATCCACTTGGATAATATTTCCTGTAAATAATATTTTTTTTCTTACTTACATTACAATAATAATAGGAACATATGATATTTTACAATTGGTGTTATTATTTCTGGTATCTAGGAAATACAGTATCAATCCCACAAGCACCTGTCCAGTAATTAGCTGAATTCAAACTGAAGTACAACCTTCATTCTCCATTTATTATAATTACACATGCATCTATATTTGAAATTGTTTTAACCCAAAAGAAATATACAGCCTTGAGAGCTTGTAATCAATAATGATTTTTCAATTGCTTGCTTGTTCACACATGCAACACAACCAAATTCAAAACTGGACCAAGAGAAGGTTGTCAGCATTCATTTACTGCAAACCTTTTACTCAACAAACCTTTCTAGGCAAATCACCTTTGTCAAGGCTTCACCCCATCTTAAGGCAGAGAGGGAGACAAACAGACTCTAACAAGAAGGAAACTGTCTTCAGACACCTCATTTGTGATGTTCCACCACCTCAAATATTTTTTTAATTAGCATCTGGCTCTCTAAATCCTTCACTATGCATCTTTTTACCAATGACTTCCAAGAAAGCCTTGGCCTCAATGTTTGTATCCAATACACTTTTTTCCTCTACCTGTTTAAGAAAAAATGACACAGTGATCTTAAGTGTAGTAACATTGAATCACAGAATTTAACTTGCCAAACGCCATAAAATTATTAGTTTTATCAGTGCATTTCAATCATACCGACAGGGTTCGAATCCTTTTCAGAAACAAATTTTAAAGACCTTTCTAAGACTTTTCTGAGACTTTTCCATGAGATTTATTTTTTTAGGACTTCAAATTTCACTTTAAATCCTTTCATTCCCAAGATTTCAAACTCAATTCTCCTTATAGCCTACATACATTTCTTAAAATGTAAAATCTGAAACTTTATTCCTTGAGTGAAGCAAATTTCCAGGACTTTTCAGAACCCATAGTCTTTTTCCAGGACTTTCCAGGTTTTTCAGGACCCATAAAAACCCTGTACAAAGGGTGGCTTAATTTTTGTTCTGGTTTTTTTGTTACCCCGCCATAGGATTAAAAATCAGTATCATATAATTCTAGATAATTGCACCCTCCTGGCTGCAGACCTGACAAGAGCTGACAGCCAGCCAAAAACACTGGGTTGTCTGCCATTTTTAGACTACTACTTGTGCCTCATTTTATCATAATTATTGTGATAAAAATTCTCACAAATATTGATAAATCATCAAAAGAATTTTTGTAAAGCATCAAACATTTCTCTGGTTTTGAGAGGTACTGAATGCTTAATTTAGTCTTGCATGTAACATGACTAAACACCATGGCACCTATAACAAACTAGCTGCCTACTATTTCTCCTTTGCCTTCTGCTCTAAATCTTACTAACAGCCCTGTCGCCAGCCCAATAAAAATCACTCTTTTGTAAAGAAGCAAACAGAAAATAACTGATTTTGCTAAGGAAACACCTGCCTCATTTTCTGGTGGTACACCCACACCCCAAGCCTCAAGTCTATCAAGCTTAAACTCCTCTTCTGCAGAGAGGACTGGGCTGCCATATGTTGTGCAGGAAGGCTGCCCACGGCTATGTCCTGAGCCAAAGTCCTCATTTAACCAAAATCCAAAGTAGTTTAACTGACCTCCCATACCCTGTTAAAAGAGCAAAAAATTAGTGTTAGAGTGGAGTTCAGCAATATAGAATACCACTAAAGCAACACCAAACATAAGTCATTGTCTGCCACTGTGAGCCACAAACAGTGTATACTATCTAACTCTTACAGATTATCCAGGAGTCTCTCACATAGAAAGAGAATCTCTTGGTCTCCATTACAATTTCCTTAATCTCCCAGATAAAAGTGAATTTGGATATTTTTTTCTAAAAAAGAAATGAGATCAAGTATAATTTTAAACTTGAATTTTATCAGTAATGGTTAATACATTTCAAGTTGTTGTCAAGTAGTTCCTTTGCTATTTTACACTCTCTCTTCACAAACAAAATTAAGCTTAATTAACAATTTGGTAGTCACTTTGGTAAAGGTCACATAGTCATAACTCGGAGAGAGTTAGTTATGACTACCAATAACAGATGAAAGGAAGACATAACAAAATCACAAGTTTGGCCCAAAACCTCATAGTTTCCATGTTACTCAGAAGGAAAGTAATAAATTTTATTAAGTCTTACCAATCCATTAGGCATTGTTTGCATGCCCATGTTCAGATACATGAAGTTCTCATTGTAACCAGTAGGATGATACACACCCATTTTAGGCTTCAGGCTGAACAGAAAGCAGTAGCTGTCACCTGCAAAACAACAAAATTAATAAACAAAGACAAGAAAGTGTTACTTCTTGATAATAATAATTATAATAGTAATAATAACAATAGCAATAGTAACAATTACAATAATTATAATGATGGTTTATCCTATAGTTCCAGCAAGTGGCTTTCTTTTCTACATAATAAAATTATAATAGCTGATATATAAAAAAAAAATTACCAAAAACAAATATTTTAAGAAATAACAATACATCAAACTGTTCTTGTCAGGCTGATACTGTTTATGATACCTTACTTTATTTAAAAGTTTAATAAAAGCTGTCTAATTGTTACCAAACATTTCCTGTGAATTGTCAAGAAGTGCTGTTTAGCCTAGGTGCATTGTCCTGGGAAGTTTGATCCAATTGTGGAGGGAACATACCACCCCTATACATGACATATTTCCTCTGCTAAGTCCCTAGTTCTTCAAAAGTTTGTCAATGAAAGACTATGCCACCCATACTTACCCACAAAACTCAGACTTTATCATCATAATGCGACAAACCCTCCAAAAGCATGTCCATATCTCTCTGGTAAGTACCTTGTCCTTTAAAATTGTGTCAACTTAAGACTGCTCTGTGTGTACTTACCTACAAAATGAGACTTTATAGACCAACTAACTGAGGCAAACCCTCCAAAAATATGTCCACCAATGTCTCTGGCAACAATAATCATTGGGCCTTGATTGGTGATTTGATGAATAAAAGCACTGAAGCTCTCACCATGAGTTTGAGTGGAGAATAGTAGACGCCATTGATGTTGAGATGATTGAGGCAAGTGATGATTAAGAAGAATGATAGATGGAATGTCCAAAAGTGAATCAACTTTATTGAAATTCACTTCAAACTTGCATGGCATTATTATGTGTGACCTGAAGAGATAAGAGCTGTCTTAAAACCTGGGCATATATGTTTGAATTGAACACTTGGTCCAAAATAATCTGTGTGTAATCTTGAAAAGGGAAAGAGATGTACCCCAAGACAAAAGATAGAATAATAGATACAGTTAATAACATTTTGATCGATGACTGAACAAGGCAACATGGAATTTATTTCTTAATTATATAATAAGTTGAAATCTATGAGAAGTTTGATTGGTTCTTATCTATGAGTTTTTTTAGTATAGATGCATAAACACATGTTGGGACTGTTCTGGTAATGGTCCCCGAAGATGTCAAAATGTGGTAAAGATTGACTCTTTTTTGTTCATACCAAACTTTGACACATCTGTGATCTGCTACTGAACAGACAGATGGAAACATGGAATGTAGTTGTTAAACTGAACAATATTCACCTGTCGTACTGTACATGTGCAACTGTCTCTTCACATCCTTCCTCTAAACCATGAGGCTTGGCTTCTAACAGACTCTCTACATCAAAGAATCCAGCCCTCATAACAGCCAGAAACAATTTTTCTATCAGCGGAAATTTACTAAACCATGAAATAACCTCCTCTGGAGAAACACAACTAGGGTCTGCTTTCTTCCCTAAAAGTTCTTGAATAGCATTTTTGGCAAATCTGTGGTTTGCCTCAGCATTAGTATGCAGTTCCCATTTTGCACCATCAGTAGTTTTTTTTAATGCCATAACATAGGCATCTAATAATGTTTTACAGAGTTCTTCCACCTCAACACTTGTCACTACTTGGTCAACATCAGCAGTTAAGTGGTAAAATAGCTGTCCTTTCTCTGCTCTGCTCCTCTTAAAGACATGAGACATTGACACAAAAAAAGCCACCCTACCCACTTGACCATCTTCAAGTGGATTTTTCACTACTCGGCGAGCTCGTTGAATATTACACATCTCTTTGAAGAAACGGCTGATAACGCACTCAGGTAAAAGCCATGCCAAGTGATTCTACAATAAAGAAAAAGGAAAAAGAAAAAAAATTCTATTATAGTTTTTAATCCACATGTGTAGGATTTACATGCATGGCTTGATGGAAGGCAAGTATATAATGGTAAAGGCCCCTTGCTTTAATAATTCTTCATCCTCAATAAATCTCAAAAATTGGAATATAGAAAATTTCATGTCATTTGCCTTTGAGTAAAAAGCTTCCTTAAAATATGGAATGATTCCTATCGTTTTGAGAAGAATGCTCATATTCTCAATAGAAAGTTTGTGAGCCATGATTGTTTTCTTTCAAAACACGTATATTTATAGAAAAGTTTGGAGATAGAAATGAAAGAGTATTTTGAAGCTTTGCATCTGGTATATTTCAAAAGTAAAACTTCTTTGTCCCAAGAACCGAATAAGAATTTTAATTTTTTCCTTTTCTCAGTGTTTATTCAGCCAAAGTGTCACGAGTTGCAAGGTTTCCTCCTCAATTTAGCCAGTCTTAATAAAAAACGAGAAAACAAGCGAAATTAGTCCTTATATTATCGAGAAAATTATTCAAGGAAATAAGGATGCAGATGAAAATTGTGTTGATTTTTAACAAGCGTGAATGCAACACAAGAAGGTTCAATTGTATTAGTAAAAGGCAGGTGAAATCGAAGGCGCTGAATAAAGCTACAAGAGCGTAATAAGAAAATAACAAGAACAAGAGATTTAGCGGTGCATAGCGGCTTTTTTTAATCGAGGTAATAACATTTAACACCTTCTGAATAAAACATCGATAAAAAATTTAAAAAGCTCTTCATTTGAAGTTGCAAATCAAATTAAATACGGCGATTCCCCTGTGGTAAGGCCTTACCTTAAGCGGTTCAAATTCTACCTTCATAACACCAAGATCATTAGCAGTAGCGAGCTGATTGAAAAGTGACAAGAGGTGTTGGCGTTCTTTCTCGGAAAAGGAACGGTAACTGTCCTCATATTCGATTCCTTTGCTTGCCAAAATCCCCATAATCTCTAGATCTCGCTTGCTAGTAGAGACTGGAAGGCGAGAACATAAATAGGAGAATAATTGAGAGAAGATTGGGGACGAAAGCCATGGGAAAAACGACATTACATCGACCGCACTACGGAGTTTACACGACGTCTACCGAAGCAGTACCGACTACGTCCGTCAGACTTCGTCCGTTAATACCTCATGTTTACTTTGTTTTCCAACATGGTGGATGAGATAGCGTTGAAAGAAGTACGTTTCAACTAATTTCGCTGTAGCCTTTGTTTCTTCTTTTAAACGGTATATTTTGATGCTACCTTTCACGTTTACTTCAGATGATGGAAAAAGATTTACCAGAAGTCATTTCATCCATGAGAGAAATGGGTGAAAAGGTAAGAAAATACCCACGTGGCTTTTTCCACTTCGATTTTCCATAACGAGCAAACCCTAGGACGTAATTAATCCATCAGAAACGTCGATCACAAACGAGATCGACAAGATAATCTTCTTGACTTTTAAACGGAGTTCTCATCATTGTGATTTTAGGGAAAGGAGAACATTTTGGTTCATAATGCATGTGAAATTACTTTACGAAGTAGCATCGCTCAAGACTGATACTCTCACTTACATAATGGGAGGAGGGGGTGGTTTTATCTTTGACCATATCTGGATGCTCGGCGGAGAGGAGGTAGGGGGGGGGGGGGAGACACATCGGGAAATTAAAGTGTTTCGTGCCACCAAAGTCTTTACCCTTTAACCCCTAAGAGTGATATATTGCCAACAATTTTCTCCTGTCAGGATCACCCATAAAACAAACATCGAGGTCATGAGGATAAAAGAAATGATCACCAACTAAAGACACTGCTGATTGTTGAACAAATTCTCTCTGTCAGTACCATTAGAAATGTATAGAGAACAGTATGGAGAAAATGTATACTGATGTTAGGGTGTAAAGGGTAAAGTAATTAACTAATGAAGAGATCATAGTTATTTTCCCCCCCTCAGATGTTATGTAAACTGTCTATCACAGGCTAGCCCCATACTTCCCTTCCAACTTTCACTTAGGAGTCTTTAATCTTGACTGCCTAAAGAAAACCCTCCATTTTCTCTGAGGCCAACATACGCTTTGTGTATTTTTTCCTCTAAGATTTCGGATATAAACCAGCATGCAGAAAGCTTACTAGTAAAAATTACAAGTGGATCATTGGCAACAAAAAAGGTATGTTAGTTAGATGTGTCAATTAATTTGTAGATATCCTCGAAAAAACAAACTTGGTTTGCTCTCTTTAAAATCTTCTTTAAACTAAATACTACAGCTACATATCACATATTTCAGTCTATTGCATCTTGTATTTTTCAGGGTGTGAGTTTTTTAGAACTTAAGTTTCATCTTCTCCTTAGGTAGGTACCTTGATGAAAAAAAGAGAATACAAGAATTTTGAATGAAAGTTCCTTTATTAATGTTAACTCAAGTTAACTTTCACTCCTCCATCTTAAAAGCAACTGGTTAACATCGTCAATTTATTTCAGACACCCTCAGATCCAATTAGGAATATTATTTGCTATCCTACTCATTCTGTTGAAATTGGCTTTTTCAAAAGTTTTTTATAGATCTTATAAACTTACAAATTGTTTCTGTCTCAGTTAATCATGATGTCTTCTTGAGAATTTAAAGTCTGAAATGTCAATTTTTAAGTTTTAACATTATCATTCCATTAATCTCAATGGATTTAAAAAAGATGTGGAATAAAATTCTGTTGCTTGAATGTATGGTTATGATCAAATAATGAACTGTCTATTGTAACAATTGAGGTCTTCCAATCTTGGGCAGGAACCTTTTCTGTCAGTGGAACTTAAGAGAGTTAAAAGTATACTGGAAAGAAATAATTACTATGGTGACTATTTCCCTTTATTTTTGTGTCACTGACAGCTATGTTATCGATCTCACTTACTACTTGTTAACAAAAACTGATGGGAACTCATGGCAGGGAGATCCAGCTGTGGACAGATTAGTTGAAGCACGCACAGTGAGTGTATACTTAAACATTTTTAGTTAAGATCTCCTTAAATATTGTGATTAAAAGTGTTTTCTTAACTTTTATTTTATATCATTATATTTCCTTAAGGTTTTGGAGAAACTGAGACCGATTGATCAGAAAATGAAATATCAGATTGATAAAATGATCAAGACTGCTACAACTGGAACAGTCTCAGGTATTTTAACAAACATTTAGCCTCCCTTCTCTTAGTTGGGTCTTAATGTAGTTCTAAAATCAGGGTTTTTACAGGTCCTGGAAAACCTGATAGTCCTGGAATTTTATTTGGACATTTTATTTCCAGGAGTGGAAAGTCCTGGAAAACAGCTACAGGTCTTGGAAAGTCCAGGAAATCCACTTAAATCAAGCAATGATTTATTCATGATTTTGAAATTTCAGGAATGAAAGGGTTTATAAGGTTCAATTTGAGTCCTGGAAAAGTCCTTGAAATTTGTTTCTGAAAAGGGCTACAAATCTTGTAAATTGATCCCTTGACAAAACCTTGCAGTTCGGCAGTGAGTTTGATGAATATGCATGTTGGTGGGCCTGGTTTTTTTTTTATTATTTTTTTAATTTAAGTCCCTTGCACATTTTTCTTTCTCCTAAAGGTGCTGAAATTGATCCTTTGAGATTTAAGCCAAATCCAGACAACATGGTTTCAAAGGTATTTCATTATCTATCCAATTTTTGTCAATAATCTTACAAAAAGTTAGGCCTCAGATATCCCTTTTCACCCCAGGGTGATAGCAAATGAGCGCGTCAGATCCCAGACCATCCATTCAATACAAATACTGTTTTGCAATGGATTGAAAGTTTCCTCAAACCAAGTGCTCTTGAATAGAGTTGTGTATCTTGTAGCCTTTGTATCTTAAGGGCAGTTTTACTGCCATTAGTTTTCATTACAAAAAAAACATGTCTGTATGAGCCTTTCCAAGCTTAAAATTATATTTTGAGACTTGAGATCATGATCATAATTTATCATAATACATGTCATATAGTTGAAAGAATTGCTTTAGGGAATGCATTTGTTGATTTTTTAAATTCATTACACAAAGCTTGACGATGAGGATTCACAGAGTAGTGATGAGGAAGGTGCCCCTAAAAAATCCAAAGTTTATGTTCCTCCAAAAGTAGCAGCTGTTCCTTATGGTAAGTCTGGAAATCTGGTGGAATTTCATCAAGTATCATGATTTTAATAGCCCAATTTTAAAATTATGATATTCACAGTAGGACAAAAGACTTCAACAGAAGGCTCCTGGGAGTAAACAAGAGAAGTTGTGTGGTTTTTTTCCTCAGAGCTATCCCCTGTTGTGATGTGAGCCCTTGTGCAATTCCCTCACTGCAGTCCGTGTTGCCAACTCTTGGTGCCTTGTAAAAGGTGCTTGAGAAAAAGAAACGGTTAATGTAGTGTGAATGAGCACTTTACATGGCTTGAGGATCTCAGATTTTTCTTTTCTCCCATGCTTGTGACAAGACGTATATAACGTAGTTCTTTCTTCCACTGCTGAGCTCAAAATGTAAATCTTTCGAATTCTTTATATTCACATATTGTTTTAATTAAATTCCAGATGATAAAGATGATAAGAAGACTAGGAAAGAGAAAGATGAAGAAAGATCAAGGAAAAGGGTTTTGACTAGCTCTGTTTTACACGATCTGAGAGGTACAGTACATTTGAACAAGACGGCGGCGTGGAAGCAACTGTTTAGACCTATAATCATTTATTCTAATTTTCTTATTTTTCTTTCAGACGAATACAGTGATGCACCACAAGAAATTCGGGTATGGTTATCTACTTTTGCCTTTAAGAGTCTTCAAGAGCTTTTTCTCAGAACATTTTGCTATCTCGATCAGAGAATTTGATTGTTGGACAAAGTTTATAACTCTATTTTGTCAACCGTTTGTTCTTTAATTGAAGTGTCTCTTTTTCGTAGGATGAAACTGTTTCGCGTTGGAGAAAACAAAAAGAGAAGGAAGAAGAAGAGGAGCGAACGAGGTAAGCTGTATGACTTGTTCTCGATCGTTTTGTTTAGAGCGCATTCGGATTGGGCGTCTTCAGAACAAAACCAAAGTAGTGCAACGTCCAATCAAAAGAAACTTTAATATCACAATGAGCCAAAGCAAGTACCAGAAAACTTCCTTAAACGCGGGAAAACGCAAAGACCCAGTCGCGGTTGGTTTAAACCCTTAACCCCAAGGAGTGTCTGGCATTTAATTTCTCCACACAGTATCACTCCTTAATCAAACATTAACGTCACGAGAATAAAGGAAATGATCACCTACTAAAGAGGCTCTCAATATATAAACGCATTCTCCTTTTCAACAACCTAGGAAATGTATAGGGAACAGTATTGAGAATATGCATACTGATGGTAGGGTGTAAAGGGTCAAGTATTGCATTTCGTTTGTTGAGAGTGACCAGTGCGAGTTTTCTAGATCAATCACAGAAAACATTGAAGCAGACTTTATTTAAACAGCTCATCGGATTTCTTCGCTTACTCGATATTATCGGTAAAGTGGAAATGAAGATTGCTCGCTATATGCTATCGTGTTTTATATTTACTTGTTTATTTTTTCGGTCACTGGATGTGTCATCGACCATGCAAAGTTGAAAGTTTAATGCGAGTGTTTGCACTTGCTAACGGAAAATACCTATCGAATTCCTGGTAACACTAAACATAATATTTCATTTATCTTTCGTCTTAGATATGAAGAGGAGAATCTACTTCGCCTGCCAGCCAAGAAGAAGAAAAAGGTAAGTTTGTTTGTCAACATTATCCTTTTATTTATTGGTTCCAGCACGCTACTGACCAACTGAACTTTATTTGATTAATAATCTAGATATCAGAGCGTGCCCAGTCAGGCATGGACGAGCTGACCTCATTCGCTGATTTGTCTGTATTAAATGACGATGAAACGGTTAGTATAAAGTTTTTCAGATCTCTGTGATACAATTACGTTTGGTCACTTTGATCAACAAGGTAATAAATGGCTCAATATTAGTGAAAACAATTATGCAGGTTTGGGTAGTCGGGTAGCGTCTCGATCCCAAACTCCCTCTGTTTTTTTCGCTAAGCCGCCATTGTCACGCCATTTATCATTTGGCTGCTGAACGCCTGAAAGAGGCTGTCTGTGTATGTGCTGTGATATTTACTGTTTCGTTTGTGTTTTACAGAGTGGTGATTACTCAACCAGGTCCAGGTAATTTTATTTCTTTCTTTTGTGTTTTTATTGTACTGTGTGTCAGAGTTTGGTTATTGGGTTTTAGCTCTGCTTTTCCATCGATTGAGGATTACTACGAACAGTGTCGGAAGGGGGTGAGTTGTTCCCGTGTGGGGAACAAAACTAATCAGATCAAGGAGTAAAATCTAAGAAGGGGCCCAATGAGAAATCAGAGTGAAAACGTAAATAACTTCAAGTGCATGAAACCACGGTTAGTCCAGTCGCGATTGGTTTTTCTTGCTTGCGCACGCGATTGGTTAAAAATGTGGCGCCAGATTTTTAGACCAATCACAGCGCCCCAATACAGACCCTTTTGATCTATTACCAGTCCACCCATGGTCATCGATTTACTCAATGCGTGTTCGTTTCTCTTGCAGTTCGCGCAGTAAAACATCAAAATCTAAGGTAGAGTATCTTCTTATGATTCCAAATGTAACCCTGATTAGAGATTTTTAAAAAAAATTCTCCCAGACTCTGTAAATCATCAACTATACAACGTTGTTTTCACCCCAGTGTAAAATGCTCTTGTAGTTATGATAACATGTTTTTTGCAGTGGAAGAAAAAACGTGGAGCTACGAAGAAGGGAAGGAAAGGTTAGTTATACGAACTTATCTTACTTATTTGAAATTACAAGATAATTAGGTTTTATAATGTTGGTATTGTAGAGAGTTGCCAAAGCTGACGTTTCGAACGTCAGCCCCTCGTCACTCGCGCTGACGGGGGGATAAAGCTGAAACTTCAACTTAGAAACTCTTCGCAAATTTCCTTTTTTTTTCCTTGAAGTAACTTCCACCGACACAGCACCACAGTTGTTCTAGAAAGATTAAAACCTTCTTTCGATAACTGTGTTATCTCTCTTTGCTTGTCAATCAGGGTTCGCTGGAAGACGCCGAAGATGAAACAAGAAATCAACGAGGCCAATTGAATGATTAAAAAGTGAAACGTTTTCGTGGTCTTTAATTTTTTGTTTCTACATTGTTTTCACTCACTTTTTTGGCAGACTTCGCATTCGATCGCAGCACTTAAAAGATACTCGCCATTATGGAGTTTAGCTAAAATCAGCTGGAGAAACATCTACACAAGCAAGTAATCCCACCTAAATGAACTTGATAAGAAAATCTAGGCTCAAGGGATCCGGTAGCCTGTTGGACCGGCGTATTTTGCCAGTTGCAGAAGAGCGGAGGCGCGCACGAGGCACAAACGGGCGTGTCTTGTACCTCGTTCTTTCCTTGATACTTCCTCTTTCCAGCCTCCCCACATCTGAAAAGCGTTAAAAAAATTAATAACGCCCATTGGCCTCTATTTCTACGGAGAAAGTCTCGTACATATCGTGCCTTGCTGGGATGTTTTCACGAATTAACTGTTCACTATAGCGTGATTCAGTCTTGCATGCTGGTATCTTAACAGTTTTTTGTTTCACATTTCCTGCAACTGCTAAGAAAGAAACGTGTTTATTCGGTTCTCGTAGTGACTGCGATAAGATGTTCTACTCTTTGAACTTGCGTCAATTTTATTCGACCAAAGCCAGGAACCTGTTGATGTGGTGAATAAATGAATAAAGGTGTAACTTAATCACACCTTACTCCCTGTTTTCTTTTTTCTTTGTTGAGAATACTCGCATAGTTTCGAAACAATTTTCTTGAAATAAGAACGAGTAAATATTTCAGGCCGATAAATTTACGCGATCCCGTAGGGCGAGTGCCATTTCTAATCTGAGAAATTTATGAGTTCTTATCTGTGCCAAGTTACACGAGAATTCATTTCATTACTTATTAATAATTGTACTAGACCGTGTGGAGTCCAATTCGATCTGTAATCATACGAGTGATTACCACGGTCCGATTGGTAATCACGAGTGTGATTACAAACAGAATTGGACAACAAGAAGTCTTGTTACGAATTAATCATAACCATTTCAATTTCTGAAAAAACAAATACACCTAGAATAAATATCTCCAGTGGCAACAATGTCTTGAGTTGAACATTCGTCTATTTTGGGAAATTTCCCAGTTTTTCTTAGGATAAGTGGTTGTTGCTATGGTTATTATGATCAATTCTGTGATTGGTGGATTTAGCTGAGTGAACTAAGTACGGGAGTATCGATACTCCTCAAATGACACCCTACTAGTGGTTCATCAGATTTTCCTCAAGTATTTATATGCAAAGCCATGAATAGGAATGCAGGGTGAAGTAGAAATCCCATTTTCTAGTCCAAGTTTTGTCCAAATCAAATTTCACAGCCTAATTTTTGTCAAAATCTTTCTCCAATTGCATTTTTTGTGCATGCTTTCCTGGGACTCAAGTCAAATTTATTTTCACTAAAAAAACGAAGCAAATCCTCGTTCGTCATTTACCACTTCAGGCCTCTCTGTACATGGGTAGAACCAAAGAAGCCATATCACCAAAAGAAGCCACATCACAGTTTATGTGCATCTTAAAAGATTTGTCTCAAATCTTTGTGTGTTCGTCAATAATTATCATTTGCAATTCATTTTAACATTCTCCACTCTTAAAAAAATTGTTTCTTTGGTTTATTGTCGGCTTTTGCCTACCCTGACCAGCTATTATTCAACGGTTTGAGAAAAAAGGTGCAAAGGTGCGTTAGAGATGCCTGAAACGATTTGGTAAAGTTGATGAGATATGTTTCTCATTGTAGCTATCCTTTTTTGTCATGTTAGATTTCATGTTTTTGTGCTTTACACCATGGGATCACGCTTGTTTGTATTTTTTCAGTCGGATTGTTCACAGTTATGTAATCGGGATAATCAGTTAAAAAAAAAAAAAACCGACAAATTTCTCTGTGATAAGTTTTGTTTAGTTTTTTTTTTAACCTGACTGGGCCTAACCAATATACTTATATACTCTTTTTGAACTTACTGACTTAGAGATGTAGTCAGTCACTTTATGTGAATGCAAAAAAAAAAAGTTTGTACATGGTCAGAGTGCTCCTGACTTAAACTGCAACACTGTTGTTCTCGTCTTTGATTTAGAAAAATATTCTTACAACGGATTTCCAATGTTTCTGAAGTAATTCGCATAAGATAAACTATTTTTGCGTAGTGATGAGACAAGGGTCACTTTTAGTTAACCCTTTACACCCTAACATCAGTATGTATATTCTCCATACTGTTCTCTATACATTTCTTAAGGGTCTGAAAAGGAGAATTTGATAAACAGTTAAGAGTTCTTTAGTTATTGATCATTTCCCTTATTCTCATGACCTTGATGTTCGATTCAGGGCTGATATTGTAAGGAGAAATTAGATGCTAGTCACTCTTAAGGGTTAAAGGGTTAATTCTTAGATTGCTGTTTGGTTTCCTGATGTAATATCACAACTCGAAATCATATGCTTTGTAGAAAAAGCGCAAAGAAGTTCAGTTCACTGCGGAGAAAAATCGTGCGTGTTCGCCAGGGGATTTCGTTTCCCTGTTATGGTCGATGATATAGAAAAGCAAAAATTTCAATTAGAAAATAATGTGTTTATTTTAACAATGTCTGCGTGCTGTCTTAAGGAATACTAATATTTGGCAGCATATTGAGCCACAACTATGTTAGTTATTTAGGATTTATAAACATGTATTATGCTTTTAAACAGAGTATTAAATATCGACGGTAATTTAAGCTAGTTCCATCTCTTTGCACTCCCCGAAATTGTTGCGGCTGCTTTCAATTGAGTGTCGAAAGCAATCTAGGTTTTAAAAACTATGAAAGTGTGTTTGAATTTAAAATTGAACGCGATTACAAACATAGGAAGGGCGTGTGATTAACCGCTTTCAATAGAAGGTTCTGTAATAAACACTTCTTCTTTATTCCCTCCGAATCAGGACAAAACGATATCAATTCCTCTAAAGAAGCTAAGCCTGACCAAGCTCATTTAATAAGCACTCTTGAGCTCGGTCAATACGTTTTTTTATCTTATGACTACTAAGTTAAAAATTATGAAAGCGTGTTTGTTTTTTCACAATTACATAAATAAGAAGGGTGCACGATTAACCGCTTCAATAGAAGGTTCTGTAATAAACACTGACTTTATTTTGTTTCTCCGAATCAGGGCAAAACGATAACAGTTCCTCTAAACAAGCTCATGTCTGTTTTATTCTAGGTATACGACCACAATTGGAATTCACGTTCTCGGAAAAAGCAACCGAACCGCTCGAATGTCATTTTTCTACGAATGTTTGGGTAACTGCGTAAACGGCCTCAAAGCTTGTCTTCCCTATCTTTCTAGGAAACCTATCGCCTTTATAATTTCTTCGGGTATCGAGTTCCTACGCAGAAAATCGGCGAAATAATCATTGCTTATATGAAGATTGTAGCTGAAGTCGTCTTTGAGGTGAGCTAAGCGTAACTCATTTTTTAAATGTTTAGGTTGCTTCATAAACAAGCTTACGGCTCCTCTTTCTGTCTTTCTAAGAAACCGCTCAAGTGTCTTATTCAAGTATCGAGTTTCTTCGCAGAAAGTCGATGAAATAACGATCATTGCCAATCTGCAGTTTGTGTCCGAAGCAAGAGGAGTTTTTGAGGGCCTCAAAACGCTCAGAAAACGAAGGTATGTTTATAAACCAAGTACTAGTAATATTAAAATTGTGAAAATGACCTTAGATTTCGAATTTTAGACTCTCGCTAAAGATACAATGCTCCTCAATGCCTAAACATATGATTTGCATTCTATGAATGGACACGAACGGAGTGTTAGTCAAATCAATGAAGCGCAATTTCTGGTACAGACGACGGAAATACTAATTTTTTGCCCCAAAAGGATCACGAGATCACGCGCTTGGGAGACATGCCATATTCTCCATATTTAGGAAAGTCAACTCGTTGTTGTAAAAATCTAGTTAGGGACTTCAAAAAGGAGTCCTTTAGGGGCCCTATTCAATTCAATGTCCATAGCTGCGAGATTCCGCAGTTAAAAGAATAGAATTAGGATTAAAGAATGCAATGAAAATTATACTATTTCGGGTCTACTACAGTTGATCCCTTTCAGATGATATTTTCGTCATTAGTTGGCAGGTTAGTCGTGCTAGAGCTGAAGATCAGGTTTTCATGTTATAAAGAGGTGATCTTCACATTTAAGAGCCCACCAATATAAACTGTGAGCAATTTTAATTCGAAAAACAAATGTAAAACAATGAAATTGTACGTTTGTGACAGCATGAAGTATCTCCAATTCCAGGACTCTTAGAGTCATTTCCTCTGTTCCTTTTTGATTTGACCCAAAGGTTACGTTCATATAGTTACTATTTTTATTAAAAGGGTAGGTGACAAAGCGCGATAGTTAACTGCAATATACGTTATTCAGCAATAATCTGAAGTCGTTCCGCAACTTTTAATAACACCGCGAAAATTGATAGACATGCACAAATGCTGCTTTATCATCAAGCAAACATTTTACGACTTTGAGTTTTGTGGCTCAAAGAAAACATCATTTTAAATATTTAACTTCGATAATGGTATCATATAAAGTCGCAGTTTCCATCTAACCTAGTCATTTTTCCAACATAGAACGAAAGTTAATATGATTTTATAAACGAAACCTCACAGCCGAGGGTTCTTCCAAGGGGCTGAGGTGTCTCCATGGTAAACTGTGTACCTTAAATAATCAATAATTTGACTTTTGTTTGATAAAATCTTCAAGGAGACAATTGATAATAAAATATATATTGCTTGTGAGGCTATTTGATTTAAAGAGTTTAGACATCTTTTTGCTACCATTGAACCAACTTACGTAACTGATATTTAAATATCTTAATAAGAGTATTTATAGAGTTCATAGACAAAACAGAGTCACGTGACCACAGCAAACGTCAGCTTAGCTCAGGCAAAAATTCGTTATTTCAACCACAGGTGAAGTTAAACGTCAAACCCACGGTCAGACCAGTTAGACAGTCATGCAGCAGATATCTTCTAATCAGCCACGGGCAGTGTCTGGAGCAGTCTCCAATGGAACAACAAGGGCAAGTCCCCACTGGACAACAAGGCTATGCCCCCACTGGACAACCTGTCCAATCCGTTCCAGGCCCAGGTGTCCCTATACAGCCTCTAGTGAACCAACCTAGGGTAGGGTGGATCGACAAAACCTACTTGAAAACTGCGCTAGGCATCATGAGAGATTTGGAGTTTGTAAGTAGTTGAAGGATATGGAGGGGTTTTATTTTAACGAATGATATCGGATTGACAGGGGTTTTGATTTAAAACTTTGCTCGATCCAAGTAGTATCATATTTGGATTTCCATGTGTAGATGCTTTTTCTTCTACCCTCTTTCTAAGTTAGAATTCATTAAGAAGCCTCGTTGGAACACCACTTGTGGTGCTCTCTTGCTCTTTTACGGCTTTGTACCAACAACCAAAGAGTGATGGTCATATTCATTGTTCATGAGTGTACCTTATCCTCTTACACAGTTCTTATTGTTCGCCTGGCCATGTGGTGTTGTTTACTCAAACCGTACTTTCGGTTTGGATGGTCGAGCAACGTTCTTCGCAGGAGTCTCTACATTTTGTTGGGTAATGGTGATAGTCCTCCAAATTGTGTTAATGCTTGGCATCCACAAAGACCAGCGATACTTGAGGACACCATCATATTCCACACTGATAGTGAGTATTGCAGCTAATTCATTCTGATAATTCATGAATGTGATACGAATACAAGGCCGTTTTCAAGATGCCCAAAGACTCTCGCTGAAATCGAGTAAGTGTTCGTGTGAGGCCTCTGAAAGGTGCTGAAACAAAAAGCATCCTCATTCTTGTGCTTCCGATACAAACCATTTTCACACGAAAGATTTTGCGCTCTTGACTTTTACAACTCAGAGTAATATTTTAGGTCACTGGTCGGGTAAAGGGACAACTAGCACCATCTATAAATATTCGCCAGAAAATGGCCATCAAGTGAGTGAGGATAAAATCATAGCAGCTTAGAACTTTGAAGGAATGTTTGACCAACTAAGTAATTAACTTAAAAGGTTCTTGTATATTAAACTACAGATTATTAACAGGAATTAAAGAACTGTGGAAGGCTGCACACTTGACTATCTCAGTTGCACAAAATACAGCCAGTCACTCGGCAGATATATTGCCTTGTACTCAAGATGTCTGACTCTCTCTCAGGCTTCTCCCCTTTAGAAACGAGATTGTAAGGCTGTAATTTTGACGTTTAGGCGGAAAACTACACGTTGTTGCTTTTTTATTGTTGTTATTGGCGATAGAATGTTTAAAACTAATCTTTTTCTGCTCTAACAAGTCAAAAACACCTGTTCTTTTCTCGTAGGTTTCAGCTGTACTTGTCCTCATGGCCATACTTCTTATCGCTAGCACTACAAGCCTGATTATGGCCGGTGTCGACTTGTATAATGCTGACGTGATATATACGGTGAAGGCAGACCTGGTGACGACTTAGCAATGCATTGCTAATTATCGCCTTGGTACGTTATTTTACCATTTTCCCGAAATCTAAATATTGTCTTGGTGAGCAGAATGAACAAATCATGCAGAGTGTCCTGTTTACTGACGAATGACGAATGGAAGCATGAGCGAATGCTAGGGATGGGTCTCGGGATCCAACCCACACCCATCCTCCCGAGCCATTAGACATGTTAATTTTTTTAACTACCTGACAAACACTGGCAATTATTATACTCTCTTAGCGTCGACTGATCCCTCCTCTGCTCCCTCTTGACACTTTAACTCCCATAAGTGACCAAGACAGATTTCTCCTTACAATATCAATACAACATCGAGCAGACAAGTGATGGAAATATAGAAAATTCAATTAGGGAACTATTAGTTGATCCAATACCAAATTCTCCAAACTAACATCACAAGAACTTTATGGCAGACAGTAAGGAGAATAACTAATGAGATCTTGGGAGCTAAAGGATTAAATACAGATGATCTTCCCCAAGCTCCTCCGACCATGCTATGAAAACTGGAATATGCTCTCGCAATATTATTTGGCCAATAATTTTTAAAGATTGAATATACGAAAAAACTTACAAACACATAACAAGCGGGTAAACTAAAGCTGGCTTAATTGACAAAAAATATCTTTCATGAAGTTTCTCCCTTCATTTTACAGTTATGTGGTTCGTTGACCTGTTTGAGTTTCCTGGAAGACATCCCACAAGTGACAAAGATGTACAGATTGCAAAGAGCAGAGGAAATTGCTGCGGATAACGATACCCAGTAGCCTCTTTGCTGACCTTCATCTGCGTTAGCCTGGATCAACAACAACGCTACGAGTTTACTAAATTTGAAGACAACTTTGTTTGAAAGCGCGTCCTTAGCTTTGATTGATTTTTGTTGGTTAGCTGCAAAAAAAGCGTTATAGAGAGCTGCCGTGTTGAAGCGATCCCGTACTAACTTTGTTCGTTTTGACTTGTCCTTTATTCGTATTCGATATTTATCATGGTTACTGTTTTTTTCCCTAGCTAGATTCTTTTAACCTAAGTATTAAAAATATGTAGTTCAGGCTTTTTATTAGTAAAACTGTGGCACCTATTACCCTAAAGAAGCGATGATCGTAAGAGACACGGTCGTACGTGGTGTCACATAGAATATTCTACCTTTTTTTATATATCGTTTGCTGACCCCTAGTTGAAATAAAACTTGGGGTATAAACTGTGATAAAAAGTCTCACTGAACTGTCAATGGTTACCTTTCTTAGTTTTGATAAGCAAAACCTCATTATGGTAAATAAAGAAGTTACAACAATCGCGACACAATGTTATCGATTTTGCGATTTCGTTATTTTAGTTTTCCCCCTTTTATCATACTTTAATGGCTTAGCAACAGATGAAAAAAAAAAACTATTATGTTTTTTTTTGTAGCATGAGGCGACTAGGAGTACCCCCCGGGATGAGACACTAGTCTATCGCGAAGTTACCTCCAAGCAGTTTCATCAATCTTCCCTGACAATTCGCCACTGACCCTACTCCTACAGGGTGGAGAGAGGTACTGTGAGAGTTTAGTGCCTTGCAAAAGAACACAAAGCTCCACATCCGACGTAGCTTTCCAGTTAGGCTCAGACAAAAACAATTCTCAGAAATCCTTCTTACCGTTCTCGGGAAAGCTATCTTTTCACCAAATATTATTTTTGAAGTCTCTGAATAGGTATGGTATTCCAAATATTTTTTATGAAAATCAACACTTCATCTAATAACTCTTAAAAATGTATTTTTAGCCCCCATTTTAGAGAGACTTTTTTTGTTTGTTACATCTGTATGCCATGTCCGAAATTTGAGTGAGCATTTACGTCCCCTGCTTCCATATTAGACAGATGTTGGAATAAGGAAAACCATTGCAAAGTTGGAATGCAAGTCACCAGTCAAATGCTATAGATATAAGCATAAAATTATCATATAATCGGAATTTTTGAAAAAACGGCTAAGAAATCAGACAATATTTCATCAAAATCTTACAAACGTCCTCCAAAGTTCAATTCGTTTAATAAAATTTATCAGCTCAATTTATTGTTGAAATAATCTCCGCATTGTGCGTTGAAGACTTCAAAACCACTCTCCACGGATTATAAAAAAAGTCACAGGGTCTCCTTAGAATGGTCAGGTAGCTTTAAATTCACTGATTGTTTTCATGAATCATCAAAAGCAAGTGGCGTCAAACGTAATGGTTCAAATATCGTGAACGGTCGCACATTTGCGCATGTACGTATTGCGTACCTATATGTTATTTCGGTTTCAGATGAAATCTCATGCAGAGAAGATAATGTGTATCTGCTTTTCCACGAAATCAATCACGATATAAGTAGCCTAACCTTTGTCCTAACACTGACAGTCTGTGCTATCAGCGCGAGGGAAAAGAGCGGTAAGAAGGAAAATTCATAATTTATATCCTCAAGAAAGAAAAAGTTCCCCTTACTTCTATAGAAGTTTATGGACGCGGACGATTTCACTGCACTCAAAGGTAATGTCATTTTAATTTTCGGTTTCTGTAATTATTTTGACCACATCTCTGAACGAGCCATACCATTTCCTAGTAATTTCCATCGACCAGTGATATAAGAATTGTACAATTTTTATGTATTGCTAAGTGTCATCGTTATTTAAACGTTTTCGGAAAGTCGATCGACCTTTGGGCTGCACACTTAATACTAATCGTTTTCTCCATAATTTAGGTCTCATGGTTTAACAGCCTTTTCAAGCGCCTTTTATGTGCATTTTGTAACGATAACTGAAAAGAATCTCCGACAATGCCTGGCTAAAGAGCCAAATATTTTGCATCAAAATTACCGTAAATCGGTTATCAAGAAACCAAATTTTCAGTGATAGATGTCAAGCATTTGTCACGAACATGCGACTACCACGATGAGGATTTCAACTTCAGACTTTTCGACCAATTTCGCAGTCGGTTCATGGAACAACTAAGCTACAGACAATTTGGTTTTTTTAACTGAGATTAAAAGTAAATTGGCCCATGACCGCAAAGATTTTCTAAAGCTAACGTTTCGAGCGTTAGGGCCTCATCAGGGCGAATGTAAACAGTTTCTAAAGCTAACTTTGCGAGTGTAAACCCTTCGTCAAAGTGACAAACAACCTACGTATTGGCAGCTAAGTCGTATGCTAAGTACAAAGGTGACATATATCCTACATATACTGCTACGATCTGTTGCATCGAAAACTAGTGTCTCATGTGTATAAAATGAGGAGGATTGTACAATTTGTGTTCTGGTGTATCGCGTGAGACCTGTTTGTACTGGGAATTTGAGTTGATCGATGTTTCCTCGCATTCAGGCTTTCCGAGAAAGCTAATCCAATTTCTTAATGGGAGCGAAATTCTAATAGCCATTCAGCCGTCATGAAATACCTTAAAGAAAGAAAAATATATGATCCCCTTGCTTTCATAGAGGTTTATAGACGCGGACGATTTCACTGCACTCAATGGTACTGCCATTTTTCGGTTGCTGTTAGTGATAGGTTGTATTTGTAGATGTGCCCATCCCATTTCCTAGTAATTTCCATCGACCAGTGATCTAAGATATGTACAATTTTCATGTATCGCTGAATGTCAGCATTACTGAAACGTTTTCGGAAAGTCGATCGACCTTTACGCTGCACACTTAATAAGTTCATGGCGCCTTTTATTTGCTTTTTGTAACGATAACTGAAAAAGAATGTCGGAAAATACGTGGGGAAAAAGCAAAACTTGTTGCATCAAAAGTCCTGTAAATCGATCATTAAGAGAGCAAACTTTCAGGGATGAATGGCAAGCATTTGTCACAAACATGCGACTAGGAAATATTTTAATTCTCCATGATGAGGATTCGAACCTGAGACTTTTCGACCGATTTCGCTGTCGGATCATCAACCAACTAAGCTACAGACAATTTGGTTTCATCAACTGAGATTAAAATGTAAACTGGCCACCACAAAGAATTTCTGAAGCTAAAGTTTCGAGCGTTAGGTCTTCTTCAGGGCGAATGTAAAGACAGTTACTACAGCTAACGTTACGAACGTAAACCCTTCGTCAAATCGACAGACAACCTAAGTATTGGCAGCTAACTCATATGCTATGTACAAACATCCTTCATATACTGCTAGGATCTGTTGCATCGAAAGCTAGTGTCTCATGTGGATAAACTGGGAAGGATTGTACATTTTGCATTCTGGTGTATCGGGAGAGACCTGTTTGTATTGCAAATTTGAGTTAATCTATGTTTCCCCTTGCTTTCGTAGAGGTTTGTAAACGCGGACGATTTCATTGCACTCCGCAAAGGTACTGTTATTTTTCAGTTGCTGTAACTGATGACATAGGCCATATCTCTAAATAAGCGATACCGTTTCCTAATAATTTCTCCTGATCCGTTATAAAAGTAATATACCATTTTTATGCATGCTTTTCTAAATGTTATCATATTTAATACGCTTCCGGAAAGTCAATAAACCTTTAGGCCACACACAAGTAAGTTCATTGTTTCTCCATAATTTAGGTTTATGGTTTAGCAGCCTTTTCAGGCGCCTTTTATTTGCAAAACGTGATTGCTGATAAATGCAACTAGGAAATACCTGAGGAAAAAAAAACTAGTTGCATAAAAAAGGAAAATAAATTGATCATCAAGAGGCCAAACTTTTAGCGATATATGGCGAGCATCTGTCACGAACGTGTGACCAGGAAATATTTCATCTCACCGCGATGAGGATTCGAACCTCAAACCATCCAACTGATTTCGCTGTCTGATCATCGACAAACTGGGCTATAGAAAATTTGGTTTAGTCAACTAAGATGATAATGTGAATTGGCCGCAGTTAAGAGTTTCTTAAGCTAACGTTTCGAGCGTTAGCTCTGCTTCAGGGCGAATATAGAGACAGTTACTAAAGCTAACTTTGCGAGTGTAAACCCTTCGTTTAAGTGACAGACAACCTACGTATTGGCAGCTAAGTCATATGCTAAGTACAAATGTAACACATATCCTACATATACTGCTAGGATCTGTTGCATCGAAAACTAGTGTCTCATGTGGATAAAATAAGGAGGATTGTACGTTTTCCATCCTATTGAATTGCGACAGACCTATATGGTTTATATTGCGAACTTGAGTTGATCGATGTTTCCTCGCATTCAGGCTTTCCAAGAAAGCTAAACCAGTTTCTTGATAGGAGCGAAACTCTAATAGTCATTCAGCCGACAAGAAATATCTTAAATAAAGAAAAATATAAGTTCCCCTTGCCTTCTAGAGGTTTTTACAAGGGGACGATTTCACTGCACTCCTCAAAGGTTCTGTTATTTTTCGGTTGCTGTAATTATCGGCCACATTTCTAAATGAGTCACGCCATTTCCTAGTAAATTTTATTGATCCGTGATATTGGTAATGTACAATTTCACGGATACTTTGCTAAATGGAAAGTCAATGCTTTGCTCCGGCATCGCCAGAAATCAAGGGCATTTCGAGCCCGCTAACAATTATCAGCGGTATATCGTATTACACTCCGGAAAAATAGAATATCAAGAGAATTCAATATGCCGGCGATCACGGCTCGATCTGCAAAGAAGAGTGTTTCGTACCATGACTTATACAATTTGAGCACCGCAGATCTTCTATTTGATGAAAAGAAAAAGAAAAGAAGACCTGCAAGTAAATCTTTGGAATTTTTCGAGGCAGAGCGATGACATGATGTCAGAATTTTGATTTGCTTTAATTTAATTTTCGCGCTAAGACTACTGAATTTGAATTCAATGCCTGGCATATTTTTATTCCGAAAAGGACCGAGAACTAATTTATTTCCCTGAAAGAACATAAACAAATATGGCCGACGATTCGAAGATCAGCGTTGCTCGTGTTTAACTATTTCAGTCATAGTTTTCAACATGGCGTCTCGTCACTTACTCAACATGGAAAATAAGGGACATTCTGGCGCGTTGGGAACTTTTTTGATGGGAGGAAATGGCAATTTTACAGGATATTTGGACGCTTCGAACTCTGTAGCAGTCAATTCGATCGAGAGCAGTTGACTTTATTGATGCACTTTCCTGTAATAGGCGAGTGTTTGGGATGGAGAACGACGGATTTTGAAGAACTGTATGGCGACCCAGGTCAATAATCAATGACAAAAGAACTGGCTCGGGAAGTAAGTGGTTTTTATTTATCGAGTCCCTGTGAGGTTTGATGAATAGCAGAATCAGTACTGAATATGTCTCGATCGAGAGCAGACGGGACCATGAGCTCCTGATTGTTATATTTTAGAAATTTTTCAAATTTCTATACAGTTGCTTATATTATTTGGACGCCATTATGGACGAAATGCGCAAGCGCGGCCGCCATCTGTCCAATATTTCTGTCGATGGGAAAGTCAATAAACCTTTAGGCTGCACACAAGTAAGTTAGTTGTTTCTCCATAATTTAGGTTTATGGCTTTAAGCGCCTTTTATTTTCAAAGTGTATAATTGCTGTTAAATGCAGTTGAAAAATACCTGGGGAAAAAAGCAAAACTAGTTGCATCAAAAAGTCGATAAATCGATAATTAAGAGGCCAATCGATCATTAAGAGGCCAAATTTTTAGCCGGCTACATGGCGAGCATTTGTCACGTACATACGCCCAGAAGATATTTCATTTAGCCGCGATGAGGATTCGAACCTTAAACCATCCGACCGATCGCTCTCGGACCATTGAAAAACTGGGCTATCGACAATTTGGTTTAGTCAACTGAGATGATAATGTAAATTGGCCACAGTTAAGATTTTCTAAAGCTAACGTTTCGCGTGTTAGCTCTTCGTCAGAGAGAGTGTAAAGAATGTCTCTAAGCTGACACCGTTTCAATGAAAGGCCGCATCTCAAGATAAGCCACGCCATTTCCCTATAATTTCCATCGATCAGTTATTACTTAATGTTTTCATAGCTGATACGTTTTCGGAGTTTACATTCACTTTATTTTCGGAAAGTTAATAAACCTTCAGGCTAAACTCACAAGTAAGTTGATTCTGTGTTTCTCCATAATTTAGGTGTTATGGTTTAACAGCCTTTCGGTTCAGGCGCCTCTAATTTGCAGAGTGTACTTGCTGATAAATGCAGTTGGGAAAGACCTGAGAAAGGAGCAAAACTAGATGCATCAAAAAGTCCCATAAAACGGTCATTAAGAAGCCAAATTTTCAGTGATAGGTGGCAAGCATTTGTCGCGAACACGTGACGAGGAAATATCTTAATCGGCAGCGTGATAAAGATGCGAACCTTACACTTTTCGACCGATTTTGTTGTCTAATAACCGACCAACTAAGCTACAGACAATTTGGTTTTATCAATTGATGTAAATTTTATCAACTTATGTAAATTTGTCACCGTGAAGAGTATCTAAAGCTGACGTTTCGAGCGTGACCGACAACTTACCTACTGGCAGCTAATTATAAGTCATAGGCTATAAATGTGACACGAATCCTACATACTGCTACAGCCATGATCTGTTGTGTCGAAAGTGTTTCATGAGAGAAAATGAGATTGATCGTAAATTTTGCATCCGAGTGTATCGTGAGAGACTTGATTACATAGCGAATGTGAGGTGATGTGGTGTAATCGCCTCCAGGCTTTCCAAGAGGACCAATTCAATTTCTTGATAGGAACGAAGCTCTTACAACCGTTCAACTGTCGAGAAAAAGGTAAAAACGACCAGAAAATGTCATTTTCTTAATTATTTCCGTCATGAAGTGGGCATTTTATAATTCTAACTTATGATTCTCGAGTAGATGGTTTAAATTAAGGTACGTATTACAGGTGTCCGATTTCAACCAACTGTCCGATTACAAATCTACAAAATAATTAGTGAAAAGAAAAGCAGGTAGAGCACCAATGCCCTTTGAGGAAGTTGTAATGGTAATGATTTATGGTATAAAACAGAAAAAAGGGAAGACAGAGAATGAAAACAAGTGGAATTTTGACGGTGCGCCATTTTATTCGACAAATTTAAACTTTTGCAAGACCATCATTTATTACCTTGGAAACGTGTTAAAATTGATTCAAAATTTTCAAAATAATATTTTGAAGAAAATCAAGTGTAAAATAACCAGCAAAACTAAACATTTCTATCGAAGTCATCTTTGATTATGTAAGCTGGCATATACAAGAGTTTGGCTGCTGTTTTGAAACCGCAGAGCGTGCCATGTGCGTGCACCATTTGAATTTGCACCCGTGTTTCATAAGAACTGCAGCCAATCAGAACTTAGTATTTTTCCGGTGCATACTATTAATTTATCTTACTGCATTGAATATATTCAGTTTTGTCAGACACTGGCTAGGGAATTACCTAACCCTGATCGTCATGGATATTTTAATTTGAATGCCTAGAGAAATCATCCGACTCTAGTCTTTTGGTATATCCTCGAATATGTTCTTGTAGTGCTTTTGGAGGTTAAATACGCTCTTTTGGAAATTATTTTTGCGTTCCCTGTCCCGCCCAGGGGTTCAATAGTCCAGTCCTGTTCCGGCGAGTTTTTACTAAGTGTGCAGCAACAAACAGACCTGTGTATTTGCTGATTGACATCTATTCAAAAGATTTTACTGGTAACGGACGCGACTCAGCTGCACAACTCAAAGCAAGATAAAAAGGTGCGATAAAGTTTATTTTCTAGCAATATTTATATATGGTGGACTTAGTATGTTTTGAAGCCGCAAAATAATTTAATATGATTATGACGTAATTGGTGCTATAACTGAGATGAATACGATTACTGTTGGTTGTTGTTTTTTAATTTAAAGTATTTTCGTGAAACGTAGATTTATTCCATCATCTATTTTCCCGGGTTACTGTGTATTCGTTTATGATAGTTTTCGCCTCGAAGTAGCACTGTTGCATAAATCGGTGCGAAATTCACGGAAGATGTGGTGGTACGAACCCGGGTTTTGACTCTTTTATAGCAAAGGAAGTGACTCTTATCTTGTAAAGGAACGCTTTGGCACGTGGCTTTTCTTATCAACACTTTCGTAGTACTCGAATCAATAGCTGAGACATAAAAAAATATAATTACCCACGAATACTATTCTACATGGCGCAAAATGAAAATGATTTGGCGTTCGTCGCTCGCCACACCCTAGGTGTAACCCAGCAAGTTAACGTCGAATAAAGCACGTTTCCCCCGCACGCTTTAGTTTCCTGAAATAGTCAATGACCGCAATGTCGTAATGTATTTACAGCTCAAAGGTAATTAATTTTAGCAACAGCTCGCACGGAAAATTTCAAACGGTTATAATTATAGGTTACTGAGATAAAGGCGAGCGATTTTCTATTTTTTTAAGGGCAGCCTTACTGAGTCCGATACCTGAGGTTGTACAATTCGCGGAACAAGTTTTTGCTTCTGTAAAATAGGATAATTTCAGCGCAGACAGATTAGTGATCGGGAGCGAGACGGCTGTATTCAGATGAGACTAACCCCTCCACCATCAATTTTTAAAAGGTAAAAACGAAGTAGCCAACCTGGTCGATTGGGTCTTATAAGCGTGTTAACAGGTGTAATTAAAGTTTTATGTGAGAAAAAATGTAATGTAAATTAGCCGCCGTAAAGAGTTTCTGAGGCTGACGTTCGAGCATTACCCCTTCGTCGGAAGAGTAATTGTGTCTGCGGTTTTAGTTAAAAAAATGGTATACCCCGTTTCACGAAAATACTTTAAATTAAAAAACAACAACCAACAGTAATCGTATTTCACGAATATTTAGTCGAGAGTGTTATTGTTTCTAATTCGTTAAGCTGTTCAAGAATCAAGTCAGAACCTTAGGCCTGCATGTATAGGTAAGGCCTGTTGCTTGTTAAGAAATTCTTACTCTCACGTAACAATTCAGTTCAATTAATAGTACCACGAGAGAATCAAACATACCTTTGCGATGGCTTAAAACTCAGATTCAAAGATAGTTTGGTTTTTGACTCATTTCTTATGGCTGAGGTCTCCTCGTTTACCGCCAAAGGATCTGTCGTGTGCATAAACAACCCCCTTATAAACAGCACTAAAGATCGACAGTTTCTTCGCATATCAATAGATGAGTCTAGTGGCATGTGTCAGTTGCTCTCTGTTAGGTGAAAGCAGTAAAGCAGTGTTAGATATTTGGTGCCCTCCACAACCTTAACCTTACTAACCTACATGTAATCTCTCTGACCCGTGACCGACACGACAAACTCGATGGTGCATTGAAGTATCAAAAACTTTAAAAGTCTACTTTCTGGTTTACAACTCCAAAAAAGCTGAGCCCTAGAATCTTCTGTATCTTCGCACCTTGATTTCTGCAACGCACTACTTTTTGGTCTTCCTCAATATCAACTTGATCGTTTACAGCAAGTTTAGAACGCCGCAGCTGGAGTGATTTTCCAGATTACAAAAGTTGACCATATCACACCCTCTCGCATCGACCTACAATGGCTCCCTGTAGTTTAGTTTAAATTGGCTCTTTTTGTTTTCGAGTTGTTAAACAATCTAAGTCCACCCTATGTTACTGTAAAGTTAGATCTTTTGTCACCGAAACCAGCCCCTAACTATGCCCTTTACTCGTCAATGCAACCTCTTATTTCTTCCAGTAGTCAACTGCTCTACACTTGGGAATTGCTCCTGTCTCATGGAACTCGTTGCCATTATCGACTAGGTCCTGTGGCAGCCTCGCCATTTATAGAAAAACAACTCACAGCATGTCTTTTTAGGAATTCAAAGCTTTCCGATAACAAGTCTCATGGCAATTCGAATTTATACCGACATGGGCCTAATCACTTAATCACCTAATCCGACACAGTGCCACAGTTTCGTTAGAAACTTACCCCCTTTATTCGTGATTATGTTTGTTTATTATGTGAACTTTGAGAACTGAGGTATATGGTGCTTCTATTTTGTGGTTGAACAAGGCATCATTAAATTAGTTCTCGATTAAATGCTCCCAGTATTTATTTCAGACTTGGCCCTGGTAAACCCATCGTTCATAGAAAGGTTGATTTTTCTTTTTATCATGTACCCATACGCCGAGACCCAGGGGTATTGTCCAAGACGAATAAAATGTTTGTGAGTCTTCCTCTGGGACTATGATCCATCCATTGAACATTTCCATGTAGAAAATAAACCGATTTAAACAAAAGTAGGTCGCCGCAGCGATGCTAAGTTGATTGTATTAACATGTAGCTGAAGCTCGCTCACCAGAAAGTTTGGAATCCTGGTCCGACATGGAAGCCTTAGGTAATCACCCCAGGGAACTAGTATTTCAGGTTCTGACCCCGCGAGTACATACGCATGGTGTTTATTCAAGAAGAATAAGTTGGTTAGTCTCGTACTGTTATCATGCTTTTGCACCAGTTCATTTTTTCATTGATCGTTGCAGAAGTTGGTAATCCTAGAGTAGCGTGACGAATTTTTCAAGAGAATGGCGTACCTCACGCAAATAAGTGACCACGAGTTTTCTCAAGAGGACATCACATATCTTTCGAACGAAGCAAGGGACTATTGTGTTTCAAGAGGAATGGTTTATAAAGACTCCAATGGTAAACTACAACACATTCCTTTCACGCTTTACCCTTCACCTTTTCCAAAGAGGCTTTTTTCTACTGCAAGAGAAGTTCAGACGCTCTTCAACATTCTTGTGCATAAAGCCAGCCAGGACTACCAATTTACGAAGAATGCACTTTCCAGGTAAAAAATCTTCCTTGCCGGTTTTTACTTTTTGTTGGTTACCGCTGGTGGTAGTCAGTTTGAAGGTTGAGTCATTTGATTCTTGTGCGACGTGAACGAAAGTGTCGGTTTTGCAAATTAACTGTGTGTTGCTGAGAGCTTGATTCCCAGTGATTCTTGAGAACATGGGAATATGAGAAAAGGGAAAAGGCTACTCTGAAATCAGTTAAAAAGTACAGGTAAACTTCTAAGTTTTCTAAATGACCTACTACCCCACATAACTGGCGGTGTCGTAGTGATTTGAAGCACTGAGCGGCGAAGCATACAGCAATGTACCACTCAAATTTACTCAGTGGCGGCACCACTCAAAGCCGTGAATCTGCACTTAGTGTTATTTTGATGATTTCGTACTAAATTACTTTAAGACCCATTACATGCGTCAAGTACATCTCCTACCGATATCGCAATGATCACGGGTTCAAATCCCGTACTGGCCTGAATTTTTTTCAGGCCTTATTTTCACTTCTGCTTAAGTAGTATTCGTTACTGCGAAGATCGCCTTACTTATCACCGTCTTAAACAAAGAAAAACTCTTCAATTCATTTGTGCATTCAAGTTTGGCCTAAGAAGAGGCCGCTCAACGGTGTAAGCAAATAAAAAGTCCTTTTCATCATATATTATCTTTATTTCCCTGTTAGCACGATATCTGCCGACCAATTTACAGCAAAGCTTTTTCAAATTTACGAAAAGGTTTGGGAGCAAGGAGCAGCTCAGGTAAGTACTGGCGATTTGTTTCGGTTCACATTGGGCAGTTGTTTATTGTCATCCCCAGTCCTCTTTCATTATCATGATCATTATTATTGCTATCATAATAAAAACTTTGACAAAATTCTCTAACGTGGTTGGATAACAGCAGATTTGAGCACTAATGGGACATGATACAGTTTATGTCTTTGTAAATGGAGAATACGCGACATTTGCACACAAATTGAATACTACCGTATTCACTCGAGTAAGCTCTGCCCCGAAAAAGCGCCACAGAAACAATTCAGTTTTTCGCAAGCTGTTTTACATCATACCATGTTGGATATCCTGAGGGAACTAGACTCAAATCCTTTCAAATGAACAGATTCATACGGAAAAGAGGCGTACTCTCCTACTCTGGAGCCCGTAGACTCAGACTCAAACTGAAAAGTACCGGAAGGGACAAATGGTGACAATCAAAAGAAGCCCCGCCAATCACTGTAAGATATTCGTAAAGATAGAAACTATTCCATTAAATTGGAAAAAACATGTTTTGCGTCGCGTCCAATTTTTTAAAAAGCGCCGCCTTTAAATAAGTGCCGTCCCCGAGTAGGCATTGCTTTTGAAGCGCGAAAAATTCAAAGTGCACCGCGGTGCTAATTCGAGTAAATAAGGTAGATAGTCTAGTTGTAAATGTGTTTTACAAATGGCTATTTTATCAAATTTTCTCGTAATTTTGTTTGATTTGAAGGAAGACTTCGTGTGGTAACAATCAAAAGACACCTATTCTGATCACTGCAACATTCTTATACAAGCAAAACATACCGTTAAATTGAAAGAGAACATTTATTCGTTGCGTCTAAAATTTGAATAGGTTCATTACAATCAAACTCGAGATTGACAAATTGGGCTCCCACTGTGCGATTGTTCGATTTATGTTGTTTGATTTCTGGAATTCGCTCTTTGATATTCTTCTTCTTATTATTCTCCAATATCATTACCATTATTATTAATATTATCATGATTATTATGATTTTAATCATCATTACCTTACAACTATCATCATTAGTATTATCATTATTATAAAGCGGCTCATTCAAGCATTCCATTCCTTCAGTCTATTTCATTAGGAATATTCCGATCAGACTACTTGATTGACACGACAGGCAAATTAAACAATGAATATCACAGTCGCACCAAAACTGACGCGATGGACGAAAATAACAATGGGCTTTGCATTAAGCAAGTCGAAATCAACACCATAGCGCTAGGAGGAATTGCATTCTCTTGCCTTATTCCAGAGATGCACAGGTAAAAGAAGTTGTGTTTTAAAAATGTTATTGTTACAATTTTTTAGCCATTGAGAATTTAGACAGGATGGGGGGGGGGGAGAATCTCAGAAGCAATACTACAATACTACAATACATTTAAGTATATTCTGTGGCCAATTATAGATCCCAGTTTAGTCACATTCTGTTTATGCATCTATCCTATTTTTGAATCCCTTCTTACCAGAATATTCTTACCGCCAATGTCCCGAAAATGTGCGTAATTCTAGTAATTCTATCAATAATGTAACCCCATTATAGTCAATCCAGTCGTGAAAATGCCACTCCATTTAGCGGCATATCCCCATTAGCCTATCGCTAAGAAGTACCCCCCTCCCGGAAATTTAGATCCTCAAAAGAAGGTGCAGTAAGTAGATAGAAATATGATCTCATTTTGTCATTACTAACAACTGATATAAGAGGTTAAAGGTTACCCTGAGCTTTTTTTTTTTAGATAAAATGTGGAGCTATCAAAATTGTTGTTCAATAACTAGTTTCCTGTTTTTCTTGAATTTTTTTGCCACCCGTTTATTTTGGTGATCTTGCAGTGCTTGTCTTCTGCGAGACCGATGTGTCGCGCTTCTTCGAAAATAGTGTTGTGCTCTAAATCACTTTAATTTCGCATTTCAACGTAGAACATATCCTTTTTGCTATGTAAATGACCGTGTCGGAGAATTAAATGAACTTTATCAAGGGGGATGTACCAAATTTCACCAACGGGACCATGCGTGAAGAGTGACGACAGGTCGTATTCAAGCAGTGTATCTTTACCTCGATTTCCAATTATACGACGGAAAACTACCTCACCCTTGAGAGCATTCAAAGTTTGTTTGGATGCAATATGTTGATTTTCGCTGTTATGGGGACTTAGTATTGACACAATCTTCCATCTGTTACTTCTCAGGTATCTCCTTGAGTTAATGGGAAAAAAAAGAGAGGTTGGTCGACTCTTAGACCGTTATAGATATTCATAGCTTTTCTTATTTAATTACACCTCTTAAGGGAGATATTCTCTTAGTTTTTAAGAAGGATCTTACAGATACCGCAATCTTATCTCTTCATAATAAATAGAGCTCTTTGCTCTGTACTCCAATCAATGTCTCTTGATGCATATTTCTTTCTGAGTCTTTCGAAGGGATCGGAGGATGCGTTTTGAGACAAGAGAGAGTCATATGCGTGTTTGAGGATCTCATTAGTTACTCCTGGCCTCTTCCCGACGAAAACGTACTCTTTAAAATTATTGCTACGTTACTCTCGTTTTCCTAGATCTCACGGGGATCCAATGATAACCAATCCAGAGTCGCAAATGCCGCTTACGTAAACACTCCATGGAGCCAACCTCGTTACCAGGGTCTCTTCTTTCCAACCGATTGGCCAATCCAAGAATTTTTGATGGAGGGGAGGGAGGGGGTGGTGTCTCCAAATTTTGACAAGTTCTGTTAATCTGAGATCTGAGATACCTTAAGTTGTGTAGTACTATAAGGTGCTAGTTTAGAGAAGGTGGGGGGGGGGGAAGGGGGGGGGGAAAGGATCCCTCAAGGATCCTCCACTGGTCTTGCAACATCTTGGAATTCTTCAAAATAACATTATTCCCCAAAACCAGACATCTTGGGTCTAAAAACAACTCTGGAGGGAACGCTTAAAGGGGACACTAGCTGCAAAAGTGAGATCCCAACCTCTCTGTTATTGTACGAAATAAACCCAAAATAATTCTCAGTTTACAATACTTCAAATAGCATAGGCAAATTGACGGTAGCCTGCGTTGCTGGCGGTCTGCGGTCTGCGGTTTTGTGGCGAAGAGAAAAATGAAAGGTCTTTCATTTTTCTCTCCGTCCCCCAAACCGCAGACCGCCAGCAACGCAAGTTAAATTGACGGTGAACTTATGGTTCTGTACATTTTCTTAAGGTTCCTCTTAATCCAGCATTGGACGAGGCAGCCGATGGTCTCATCAAGGCCTGGGAACTATACGGATCAGAACGGTTTGGCGTCTGATTATTTATTATCATTAATTCGGTTCTTTGTTTATTTTGTTTCCTGTTTGTTGAACTTATAGACTTTCTTTGTCTTTAATTTTAGCGCTGTTATTATGTTTGTCATTCAACCTGACGAGATAAACGTTTACGATCAAAGACATCTGGAATATCGTGTTCGCAAAAGGTAAACGTGCTACGTCACTTTGCTCCTCAAGTTCTCCTTTCTCAGTTTTTCGGCTGACAGTCTTCAGAAGCAGAACATCCTCCCCCCCTCCCCATTAGACCTGTGGGGCTTTTTACGACTTGTCTGAGACCAAAATTCTTACAACTACTTCTTCACCAATTTCCTCACGTGCTTAAGGTTATCTGCTTGTGATAACTTGAGTTCTCGTGCCTTAGCATCTTGTGATTATTTCGGTTTTGGTTTTATCGAGTCTCGAGTAAAAAGCATTTTACTTCGTGTTACCATCTACATTTAAACTTACGACAAAGTCAGATTTCTATTAAAAGAAAGATGACAAAGACTGCTCTCTGCTATCATGTTCGTTTCCTTGAACTCTTGGTGTTTCGACCCCTTTCTACTTCCTTTAAACGTTTTACGTCATGTAACAGAACAATAATGCACTTATAAATAATTTCTCTCTAAATTCGTTTTGTGCAGAAGTAAGGGTGTAACAGTAATTAGGCGAAGCCTTACTGATGTATTCAGGGACGGAGAAACAGACAATGCTAAATCCCTTCATTTGTGAGTATTTTTTCTTCCTCCACCTTTTTCTATTTCACCATAATTATGATTGTCTTCTTGGGTTGTTATGTTAAAATTATACGTTTGTGCTCTTCACACCTGACAGGAATGGAATGGAAATCGCTGTAGCTTACTTCAGAGCAGGCTACACGCCTAAAGACTATCCCACAGAAAACGTAAGTTCATCGCAAGAAATTATCTGTTCGTTACATTACTTTACATGACAAAACTGATATTTTTGATCAAATTTCTTGATCCCAGTTGTGTGGATAGCTTCAGTTTTGTTAAAGGTTAGAACGAATTTAGAAGTTGATGTGGCTAAGACGCGGAGAGAGCTTACATTTAAACATTAAACAATTGTCGTGTTCGTGTTAAAAAATAGTTTGTGACTGGTGACGCGGCGTTTCATCCTGGCCAAGATACTCATCCGGCAGAGTAGAACCATCTTTCTCTTTAGTGCTGTATTTCACAAATGTTAAACTAACGATTTGGTTTTTCTTTCAATGATAGGAATGGTCAGCTCGTCTGACGATAGAGTTGTCTCGCTGCATCAAATGTCCGACTGTGGCTCATCAGTTGATGGGAACAAAGAAAATGCAGCAGGTGATGTCTAACCCTGGGGTGTTAGAAAGGTACCCAAAATAGTTATATTCTAAAGGTTGCTAAGCATTTCTTTTTTATGACAGCAAGCTTTACCCTATTGGTTAGAATTTTACAGGAATGTTCCGCTAGGGAAGAGTTCCTTTTCAGACTGAAAGCAACTAAAGTGATAAGGATTTCTCGAATGGGTGTTAAGTAAAATATGTCACAGTGTAAGTAGACTAAAATTTGATCTGTACTTTACAAAATGTTTCAGTTAATTTAGAATATATTCTCTAACATGCACCTTGTCAAGACCTAAGACGGAATGAAGCCATTTTAAGATCAGTTGAAATACTGATACGCAGCAAGGTAGTAACTGTCCTTTCCCTTAAACAAGACAATGTTTCATTTTCCAGGTTTTTACCTGACAAGGAATCCGTGGACAGAGTAAGAAAAACGTTTACTGGCCTCTATTCTCTTGACCCGGTAATTGAAATTGTTTTAGCGTCTTTTAAGCGCCTAGCCATGTTTGGCTACAGGAGCAACTTTCAACTGAGGGTCGAAAAACCTAAAGTAACCTCAGCGACCAATCATGAAAAAGCTTATATTGTTATTTGCCAATGAGAACTCAAAGTGAAAACAAGCAAATTGTGTTAAGCAGTTAAGCGCGGGAAAACGCGTATCATCAAGTCACGATTGTTTTAAGTTCTGTAGCTGATTGGTCGAGAGGATGGCGCGAGTTTTCTGGACCAATCACAGAATAAAGTTAAGTGAAACTCAAGTCATCCTGGACTATCTTCGACACTCTAATAAACCCACTTCACCATGTAAACCACGCAAGAAGCTTTGCAAGTCTAAATGAGCCTGTCATGTAACTTCTTGAGTGTCTTAGCTTAATCCCCATTGTCATTCCAGGGACCTGTAGGGGATCGTAATATGGAATATTGTCTTCAGAGGACGGACAGATGTGTTCTTAAGCCTCAACGAGAAGGAGGAGGTATGGACATTGAAAACTCTTGTATCGTGTAAAGAGAACTACAACTATAATGTAACATAAAAATTCTGCTGGATCTAATTCGTGCGGTTCCATAGTTTGTTCCTGCAACGGCGGATCCAGCATTTTTTGAAAAGGGGGGTCCAAACTTTGATTCAGAAAACACAGAATTTATTTTTCTACATAACAGCCCAAATAAGCTAAGAATTATCCCAGGACAAGTAGATGTCAAGGAATTTATATTTTGTAGCAGCTTACGATCCTTTTGTTGCAACTTGCGATCTTTCTGGTGTCAGAAAATTGGTAAAAGAGCCCACAGGCGCGACGAGAAAGGGGTGGAGGTAGGGGAGGTCAAGATCTAATGGACCGTGTTGTGACAAAGGAACGTTCCCACATATTACGCCGCAAAATATTCAACTTGTGTGCGGGAGGAAAAAAAAGAGAGGAGAGAAAGAAGAAGGAAAGTGTTAAAACTACTGAAGATTTCCCAGAGTTCTGCAACATGTCTTCGTCAAGTTTAGGTTAATTTGATAATGCTTGATTCTCCCTTGTCATTGTTCTGCTATGAAATTAGTTTCCGACATAAATTCTGGTCATCCCGTTTCGTTCAAATTTGCTCCCTGGATGCACAAGTAATTTCCATGCTGCGTGGCCGTCACAGAACTCAGAACTCCAACGTACGTTAAGAGATCTTTACGACGATTTTTCTGACAAGAAAGAAAATTTTTCATGAACCTTTCTTTTCCCCTACTTCTTGAATGAACTTTTTGATACACCAAAAAGAAAATGAAAATTGGGAACATAGAAGCTTTGGGACCGATCATTATTCATCACCTGGTAGGGGAAGGGGGTGGATCGGATGATTTTGGTTGTGTTACAACAAAATTTACCTGATCCTCTCATAAGGCTCTGTAATATTCTCAAGATTCCACCTCATTTGCGGTTAATCGGCAGTCAATTTTTTACATAGCCTCCTTTTTGATACTCTACTAACGACGACTGACTTCCCACCGTTCCCACCCAAAAACTGGGTGAATCCTCCCCAAAATCCCCCCCCCCCCCCCCCAGGCGATACATTAGAACTGGTCCTTTACTCGCTATGTACAGGAAATAACATCTATGGTGAAGATATACGTCACACGCTACTCAACGATTCTAACAACAGGATGCAGTATATAGTGATGGATCTGATTCAGCCGGAAATTAACCAAAATGTAATAGTCCGTGAAGAATACACAAACGTGCATACTGTTGATGTCATTCCGGAACTTGGAATTGTCGGCATTTTTCTCAGGTAGGACTGAATAGTAGGTATCATCCTCAGTGGGAAAAGCACAGTCCCCATAGAGCTAGTGTCATGAGGGGAAACTGGTAACCGACGATGTAAGGAAAAAGTCTCACAGTGCGATGTGTCCCCTTGGTTTGATTACCGCTAGCGCTGTGATTCCTCAAGTTTTGGTGTTACAACAGAAGTGCTCCACACCTTCAAGTTTAAGCGCAATTCTTGGCGCGTCTGAAAGTCACGAGTCTTAACCTAATAAAATTATAGCTTGTAAAGATCCTGAATTGGTTGAGAAACCCGCCTTTTTCCTTTGTTTGTACTTGGTTTTATTAAGATTTTTGACCTGACCGTGCACAGTGCTTAGAAGCATTCCGATCACTTAGAATTCGCAATGTTTGAACTCAAACAGAATATTATGAATAGTCATGGAGCTCTCAACTTATTTTTACCAAAACATTATAAACTTTATCTACGAATTTTGCCGGCTTTCCTTGCTTTCTCACTCTTACTGAAGATGTTGGAATGTAATTTTATCATAGCCGAGGAGATGAAGTACTTGTCAACAAAGAAGGAGGGTACCTGGTCAGGACAAAAGCAGCCACTCAGGGGGATGGTGGAGTGTACGCTGGAAGAGCTGCTTTTGATAGCCCATATATGGCATAGCTCATTTGGACCGCATCAGAAGCCACACAAAGGCGGTTGTCAGTAGTACTGTCATTTCTTGAAGGTGTCACACTCCTTGTTTTGGTGGTGAAGTTAGGTAGAGGAGAAGTTCCTGCCACTTTGCATCGAGGCGTGAAGTCATCGGTTTTCACTTTACCGTGGAATGGCGTCGTTCCTCATGATGGACAAGGCTTCTCGTCAGAACGTTGTAGCTGCTTAAAGACACATCTACTGTGCATTTTTAAAGTTAATACAATGGAAAATTTTATCTGTCTCTTTTCCAGGGTTAACATCTCTATTTATAAAATAATTCAAATAATACGCGCGCTCTGATTGGCCATAGAACCATTTTACATGAGCGTATGTAAACACGGTTTTCGTTCCTCTTTCATTAGTTATTTTATAAAAGAAATGTAAAATGGTTTCCGTGTTTACATAGCCTGATGTAAACACGCGGGAGGCTGGGAGAACACGAGATAAGCGTAGGAAACCACGACGCGAAGCTAGAGTTTCTTGTAATCACTAAGAGCTTCAGTTGCTCAAACCTCTTAACCTTAGTCTTAGAGATAATGAACATAAAAGAAAGACAAACAATGGAAACAATTAACAGAGCTACATTGTATGCTCTTCATACAGAGGACCTTGATGACAAAACGTGTTAAAATATCAAACTTTGTGTGACTATGGTTAATAACTAAGGCTGATTTCTTATCTACAGGAACTGTATTACAAAGTTTAGTGTCAACTCAGTTGAATAAAACGTTAAAATTCCCCACTTTCAAAAGAGATAGAACAATTGTTCTACATATGAAATGCAAGAAAAAAACAAAAAACAGATACAAAAGGAAATATGACATGATGATATTTGTGAACTTGGTTCAGCTACATCACAAACAAACCAACCTTAATGCAATATCAAGTTGCATTTAAAATTGTGCAAAATGAGCATGTCATGAAAGGGTGGTCTCTTGAAGGAAATACTACGAAAATCGAGACTGGTGCATAATGAAAAAAGGTGGACTAGCTATGAGATCATGACCAGCCAATAAAATTCAAGGATTTAAGATTCCTGCCTGCTGAGTTGCTTCAGAAAACAAATTAGGGCTCTAAGACATCTATCTAGTTAAAACATTACACCTAGTGAACTGCTAAGAGCATATTTATGCAAATTTCACAGATACTGTAAAATGGTCTCCTCAAGTCACACTTGGCCATTCAAGTTCTGTCTGTCAAAATCAAATCAGCCTTGACAAGGAGCTGTCACCCTCAAGTTCTCGGTAAATTCTGCGCTGTCGACAATACAGCACTGTCATTATGACAGTTGTAAGGAAGAACACAATGGCAAATCCTGTAGCCACCCACTTGCCTTGGTCTGATTTCTTGCCACCATGTCCTGAAAAAATGAGCACAAATAAAATCATCACTATTAAACCCTCTAGCTGCCAATATCTGAATCATTGAGTAATTCTCCCCTGATAATGCTACACATTCCTTTGCCGGTTAACCAAATAAATCATCTGGCTCCATTTGTTCGAAAGGTGGATGATGCTATATCCACTGGATAAATCTCTATCTGTTGGAATGTACATTATGTTTTGTTTGCACTTATCCAGTGGATAATGATTTATCTGGTGGAGAGCATTATCCAAACTTCGAACAACTGGGACCTGGGCAATAGTTTTTGTGATCCTCTTCATCAACATAATAAAAAATGTATTTGAAGCAAGTTTTTATTGGGTGCTGAAAGAAATCTAGGATTGTTTTGTTTTTGCTTTACTTTGCAGTGAATTGTCCCCAAAATACACACTTTGGTCTCAACCAATCAGATTCAAAACTATAACCAATTCTACCTTGGTCATTTGTGTTTTTCAGCACTTTAGGCATTTTGCAAGTTTTTGCTCTAAAATCTATTTGGCTCCCTGTTAAACATTTTCTTTTAATCTGACTGACCATTGTGATTACTTTAGTTTGGGTTTAACAACACTCAATTGAAATGTGCCCTAAATTAAATGGACAACTTACACATTGATTACTTGGTGATGTCAGTAGATTAATCATTTACAGGATTCATGTATTAATAACCAATTCAAAAAGTTTGGGGAATAAGAATTTGAACCACAAAATTCTAAGAGAGGAAGAGGTTCAAATTCACTAGTGAAATTTCACATTGCAGTGAGGCAAACTTTATTATATTTCCTTTTCAATTACAGAGTTTCTAGACCAAACTTCTCCATAATTGCAATAAGGTAATTAATGGTTTTGAAGAATGATTGACTGGTCCTAAGTCCTATAAACGATTATTAATACCTTTTGGTGTTGGAGTAACATTTGGATTTGAACTGTGATTTCCAGGTTTGCTTGAGGGAACGTTTGTTATTGTGGTTGGTCTTGTTGTGGAATTTCTTGGTGCAGCGGTGGAATTTCCTGGTGCAGCTGTGGAATTTCCTGGTGCAGCTGTGGAATTTCCTGGTGTGGCTGTGGTGTTTGGTGCAACAGTTACATTAGGTGTTTTTGAAGAGGCTGCAGTGCTTAAAGTTGGGGTGGTTTGGGGTTTGGAGGTACCATTAGTGGAAGGTCCAGTACTATGTGTAGTTCCATTAGTAGAAGTAGGGCTTTTTGATGGACGATTATAACCACATGCTGTAAGTTAAACAATGCATTTGTATTCATGTCATAAATAACATGTTCTCACTGAATGCAAAATACCATGTTTAGGAAGGTGTGGGTAATATGAAAATTCTTAAAGCTTCTGGTATAGTTTTAAAATTACATGAAGGAAATAACAGAGATGGTAAGATACTCTAAAAATACTTTTCAAAAGACCTGTGCAATAACTCATTTGTTTTGTGCAGATGAACTATAACTCATTCGCGTCTGAAGCTTTTATATTCATTGGCGATGTTTACCTTGCTTTATTTGCCATGAGATCTTTAAAAAACTTCGTTGGAAGAAAACAAAATTGTTTCTCCACTAAATATCTTTTACTTTTCTGTATGTTTAACTTTTAATAAGTTGTACTGGATTGAAGACCTACTCGCCTGCATCTCTACTCGATTTTATATGTCGGCAAGTTGATGTTGGCGAGTTGAACCGTCGGCAACTTGACTGTAATTCATGCAGACTGCTCATTATATTTAGAGACTTATATTCTCTCGATGAAAGCTGATGCAAATCGAAAACATACAAAACTTGATAGCAAAACTTTTATCTTGTTTGTACTCTTACTTTGTTACCTTCAGTTGTCAATTTCACAGCTTGTTTCCTTGTTAAGTTCAAAAAACAGTTCTCACATACACAGGTAGTGAACTCCAAAATAAAAGAATTTAATTGTGAAAAAGCTCGCTTCATAGCAATCCACACTGAAAATGATGCTGACATGTTCATTTTGTGGCACTGCATAATAAATGCACGACAGAATTTTTGATGTATCAGTGAAATTTTCTTAGCTAGTGCTGCCTTGAGTTAAAGAGTATTTTCCCATTTCAAGCAATTTCTTCAACTCATAGATCTTGAGATATCAGTTTTGTTTTGAGAACAGATTTTTACAAATGGTATCATTCTTGATGAAACATTGAAGACAAAAAGGGTGAAAATTTATTAATTCCACGCTAAAGGATATCATGTCAACAAAAACAATGAAGGAACTTTAAGTGAGTCAATGATTTTCTTTTGTTTTTGGGTACAGGTTATCTGCCAGTGCAGGTAATCTGTTGAAGATTTTTTCTTATTATTGCAAAAATTGACTGATGCGGGTAATCTGTCTGGATAAATAGATGGAAATGACAGTAATTACATTGATTCAATTTAATTTTATGCATTCATAAAATACCACATAATAAATGTCAGTTTTGACATGGTGAATGCTTTAGAATTTTTTTGTAGTTTTATTTTTAAACCATGCACTCTCTGAATTTTAAAGCTCATTTTCCTTACTCAGCACCTCACAGTAGTTGATAGTTTTTTAATTTCTCTTTACTTCTCTAGTTTGAAGGTGTATTGAAATTGATAGAAATTAAATTTTTATCCCTCAGAGGGTTACAGGATTTTTATCTGTCATAAATTGTCAATTTTTTCAAACAAGTTCTGATAAATTTCTCACCACATTGACACAAAAGTAGAATACTCTTTTATGTAGCTAAAAGTTTAAGAGAATGTTTAGAAATACCATAACACTCTGCTGTGAAATTCTAAACTATCAAAGAGAAAGTCAAATATTCTTTACAAGTGAGAATGCTGCTATTTTCCACCAGTTACCCAGTAAACATATAAATTATTTTAAAAATTTGATAACAAGGAAATATGTTGATTACTCATTAGAAAGGAGAGCTAGTTTTAGGCTGAGGCATAAAACATTTAACTTTACCACAGTATACTTTGTTCAGTTAATTTAAAAATTCCCCTCTAAATGAGGGATTGAGGGAACACTTCAGCCAACCACAACAATAGCATTGCTTTATGCATCAGCTAGTGACAGCCATGGCAAAAGTTGCTTTGTGTCCAACACATGCAATGGTCATATTACCGCCGTAAGCTAATATCAAACTTGTGTTGGTACGAATATTGTGTTACACTTTGCATTTCATGCTTGAATGCATTCTGTTTTTTTTTTCATTACTAGTGATTGGTCAAAAGCCAAAGCCAAAGTCACTCGCCTGCGCCTCATGACTTACAAACCTTTCTGTTGTTCTTGAAAGAAAGTAGAAATAGATAAAGAGTGCCATCTGTTGCCCAAGTAATTGACAGTGGCTTTTGAACTCTAAGCATGCAAGGATTTCTACTCTGTCCAAGTATGATGTAGTAACACAAAGTAATCTCTGTTATTTTATAAAATCCTGAAAATTAACGACCATGTGGTTATCGTGCACACTACAATAGATGGCTTAAACGATTCAAATTTTTGTATAATTCAAGCGTGGGTTAGTTTGAACCATGCACAAATCGGAGATCAGTTTCGGAACTCTGCGACGGCGATCATCTAGTGAAATTTACCAGCAATAGCAAATCGTACACGAAATGTTTCCCGAAGCTTGCAAGCAGCTAGTAGCTTAGTATCGGGTTACTGGTAGATGTGCATCGTCGTCACGAGATCTTGGGCTCATCTCAATTTAATGTAATTGATAAAAAACTAAATAGTGCATGAAATAAAGTTGTTGTCGGACTTCTTCTTCATTTTCGTTTGTAGTAGTACACTTTCGATTTTATCTTTTGTTTACTCATTTACGAAGAGAAAAATATTTCATCCTTGATGGAATATTGTCTATCCGTAATAATGACTTTGTCTTTACTTTTTCCGTGTCGAGTCTTCGTCTCTTTACACTGAGTTCCGCGGCTTTTGCGCAACTTTGTTATTCCTTCCACATTTTAACGCCAATTGTGATCAAAATTTGGACAAGCTCACGGCAAAATGAAATCTATTTGTCAAAAATTGACGGCGATTTGTTGCATCATTCGGATCGGTACAAATTGCGAGCGGTTTGCTTTTCATTGAAATCGTCTGCTGACGGTCAGCTATCTAAAGCTTTAAAAACAGATAGAAAGATATCAAAGAATATCAGACTTACCGATGCCGCAAAGTGCCAGCAGTATTAGGACTACACCAGTATATGTCATTGTAATGCACTCGCTGGATAACAACTATAGATAACGCAGCGAAACGGTGGTCAACTTGTGTTATTGGTCACATGACCCACGGTTTTTTACTTCCCGGAGCCCAGTTCCTCCAAGGCTAGGCCAGTCGCATTAAAATCTCGCCCTTCTCTAGCTTTTCTTTCTTTCGTTCTTTTTTCTTTCTTTTTCTTTTTGTTTCAGAAAAAGTCATTCCGCTTGCCCCAGTCGTTGTACTGTACACTTATCAAGCTAAAACTAAGGGTGTTTCTAAGAACAGTGGTGATATTGTGTCATGGAAACTATGTAAATTAAATTGCTTTATGATAACTAAGAATTAAAAAAATTATTACCATACCATCAAAAAAAAACAAAAAAATGAAAACTATGGTTGTAACGATCCATTAAGTAATATTTGCAACAAAAGTATAATTGTTACATTGTTTGTTTTAAGTTCCTTGCAAAGGATAAGAGTTATACAAATTTCATTTTCATGCATACTACCCTCCTAAAGTATATATGTATATTAATATCTGGGCCTCAACCCTTTGTCTTCTTCAAGTGACCAGCATCTAATTTCTCCTTACAATATCACCCCTGATTCAAACATTAAGCTCATGAGAAGAGAGGAAATGTTCACTGATAAAAAAGCTCTTGATTGTTAATCAAATTCTCATTGTCAGCACCTCAGGAAATGCCCAGAGAACATTATGGAGAATAAGCATGAGGGTGTTTAATTGTAAATGGTTCAATCAGTTGGCTTGCAATGATCCAGCATAATTTCTAAGAATCAAAAGATAGAGAAAAACAGTAAACATGGAAGTGGGACCCACTAGAATTGATCACAGTCAGATCAAAAATTAGTTTCTCACTATACATATTTCTTGGCTCTGTAATTCATTTCAACATCAATTAGACATTTTCAACAAAGAGGACCAGTTTTGCAATTAACATTTGATCTTGACATTCACTGCAGTTTCTTGGTCCATATTCTATAAAACATAATGCTAGTGATAAAACCAAAATGAAATTCATGAGGAATGACTCTTATCCATCAATCGGTTATACTTTCTCAAGAAGTGAACATGTACATCAATAACTTATGTAAGAGGTTCTTCATTAAACAAGAAAAAAATCCTTGCTCTAAAAATAAGGTCCAAGATTATGGAAAATGGTTACTGGTAAATAAGTGACATGGCAATACTTTTGTCTACCAAATAAAAACTTAGATTTTTTTGTTCACTTTGTCTGTAAATGGTCTCATGTATTTTTTAACTGTCTCCAAGTACAGGATGATCCTGGCGTGCTTTAAAAAGCAATGTTTTCTGTCTGTTTAGAGCTTTCTTCATAGAATCTTGGTCATTCTTTACTTCGGACATTCCTTCATAGAGATTTTTCTCAAGCTCACTGATTTGTTTACTCATCACTCTTGTTTCTTCATCTTTCTGTTTGGTAGGGAATGAATCATCCACTGCTCGTTGTTTGAGATTCATGGCTTTGCCTCTTGTGCGTGACAATTCCAGGTTCAGCTCATTCAGGTTTGCTGTGGAATCTTGCAACTAAAATTCAACAAATACATGTTAAGACTGGAACATAAGAAATAACAATTTTCTGCTGTGTGACTTTCATGCTGTGTTTGATACCTTTGAAAAAATTTTAAAAAATCAAATCAGAAAATTAAATGTTTTTCAAAAAATTGATAAAACATTGTTGGGAATCATGATGCTCCTAAGCCTATGATTAAAAAGAATGTAGGATTTAGATAAAGCTAATGGACCATATTATGGCCAGGAGTTACTCCCAAACCTGCAAGTGGTATAGTATACTATTGGTTGGTGCCTTAGACTGTTGATCAGCTGGGCAAAGTTTTTGTCTTAGCTGTAGCATGTCCTTGTTAAGGAAAATTTTATGAATTGCTGAGAGATTGTCTGAAATGCAGATGCCTTCCACCCAGTTGGTGTAAATATAATAAATAAATAAAGAAATAATATAAGGCAACTTCAAAATCGACATTTCTGGCCATCAGACTTTCACAGTTGTGCAAGGATAACAACACAAGATCTACATGTAGTTTACAATTCCTACCTCAATCTGCTAAACATGTCCTAGTTAGTTAAGATAATTTAGAGATAAAAAAAATCAAACCCAAGCATTGGTGAGTTTGTTTGTCTAATAAGAATTGATATTCTATAGAACAATTACAGCAATTTTTATTCAGGAAGCTAGAGAGGTTATGTGGAAACTGCTTTCCCATAGACCATTTCCAAGTTCCAAAAAGTAATAGTTTGAAAACCAGGCCAAGTGCAAAATCTTTGTTGTGAAAATGAACTTTTCAGTCAAACCTGTATTTAGCAGTCACCCACGGGGAATGGCAGGGTGACTGTTTAGTACAGGCAGACCACAAAATACAAGCTGACCACTTAATAAAGCTTGTCCTAACAGTTCAAAGTGGAAAGATAACCAGTGATGAGCTGAGGAAATTTGCACTCAAAGCACTATCATTGATTCTGGGAGATTAAATGGAATAAATTTTACTTGAGAGTTTAATCTTAATTCTATATGAGTAGTTCCACTTTAAATGACTGTACAATACAGGTGGAAGGCAATACAAACACACCATTGGGATTCAAGCAATGGTGACCACCACCCCCTAATAAAGGCAACTGACTGAAAGGTGAAAATTAGAGTACTTAAAGGGAAAAACATTTTGACACTTTGTCAACTGACCACTTAAAAGAGAATGATTGCTTAATGCAGTGCACGAGAGTAAAAAATCTTCTTCATATCAAAAGCAACATACCTAATACTTGTATGAGAATAAAAAATCTTCATATCAAAAGCTTCACACTTGCCCTGATTTTCAAACAGAGCATGGGGCATACCGGAAATTTAATTTTTTACTAACTTTTGTGATTGGGTTTAAAGGAATTACTTTCCTTTCACTCCCAAGAGTAATCAATATGTAATTTCTCACAACTATATCGTTATATTGTAAAGCAAACAGGTGATGAGAATAAAGCAAAATATCAACAGGGTGATACCATTCGATTTAACACCAAATTTTCAAAGATAATATGACAAGAAACATTTAAAAGTCACTAAAGAAAATTAAAACTTAGATTTTGGAAGGGGAAAGATTAAAACGCACACGAACAAAACACAATAAGTAATTTGCTGCGTACCTTTGAGAGTGCGCTAGTAACAGCTTGATCCTGGGTTTTCAGTTTCGGCGGCAACTCCACATATCCGTGTTTCTCCTGCAGCTCTTTCAACATTCCCGCCAGCTCTCGTTCTCGTAATTCTTGCAAGTATGTCTTATGAATAATCCAGGCAGCATCGATATAAAGCTTAAGATCGCGCTTGCCCCAGTCGTTGTAAGCTCTGTCGCTACACAATTCTTCAGCCGTGTCATTCCAAAAACGCCAGTACTCTTTGGTCATCTCTGCATCCTGTGATTCAATCTCTCGATCGCTGAATATTCTTATTCCACGCGAACGGGCAAAGGGATATTTATCGTTGCTTGTACTCGTAGGTTCTGCAATCAACGCTTTCTTTGCAGGGCTTTTCTTCGACTTTTTCTTTGGTGGTTCGTCTGTCTCTTTATCTTCACCATCGACAGCACTTTTACCTGCGCTCGCGGTCGTATCTTCCAAGGTAACTCCAACTGCTCGCTCGGATTGCTCTTCTAACTCCTCAAGAGGACGCTGAACTTCTTCTTCGACGCTAGCGCTCATCTTTTCGGTAATCTGAGGACGTCCTCGCCGCCGATTTCTGCAGCAAAAGGTGAAGAGAACTCTTGCAAACAAAGATCCAATCTCTGTAACCACCCCTCCTCCCCCTCCCTAACGACTTATTGGATACCAGTCCTCAAGTCTACTAATTACGGTCCGCTAGGCGTGCATAAAGTTCTCTCAGACCTCTGCCTGCATGCCTTTTAGAGGATTTTAGGTTTGGGAATCTTTATACGGTGAAAAATATAAAGAAAAAACTTAAATTGGAGACATTTTTGCCATAGATCACAATGTGTAAAAGTTTAAAATATTAAAAAACATTGTATCCAACTTCTAGGCTTTTTTTCATTTCTGAAGGAAGGCAAGTGCAGCTGTGAAAGAGTATTCATGTTTTATTGTATAGTTTATCTCCATCATTTACAAGGAGGGCTTGTCTAAGGAACAGTTGCGTGAATAATGAAGGCTGGAAACGTACAGTTTCCTGAATGATTCACTCCCTCCACTCATGGCATTTAAACCAGAGTTTGGAAAGAGCAGAATGATCTGACCAATGATGACACCAACTAAACTTTGCACGAGGATAGCTGGGACAAAGCAAGGCACACGCCACAGACTGTAAATGAAAGATGGCATCTTCAGTTCCATCACAGGGTAGATTCAGCTACCTCCTATGAAAAGTGTGTCTAAAGCAGTCTTCGCAGAACATGAGGAAAACAAACTTCCTGCCAGCACTGGAGTTTTACCTTGTCAAACTCATGCAATGATGAGTGAGCTTTTACCACTGACACACAACAATATTAAACTTACAACTTCCCTGGATCTGATTGTTAATTTTCCCCTCTAGCTGCAACACATTTCCTTGTAACAAATTTAGGGAAAGATCAACATAGCAATTCCTGCCTGATAAGTTTGAGTATTCTCATTACCTGTTTGCTAGATAATGTATGGATATTTTTGGAAGAGGTTAAATGTTAACCACTACTGGGGGTTGAAGTGTTCTGGAAATTCATTGGTTACCTGATTAGACCAAGATAAGCTTCTACTCCAAAACATGCTTCAAAAAACAAAACACTACCCTGTCACATCAGGGAAGAGAGCCAGAGTCCACACAGCACTAACATATTCTTGTGCTGCCTCATATCAACTTCCAAAACTTGATACCAAAAGAAAGAGAGAGAGAGGGCTCCTAATGATCTTTTGACCAACCAGAACACGTTAAAATTGAATGCTTAAGAAACTGTAGCAAAACTGCAGTTGCAATGGTCTGTAAAATTGTTTTATTTCTTTATTCTGAGAAAAGTATTTATTCACATATCATTTCATCTTCTACTGAAAAATAGAAGCAATTCACTATTGAACATGCATTAATAATTCCTGAATGTTCTAACTTAAGTTACTCTTTAAAAAAAATTAAAAAGCACCAATGTATCAATAAAAAAAAAATTTTGACTTGACTCTTTAACCCCTACTTGTGACTGGCTTCTAATTTCTCCTTATAGTATCACCCTTGAATCAAATGATCAGTGTGGAGAATATGCATGCTGATGTTAGAGAGTAAAGGGTTAAGCTTGAAGCCATTTTCAAAATAACAGAAACAATAATACTTAAGTTATAGCCATAATAACATAAATAAAGCACATCAAATGACATTTTCTGTTCAGTGCTTTGTCAACCCTTAATCTCCCACAATTTCACTATCAATTTTCTGTACTGTCTCCTTAAAATTTCTTGTAATTGAAGTCTGAGGATATGCTTTACATCAAACAATATCCCTTGGTTGATATCTTTCTATTTTCTCATCACCTTCTGCTAAAAGCTTACTGAAATTGTGGGGAGGAATTTCTCTGTAGTCCCTTCTGGGAATAAAAGGGTTAAGACAAAATTCTCCAAAAAGTAATTAAAAATAAATGGACCACAGATTCATCATGAGATTAAAAAAAAAAAGAAAACAAGCATATACCAAGCAGTTTTGTACCCTATTAATCCTTCAACTCCCAAAATCTGTATGTTAATTCTTCCATCTAGTTGCTGCACATTTCCTTGTAAATCAAATTAAAACTTCTACCTGATAAGTTTAGGTAGTCCCATCACCTGTTTACTGGTTAATGTATGTATATCATAGGGAGAAGTTACATGTTAATCACTAATGGGAGTTAATGGTTCTTATTTCCAAATGATTACTATTTGATTGACCAACAGGCATGTAACTCTTCTGCATGAAAGATCTACCAGCAAATTCTTCTAATTTCTGAGAATTTGGTGTTACACCAGGATAATGTTCCCCATTTAATAATTGAAATAAATTGTTAAAAATTGACTTAAAATGGTTGTTGCTGGTAGTGCAAGGGTTGAGCCACACCCACCTGACGTCAATCCCCTGAATTCAAAGCACTTAAGCATTACAAACTAAACTTAAACCAAGTTGTTTGAAATGGCTTTGCTTCTATAAATAGTTTATGTTAAAAATTGGATATGTTTTATAATAGTGTCAGTTTTGAGCACTGTTCAGTCAAAACAACTAGTTCACCAAGATATTTTAAATAATTATTATAAAAATAATTATTGTTCTCTGTTTACAATCAATGATCAATACTCTTGACCAGGTCATTATATTCTTCTTCTGACAGAAGGTCATCTGCCAACTCTTCAACTTTCATTTTGACCAGCCAGCCTAAAAGCAACACAAAGGTTAGAAGCAGCACATGTATTGTAAAGGTTGACACCTTGTTCCATTCTTCTGTGGAAGCAATCATGAAGCTCTACATAGCTCTGGCAACAAAATTATGGTTCTCAAATAAATTAAACTCTCATCAGCCTTAACTAGTGTTACAAAATTTGAAAACCCCATTCTAAATAATGCTAAACATGGTTTTAAGCTGTTTTCTTAAACATGGTTTAAAGGTGTTTTTCCCAAAGAAGTTGCTTAAACTGATGATTTTCCACTTCAAATATAGCACAAGAAAATACAAGTTAGTGACTACTTGATCAGTTTTTGAAGTTTTGTGGTCCATTTGCATTCAGTTAGACCTGGTTTCACTACACATGCTTAGCTGTTGTGTGAATAAGGCACAAGTTTGATTAAAACTTACATGTAATTAAACAGAAAATTATACAAATAAATCAAGCAAATGTAATTTTATGCTTCATTATATTGTTAGTCACTGCATGTACCTTTATCATAGGGAGATTCATTCACCAAACCAGGGTTACTCTCCAGTTCACCATTTATCTCACTAACTTCACCTTTTGCTGGTGAGTAAATATCTGCAGCAGCTTTGACACTTTCTAATGCACCAATTTCATCTATAAGCAAATTTAAACACAAATAGTATCAGTTATTGACCAGTTTTACAGAAAAACTAAAGAAAAAACTGTAAGTACTGGTATATGAAATATTTTAAGAAATGTTATTATTATATGAACAATCAAAATGGAAATGAACTATGATTAATTACTTTTATGTTCAGGCCTGATTGGCTTGTTTCTCTACACAAAACATTGCAGAAATTAAATTCTGATGTTTATGCTTTTCTGAGTTTCATCTTGAGATATTCTATTTATGTGAAAAATCCATTTTATATTATAAACTTGTAATTTTTGTTCCCAGAAAAAAAGTTGTCACCACATGAAACCTCTTTAACTAAATGTTATGTCTATTGTTAGTTGCATAAAATGGAAGGGCTCCTCACCTCCTATATTAAATGTATCTTCCACCTCAGGAAGCTGAGCATAAACAACTTCTCCTAATTCTTTCTAGAAGAAAAAAAATAGAGAGTAAATAAAATGTAAGAAAAATTTCATTTTGTTTGTAATTGATTGACCAGTTCCACATGTGTTTTAAAGTAGTGAAAGATAAAATGAGCATCGCAAGTATATCATTTACACCTGAAATGTATGATAATAACTTAAAGACAAAAGAATGGTTGTAACTTATTTACCTGGGCATAGTCTGTTACTCCTATTGATCCAATTCCACTGTCTACACTGATCCATTCATGTTTCTTTGTGTATTTTCGTTCTTAAAATTCAAGAAGAAAAGCTCAAAATAAAGAATATAACAGCTCAAAACAACAACATCATAAAAACATAACAAGTTATTTTGAGGGAGTGCTTTATATTCCTTTGTTAATGATTTTTCTGCTTCAGACCATCCACACAGGAAAATGTGTAGCTAAGCAGCTAGATAAGAGATAAAATTATCAAACTTCAGAGTAAAAGGGTTAAAAAGAGGCTGGTAAGATCTCCTGTCAATGTGTTTTTTAATGTCTGGTGTGAATCTTTGAATTAACATCCAAGGGAGTTTTAGTCAAACTTCAGGCAAGATTGAGGAAAGAAGAGGAGGATGGAGTAACTGTCAATTTTTTTGCACATTGTGGCTAGATAAATGTTTGTTCATCATTTGCAAAACAAGTTCTGCAAGACATCCAAATCGTAAACTGTGTATAATATCAATATGACAAGCTATGCCTGAAAATTAGCAACACCAAAGGTTCTTTCTAAACTTAGGGTGTTCCCAAGATGCAATAGTGCCAAAAAGAATCATTAAAAACACTCAACATCATACATTCTTTGCTGACTCAGTAAATGACTACCAAAACCAAGAAAAAAGAAAGTGACTCCTATTCAAGAAGGGGTTGTTTATTATCAATTTTAGGTGAAGGGAGAAGGGGGGCTTGGTTGAGGCAAGGAGCTTATTTGAGGATTTATCACACTAATATGAACACAGACTAAATAGGCCTCAATTTGGTCTTATTATCATCATTATTCAATACTAGTATCTTGTAAATAATTGAATAAGCACATGTTGAGGTTGGATTTCTTTTTCAGTTGGTTGAATTGTATTATCATACTTTAGATCATGCACACAGACAAAACAAAGTAAATGCGAGGTACTTTGAAAAATATCAAAATAACGATTTTCCTTCATCGCCTATTTTGAATTTGGTACCCCTTTCATCTATGGAACCAGACTTTCAACCCTATATGCAGCTCTACCTAATAAAATGCAAGATGTCAGCTGTAACGGTGCAAACAAAAAAAGATAAATAGAACAACGTTCGAAAACAGACAAAGTATACAAAGAACAGAGGGTAAATCTTGTAACAGATCTGAGAAAACAGGGTAAGCGGCATGCATAATGTACAAACAGGGGCTCGAGTTCACCGGAAAACTCCTTCACGTGCATTGTAGCCCGCGTGGTCGGTGTGCTTTTCATATCACTATGCCTTGCAGCTTTCTGATTGCCTATGTAAATCCTAACAGTTTAATTGCGCTTCCTGAAAGCAAAATTTAAAAATATGAGGGCGCCAGCCACCCTTTCGATGAAAATCTAAAGTTCCATTACCTTTGTTACATTAACTTTACGCTAATGTTTTGCGCAATACTGCGCACTACGTTTATATAGTAGCTACAAAGATACGTCTAGATCTCAGACCTTACCCGCTAATAAACACCTTCCGACGTGTAGAAGCCGTTTACTTTCCACCCTAGAGCTGCAGATCACTACCCTCTTGGTGGATACACTAAAAAATTGAGGAACAATCCCACAGGCTCTACTTACGAAGGTAGCCATATTCGACCACTAGAACTAATTGAATTTCCTGCGAAGCACTGGGTTCTAATTCTCCCGCTGAGCAACATCCATGCGCATGACCGCACGTGGGTTTGACGTTGATGGCGGCTTTCATTGCTAGCATCTAGCAGATTATTCACTGTCTATCTGCGATAATTTGTACAACCCAAGGGCGCCAGAAGCTGTGGTTTGGACGGGTTGAAGCCCCAGCACCTTCAAAGTAAGTGAATCGTGCAATCAGGCAAAAATAAGCGATAACTTGTGTTGAGTCTTTTTCACTGTTGTATCAATGTTGATAGAGGTCTGTGGTCAGTTCGTTCTATAGTTACATCGTTCGATGTTAGATCGTTCCACGGTATCGCTAGATCGCTCCACTCAATTGATATTTCTAACGAAAGGATAGACAGATATGTAGATGGAAAGATCGCTCCACCTTTAACACAAGCGACGTTAAAATTAGCGAGAGTAACGAAATGTTTACACTTTTGATATATGTATATACTGTTGAATTAACCATAGTGTTATATGCTTGGAAGATTACTGCTCAGACAAATAAAAAACTGTGCACATGATCGATAGTATCAAAATTGATTTCAACTACTCATAATTAAATTCTGCATAGTTTTCGAAAGCTTTTTCATGGAGGGGAAAGTTTTATATATTGTTTATCATTGGCCGTATGATCTGATTATGGAACCAAGCTGATTGATTGTAACTGCTTATTTTTCATCACTGAGTGTGTCAGGGTTCAAGGCACTCTGTTATTTGCAGTGAAGCTGCATGATATTTAAAATCAGGTCACTGATTTACAGTCCTTGGCCAGCCAGTTTAAAACTGAAATCTCCCTTAAACTCCCAAAATCTGATTGTTAATTCTCCCCACTAGCTTCTACTCATTTCCTTGTTAATTAGTCACAAGCACTTACTGTTAGATGAAGATGATAAGTTTGAGTATTCTCATAACCTGTTTTCTGGTTAATATATGGTTATTATAGGGAGAAGTTGCTTGCTAATCACCTCTGGGAGTTACATGTAGTCAGTTAATCCTTATCCAGGGTTAGCTGATATTGAAAACTTGTTGTTGTGGCTGTGCTTCAGATTATCTTCCTTATCTATAAATTAAATTAATTAATGTGTGATTCATTATTATAAAGAGAAATTATTGTTAGTCACCCTTTGGAGTAAAGGGGTTAATTGATTAATGACCATTTACTCACAGTGTTCCCTCTGATACTTTCAGGTCACCATGCATCTGTATGCACTGACTCTTCAGAAAGCATCCACCATTAATCATGCAATTCATGGTAATTTCTCGGGCTCTAAGCAGCAGGAGATTGTTATCTCCAGAGGAAAGATTATCGAGCTTCTTCGTCCTGACCCCAACACTGGCAAGGTGTTTCCTCTGTTAGCTATGGAAATGTTTGGTGTTATTAGAGATCTTATTGCTTTTAGACTCACTGGAGGTTCAAAGGGTGAGTATTTGTTCCAGTTCATGTCGCAGTTATTAGGTTGATTTTTTTTCTTATTATGATTGGCAAAAGTCTTGGCATGCTCCACTACTTTTTTAATTATATTCTCTAACTTTCATGTGTCTCCCCCTCTCTCTCATTTCAGTGTTGTCTGTTGTTACAAAATGCCCACTGATTTCAGGGAACAATTTTTTGGAGGGAATGTGAAGACTTATGATAATTAATTACAATATATTTGTTTATTATGTTGAGTGGAGGGTAGTCAACCATCTAGTTTGGGGAGGTGTGCCAACAATTTGTGCCACTCATTGTAGGTTGGTTCATAATTTCTATAGTTCGTTTTGGATTTACAGCTGTATTAGTTAGTTTGGAAATTTAGAATTGACCTATAACAGAGGAAGATTAATTTTTTTTATGTGAATTAAACTAATTGTAGTAACTGTATCTGTATATGATTTCTGGTGATTTGCTCTGCTAGTGAACTGGCTGATCACAATTAATGAAACCTACTTCTTTTAATTATATATTATTGGTTTCAGATTATGTGGTGGTTGGAAGTGATTCTGGAAGGATAGTTATCCTTGAATACATACCTTCAAAGAATACTTTTGAGAAGGTAACTAATTAAAAGCAAGATAACAGTATACTCATCCAAAAGTGTATCTCCTGATAAATTTGTGTATTTCCTCAGTTCACACGGTACGTTTTTCTGCCATTTTCTTTGTTTCAGGTTCATCAGGAAACATTTGGTAAAAGTGGTTGTCGCCGTATTGTTCCAGGCCAGTACTTAGCTGTGGACCCCAAAGGTCGTGCTATTTTGATTGGTATGTTCGATTCAATTTTCAGTAAAGAAGTACACTTACGTATAAAAAATACCAGAAAGACCAACAAAGACAAGTAGAAACACTCAATCATTGTATTTCACTTGCATGTACATGTATATAAAAGTAGCTTTTTACATTACGTTTTATGATCACCATGAAAAAACTGATGATTTTTTTCTCAGTTAACAGAAAGGTGAATGTATGGTTTGATGGATTGTCTATTGCTCTCAGTGAGGATTCATGTCACATGTATACAAATTCATTAACCCCTTTACCTCCCATGAGTGACCAAGACGGAATTTCTTGTTACAATATCAATAGCATATCAACCAGATAACTGATGAGTATAAAGAAAAATATCAATTTGGGGATAATAAATTGATCCAATACTAAATTCTTTGAACCAACATTATAAAAATTGTATGGTTGATAGTAAGGAGAATTACATATTTGATCTTGGAGCTGATGAGTTCAGATATAGATTACAGTGACAGGATGATGGCAATTTAATGATAATGATCACGTACATTGTTGACTCATAATCAACCTCAGAAAAGCATAAACATCAGCAGAAGGCAAACAGACATACCCTTAAGCATTAACCCTTGAACCCCCAGAAGTGATTGACATATAATTTCTCCTTACAATATCCATTTATTACTCAGCAAATTGGTTATGAGAATACTCAAACTTATCAGGTAAATGTTGTTATCTTGATCTAACACCAAATTCTCAGAACTAGTTTAAAACTGAAAGGGAGAAATAACAATCAGATTGTATGTGTTAAAGGGTGAATGGTAATAGGTTTGTGGTGCTGTGGTTTCCATATATGTTCTAATCTTCCTTGTGAGTGGTCATAATGCAATAAACATTCCAGAATTAATGTTAACTACAGATGTGTATTGCTTCAGAGTTTTATGGTCATTTTAATAATGGCAATGATGTAAAAAATCTCTTGCCTCTTCCAGGTGCTGTGGAAAAACAGAAGTTAGTTTATATCCTGAACAGAGATGTTGCAGCTCGCCTGACTATTTCATCTCCTCTTGAGGCTCACAAATCTCACACACTGGTCTATCATACTGTGGGAGTTGATGTTGGGTTTGAGAATCCAATGTTTGCTTGTTTAGAGATGGATTATGAGGTACAAATTTGTTTCCTGCACTGAAAATTAACGCCGAAAATTGAATGTAATTTTTAGATGGGTGTTGACATTTTGGTTCCTTGATCAAGCTAACTGAAAGGGTAATTAGTACACATTTAGAGAATTTGATCATATACTTGACATTCTTTTCATGAACATTTGGGAGATTATTCAACAGCATCCAGGAGTTCTTCTTATTTTGAGGAAAGCTAAAAAGGAATTTTTGAAGCAAGAAATGACTTGCAACTTATGAGCATTGCACCATCAGATTTTTCTTGTTTATAGTAATCACCAAACAAGTGTTGGTGTATTGACAGAAATAAAGAAAAATGTTTGTACTTATTCCTTGTTACCCTCTGTAGTGTTGTTATTGTTACTGTTATTGTTTCTTCCTTCCCTATTGTATATCCACCCCTTTTTTATTGCCATTGTTACCACTATCATTGTAGTTCATAACATTTAATGATATACATTCATCTATTCAGGATGCAGATACTGACCCCACTGGGGAAGCTGTACACACCACTCAACAAACACTGACATTTTATGAACTAGATTTGGGTTTGAACCATGTGGTGCGCAAATATAGTGAACCTCTGGAAGAACATGGCAACCTTCTCATTGCAGTACCTGGTGGAAATGATGGGCCAAGTGGAGTGTTGGTTTGCTCTGAAAATTATATCACATACAAAAATTTTGGGGATCAGCCAGATATTCGCATGCCCATACCACGAAGAAAGGTTTGTGAATATAAATCATGTTGTTTCTGTGACCTACATGTAACAATAAATAGCTTACACTGTGTATCTCTATTAAGGTAGTTGTGAAGATTTGAATTTTACTTTTCATTTAGGGTTTGTTTTTCTGTTTGTTTTCAGTATGATCTGGATGACCCGGAACGTGGAATGATCTTTGTGTGTTGGGCAACTCACAAGACCAAGGTACATGATTTGCATGTTTAGTATGAAAACACGATAATTACTGCTTTCAGCCTTTTTTCAATACACTTATTCTCTCTACATATAATTTGTTTTGATGAATGTACATTGTATGTTAACACAGTTGTGATTTTTAGCAATATCTGTATGGTGTTAGTAACAGATTTTTGTTTCCTTTAGTCCATGTTCTTCTTCTTGGTGCAAACAGAACAAGGTGACATTTTCAAGGTTACCATGGAAATTGATGAAGATATGGTAAGTAAATACATTTAAGTATATGTTGCAGGTAATTGTTCAACTGCAGGTTTATTATACCACTATTAAGACTGTTCATGCAATAAGCTGCATCATGTATGCAGTTTGATTGGTTCCTATGATGTATAAGAAAACAAATTTATAGTTAATGTCACCATTCACATTTTTTTGTTTGTTTATTAAGACATAAAACAAAGAGATACAATGTTACCATAGGTCTGTCTGGTAATAGATTCCATGTTGTGGTGGAACCGTCAAGTAATAGATTACATGTGTATGTTCATTAAGATGTCACAGATATCATCAAAATGTGGTGAAAACATCAGTGATGCAGTTGGCTGTGCCTTGTGTGCCACTTTTATTCTTACCATATTTTGATGTCATCTTTGATCTCTTACTGAGCAGAAACATGGCATTGTAGAATCGATTTGTTATTAGTAACATCAATATTTGGCTGATTTCAGGTCACAGAGATCCGTTTGAAGTACTTTGACACAGTACCAGTTTCTACTGCCATGTGTGTGCTCAAAACAGGTTTCCTTTTCACTGCCTCAGAGTTTGGAAATCAGTAAGTACAGAATCTTTTCAGTGCAATCTGTATGAATATCAAAGGCATTGCAAGTAAACTTTTTATTTCACATCATTTTTTTGTTTCCTTTGGTTCAAAACCTTTCTGTTGTTCCCTTCCTCTGAATCCTCCAACCAATGTCATTCTGTATGTTTCCCATATTTCAGCTATCTGTATCAGATTGCACATCTTGGTGATGATGATGATGAGCCTGAGTTCTCCAGTGCAATGGAGCTTGAGGAGGGGACCACTTTCTTCTTTTCTCCAAGAGGTCTTAAGAATTTGGTTCTTGTGGATGAACTTGAGAGTTTAGCTCCAGTAATGTCCTGCCAGGTATGGAGTTTTTGATTTGATGAAGATAAACCACTAACCTTTGTTTATAAAATCAGTGAAAGTACTCCATAGCAATCAAAATAATGGTCAACAATTGCTAAATTGTGTAGGAGAACAGCAAAAAGATAGGAATAGAAATAAAAGAATCACTTTTATTTCTATTCCTATAATTTTACTGCATATGTTCCAAGGTATCACAACCAGTTACAATTATAGTAGTTGACACATATTACCATCATGATGACAAGAGAAAACTGTTCACCATGCAATTCCACGTAATGTATTCCAACCCTCCTTTGCAATGTTGCTAGCCAAGCAATATCATGTATAAATCTGCAATTAACAACATTGAATGGGGAAAGGGGGCGGGTATTGTTGCTGCTTTTTTTAATTTCCCTTTTGTCTTCCAATGAACCTGGAAACACATTTTTTGTTCAGGATGTCTCAACCTTTCTCGCTTTTTTTGGTTGTTACAATGAGTTTGTTTTCTTCTCTCAGATTGCTGACTTGGCCAATGAAGACACTCCTCAGCTGTATGCAGCCTGTGGCAGGGGACCTCGCTCATCAATGAGAGTCTTGAGGCATGGTCTGGAGGTAATAAAAACAATATTTCAAATAGTATTATTCTAGAAGAATTTATGTGTGGAGGTGTGGCTTGAATGAAGACTTGTACTTGAAGACTTGTAGGAAAATCTGTTATTTTAAATCCTCTAGGTTTCCGAAATGGCTGTATCAGAGCTGCCAGGTAATCCCAATGCTGTTTGGACAGTCAAGACACATACTCAAGGTAGATTTGCTGATTCAATAAGTTTGATATTGTGTGGTTTTTTGGTGAAAAATTGCTTCGGACATCATTGTTTTCATCAACAGCATGCAGTAGCTCAGATGGCATGTTGGAGTTGACTTGTAACTTACAGTACATCCTAGACATGAGTCCAATGTGGTTTTACTACAGATCCTCATAGAGAATGCTGAATGTTTTTGTAGCTTTGAAATGGACTTTTAAACAACAGTTATAGACAAACATTGGAAGCTCCTCATTTCATCAAACAAGTGAAAAAAAATTATCGGTCCATGCAAACTGTTCTCTGGGAGAGGGCCTCCAGTTTCATGTAGTGTTGATTTTTTTTTTTTTAACTTAGTAACTTAGTGTTACAGACTTTTTTTTGTAGCCTGCATATGGGTTATGCTGGAAAAAAAGAACTGATTTTCATCTTTTGTGGTGTGGTGATTCTGATAACTTGTATCCTTGCCACTATTATATTGCAGATGAATTTGATTCATACATTGTGGTGTCTTTCATAAACGCTACCTTGGTGTTGTCTATTGGAGAGACAGTTGAGGAAGTCACTGATAGTGGTTTTCTTGGTACCACACCTACTCTATCCTGCTCACAGCTTGGCGAAGATGCTCTCTTACAGGTGTGTAAACTTATCAGTTTATTTTTTAATCGTTTTGTTTTATAACCCATGTTATATTTATGACGATTTCTGGGCTTTTGATTCAAAGAATTAACGCTATTACTGTTGTTCAGCTAATGAAATAAAATAATGTCTCTCAGGCAAACACCTTTACTGGGGTGAAATTTTATGGCCATTTTCTTGTAGAGCAGGTTATGATAGCCGGGATATGAACTGTCTAAGTCTCTCATGGTTTGCTTTAAGCGCTAAACTGAGCTTGGTAATTTTTTCTTTTTTTATTGTGAAACACTGACAATATTTATTTGTTGCATTTGTTAGGTTTATTCTGAAGGCATCCGCCACATAAGAGCTGACAAGCGTGTAAATGAATGGAAAACTCCAGGAAAAAAGACAATTGTGAAATGTGCTGTGAACGAGAGACAAGTGAGTAGGCTTAGAACAACGAGAGACAAGTGAGTAGGCTTAGAACAACTTGCTCAGTAAACAACTGTTGGGGACAGTAGTTGCAAAATTTGCCATACCCTGGCTTCTTGTCTTTCATTTTTCCTGTAATCTGATTGGTTATTCTAAACAGTTCTTGAAATCCGATTGCTTTTTTTGTCTTTTCGTGTTGCTTTCTCATTGCCTGGGAAAAAGATGCAATTTAGAACAAAAATTGAGCGATTCGTGATTAATGCGCACCTCAGAGAGCTAATCAGATTGCAAGGACCACTAGTGATTTAAAAATAGATGTAAGAAAAGCATTCTTTTCCATTAATCTTATGCTTGATTTGCCCTGTAGGTTGTCATTGCTTTGACAGGAGGAGAAATTGTTTATTTTGAAATGGATCCGGTAAGCCATTTTTTTTGCTTTCATTTTCTTATAACTTCAGTTACTTTCTATCTATGCAGTCAGTTCGGAATGCACGGCGGAAAGTTCGGAGGCAGTGTAGCTGAGTGGTTAGGGCACTGGACTTGTAATCTGGTGATCCTGGGTTCAAGTCTTCCACCCTGCCTCTTACTGGATTTATTCTCGGTTGTCCCGAGTTCAACTCCTCGGCTGTGCGTTATACTTGGCCAACTGGTCTGTTTCTGGCCAATTGGGATATTTAAATACTATGTTTATATACCGCGTTTGTTTCAAGTTGCTTGCATTGCCCCTGAAAAGCCCTATTGGAAGAGTGGTCAGTTAATGTTATTAATATTATTGTTATTTGTACTATCATTACTATTATTATTATCATTTGATGTTTGCTGTTTCTCGTTTTCAGTCCGGCCAACTAAACGAATATACTGAACGAAAAGAAATGTCCTCTGATGTACAGTGCATGGCTCTCGGGACGGTTCCCTCGGGAGAGCAGCGCTCTAGGTTTCTAGCCATTGGTCTCAGTGACAACACTGTGCGGGTGATATCTCTTGACCCGCAGGACTGTCTACAGCCACTTAGTATGCAGGCGTTGCCTGCCATGCCTGAGTCACTGTGTATTGTGGAGATGGGTCTAGAGAGTGAATCTGGAAGACTGGGTGGACTCTTTCTCAACATCGGACTCTCGGTATGTTTGTCATATTTTGGTTTTGCTTGTTTTTTTTCTCAGAGACCCTTCATTATTTATCGCCTGAGGGGTCAGAGGATTTTGGTCGTGTCACAATTAAAGTTACCTTCTAAAGTCTCATTAGTATTCTAATGTGCTGGAGTGACATTCCTGTTTTCTGGTTTTCGTAGAATGGCGTTCTTCTTCGAACAGTGTTAGATTTAGTAACCGGAGATCTCTCTGATACCAGAACAAGGTAGGAAAAGATTTGGATCTAAAGGGTGCACAGTGGAGCCTCTATTCAGGGAACACGTCGGGGACTAGAAAAAGTGTTCTCTCCATCGAGGTTACCCTACAATTAAGGAAACCTACACAGAGGTTTTAGGACGGCATTTTTTTCAGTCAGCAGTCCTCTGAAAAAGACATTTGTGTGTCGTTTTAGAACCTAATCACAGAAAAACAATGAGAGGGCTTGTCGTTTATGTAAAGTTTAGCCGTTGTTTGGCACAAACGCGCTTTTCTTGAATCATCCTGGATTAAGCTAGACGTTTTATCTAATCGTCGATTTTTGTGAACAGCACCTTGATGGCTCAGAGCTTCGTATCTCCGAAAAAAAAAAACAATGCATATGCTCCAAACAAGCCCCTTACAAAGAATTCTCGAGGTTCATTGCTGATCCAAAACCTCTGCTTAAGTTCAAATTCGTTTTAATATTCGGCCCTTAGTAAGCAGTATGAAAGGGTCAAATGCTTGTAGTGTTGTATTTTTGCAACGAAGCTTAAGGATTTATACATGCGTACATAAGTCTAATGCGTTTTGAGGTAAAGCACAGTTGAACAAACAGCATTGCTTCAAATTGCTATTTTTTTATTTTTTATTCAGATATCTTGGTTCAAAAGCTGTGAAGTTGTTTAAAGTTCGAATGCACGGGTCAGATGCGGTGAGTTCCTCTATCACTAAAATGTGCAACCTTTTTCCTCGAAGATAGCATTTTTATGTTAATTTGATTTTATTAAGTGATTTGATAATGTTTTTTGCCGGCGTAAAGAATCACTGAAGGTGACGTTGCGAGCGTTAGTCCTTCGCGTATCGCAAAGTGTCGGCAGTGTTTGGAACATTTGAGTAATTTTATGCAACGAATTCCTGTGAAGACATCGATCGGTATTTCAGTTTTATTCTGTAATTTTGCTGGGGTTGATTTTTCTGTTTTGTATTTGCAGGTTCTAGCAATGTCAAGTCGATCATGGTTGAGTTATTCGTACCAGTCCAGATTCCATCTTACTCCACTGTCGTACGAAACGTTGGAATACGCATCCAGCTTCTCCTCCGAACAGTGTCCTGAGGGAATTGTAGCCATCTCTGCTAACACGCTGAGGTGGGCTGGGGATAAAATCGTTTGTCGTAAAACTCGAGGATAATTTCTAATCATAAACCGCGTAAAACCCTAACATCAGTATGCATATTCTCCATACTGTTCACCATACAATTTCAAAGGTGCTGACAAGGAGAATTTGTTAAACAATCAAGAGCTTCTACAGTCAGTGATCATTTCCTTTGTTCTCTTGATCTTGATGTTTGATTCAGGGGTGATATTGTAAGGAGAAATTGGATGCTAGTCACTAATTTTCTCAATCCTGTTAATTGTTGTCATTGTTTCCGTTTACTTCATTTCTTGAATCTCGCAAACTAATACTTAACGAGGTTTCTCTAAAAAAAAATTGCGACGACCCCGAAAATAACTGAAAGTATTCGAAGCTAGCCCTTTCGAGGAAGTATTTTACCTCATGGTATGACGTAGTCTTACTATAAGGGTTACTTATGGACTTAAAATCTGCTCACTCACTCGACTCTAATTTGTAAGATAATTAATTTTGCACTGAAAATTGGATTTAACTCGATATTTGTGTTGGGTATAATTTTGACATCAATAAATTTTTACTTTATCATCTAACTGTTCATTTATTTATGGTGATTTTTCTTTACAGGATTTTAGCCCTCGAGAAGCTGGGCGCAGTGTTTAATCAAGTGGCAACTCCCTTGCGGTACACCCCAAGGAAATTTGTCATCCACCCCCAGAGTAACAATTTAGTTATCATAGAAAGCGATCATAATGCTTTCACTGATACAGCTAAGGAAGAAAAGAAGCAGCAAATTGCCGAGGTGAGTAGAGGATACAACGTGCAATTTTATTACATAGAGAATTCCTTAGGATATGTATGACAAACACACTCAGCACTCGAATGTTTACGAAGTTATGGAGCTCGATTATTGCAAAAATTGAGATTCGTAAGTGTGTCGCCGATCAGTTACCTGCTCAAGCCTTCGTTTTTAGTGAATACGACTTTTTGTGAATTATTGGTCCGCTCATCTCTGACAAACCACTATAGTTGGCGCAACCTCGGCCACTATGAAGAAGGAGGTAAATTTCTAAAGAAAATGTGGCGTGCGTCGGTGTTAGATTATAACAGGGTAATTTGATTTTATCAATTGAGTCGATGACGTAAATGGTCACCGTTAAGAGTTTCAAAGCTTATGTTTCGAGCGTTAGAGCAGAGGGCTAAGACTCCGACAATTTACGTTGTCAACTCAGTTGATAAATTACCTCAATTTGAAGAAGCTTTGGTTAAGAAACGCCACCAGTTAATATTCTACCTTTTAATGTTGACAACTCTGTCCGGGTAATGTTTCAGGAAATGGTCGAGGCTGCTGGTGATGATGAGAAGGAGCTTGCAGCACAAATGGCGGCTGAGTTTCTGAATGAGGATCTCTCTGAGCTGCAGTTTGGTGCTCCGAAAGCAGGACCTGGAATGTGGGCATCTTGTTTGAGAATGCTGGACCCTATAAAGGTTAATCTCATTATTGTTTTTACGTAAGAGTGTCGTAATTCAAAAACCAAAGTTTAATGTAATTTTTTAAAGCGGTCACAATGAGCCAATGATAACTCAAAGGAAAGAAAAGTAATTTCCCTGAAGCTTGGGAGAACGCGAGTTTTTCGTCGTTTTTCGTCTGTGAACCGACCATCGCCAAGCAAAATCAATGCACTCTTTTTTTTACTTTAGGCCCTCAATTGAGAATTGCCCTTTGTGAAAAACAATGTTTGATTACGCCCAGATACTGACAGAAGAGTAAAAATAAGACGCTAAGCGGGTATCTTCGGGAGGAGTTTCAAGGCGTTTGAGAAATTTGATCATGCAATGTGTTGTCAACAGAAACTTTCGTATTATTTGCAAGGCAATCCATGCGAATATTCTTTTTTTCTCTCTTCTAATACTTAGATTCCAATACATGACAATACCTTGAACAAAGAGACTTAACCGCGTATCAGCACTTGAGTTAATGACTTAACGGAAGTTTTCTATTTTTTCAGGGCGAAACAGTCGACGAAGTCCGCTTGGATCAGAATGAATCTGCAGTCAGGTTAGTTTGCGCCCAGACTGTTTCATAAAAAAAACTTGGAGTTGAAAGAAAACGGGCATCATTAAACAGTTGATTGCGATGCAGATTTGTTCCCCCCTTGATTCCTTAAGTTAGATCAGGGTAAAACTTTTCAAACGTACTGAAGCGTATGGCCTTATTTAAAGTCCCTAACCGTTGCTCATATTCTGGTGATGTGTTCCTATTCTTTAAACCTTGGTGATTGGTTGTTTGGTTTTGACTCCAACTTATGTAATACAATGATGAGACGTTGGGTTTTGTTCCGCAGTGTGTGTGTTTGTAACTTCACGTGTCGCCCAGACGAAACATACGCATTAGTTGGCACAGCTAAGGATCTCTCACTTAACCCACGATCATGCGCAGGAGGCTTCATTCACACGTACAAAATAGCTGAGTTGATTGATGGGGGATATAAACTGGAGTTTGTACACAAGGTGAGGACTAGTTACTGCTCAATACTCCCTATATCTTGTTCCAGGCGTTCAGTTAGTAAAGCGCAGCGCGAGAGTAGTAACAGAGCAAAAACCGAGGGGTTTGGGTCGGAACCCGACCCAAACCTCCCCCGTCTTTTCACTCCTCCGCTTCTGCCACGCTCCGCTAGATATCGCGCTTCTACTCTCTGAACGCGTGGAATAAGCTCTACTCTTTACGAGTGGATCGTCCCGGTAAGCGTCTCCACTCCCATTAGTTTTGTGATACGTTGGATATTCCTCTCACATCCAAGATTTAGAGAAATGTCAAATCTTTTCTTTGCCTGGTCTACGTTTCTTATAATTTTCCTCAGAGAATTTATGTGTTAAGTCAAATAGTATCCCTTGGTCTACATTTTTCCTTTTTTATCGTTACTTTGTCAGCATAGTGGTCCCAAAATATCAAGCGAACTTAATTTTTTTTTCACAAGAGCAAATAGTTGCATGTATATGTTCTCAGTAGTGCGCACTGAAAATTTAAAGCCAGGTCGATTTATATTTTGATGTCATGTTATTATATCAAAAGCAAGCAGAGTTTATTTTATTTTGTTTTATCGCTACATTCAATTTGGTTTGTTCGTTTTATTTCAGACGGAAGTTGATGATATTCCAGGAGCGCTGACTCCTTTTCAGGTACGTTTTTTAAAGTTCTAATTAAAAATTTTCTCTTTTTCTCCCTCTTTGTAATATTTTTGTATCCATGCGCGGCGCGCGTGATTTCACGAATTAGCCAGTCACGTCGAAGAACTCTTTCGCTGACGTAGACATTTTTCGCGTACTTTTGTTGTGTGTTTCATGGAGTTTTTAGTAGTATTTGAGTTTCGTTCGCGCAAATTTGTTTCCCTTGGTTTGGAATTTTAAGAAGTTTTTAGAGTTTTTATTTTAGCCAACTGAAGGAGAAGAAGAAGGAGGGTAAGGTAATTATTTTTTTGTGGGGGGGGCATAAATATTTCATGGGTTATGTACTTTTGATACTCGAAAAACAATCGGCTTAAGCCGGCTCCACACCTTCTTAAATCATACTCCACGGTAAACACTAAAAACCGTCCACTGTCCCAGACTTGCTATTCTTTAGAAAAAGTCAAAAGTAATTTTCTTGAAGATAAGCATTTCGGTGTACTAGTTTTCTGTATTTACGTCAAAACATTAAAGATGCTAGGGACAGCGTAAGTTTGTTCGCGTAGACCAAACGTTAGTCGTTTTTGAGCGATATCTCCTTCCAAATCTAACTGAACGTGTGATCCAAACGCTGAGTTTTATGGACAGCACAAAATTAGCGATCCTTATCCGAAGAGACTACTAGTGCATTTACCCTTACGACGAAGATTAACCGCAATCTTTTCCTTTTTTAACTGACATAATAAGTGTCAGATAGTGGCTTTCTTAAACTGCGGTTTACGTTAGACTTCATTTGGATAACAGGTCTTTTATGCTTGTCTTATGTGACTTTAGGGACGCCTTTTAGCTGGGGTAGGACGACTGTTACGAATCTATGATCTCGGAAAAAAGAAGCTCCTTCGCAAATGTGAAAACAAGGTATGGCCGCCTTGGGCGTGATCAGCACAACAGCGACGGTCTTATGTCGACCAATTTTGTTACCATTGACATCATTTGTTTGTCATTTTACTTATAAAATGAAGAATTTTCTTTCTCATTTATTTTTTTTTCCAGAAATTGCCCAACTTCATTATGGGTCTGAACACAATGGGAACCCGAGTAGTCGTGAGTGATATTCAAGAGTCTTTTCACTTTGTTAAGTTCAAGGCTCGGGAAAATCATTTGGTTATATTTGCGGATGATGTAAATCCAAGGTATGTGATCTTTTGTTTTACCCGCTTTTAAAAGTAACTTGCGCAAGGAGGAAACACGAGAACCCACTTAGGGCTTGTACTGAATCTCTCAATCTACAGTCAAGTGTACCAACCATTAGGTTATCACTCGTCAAAGCTGAACAGTTTTAGCAGCAAGGCATCCGGTTATCTTCATTTATAGCTCTTAGGTTAAAAATAGACTGTTTGATGTTGTTATCTCGTATTACCGATTCCTTCAAAAACTGTATAACAATGCGTTTATGTACTCTACACGTTGAGAAAAAAAACCGGATAGGACTTGAAATAGCGATCGAGTGGAGGACATGACACCTGGCTCTCTTCTTGAGAGGATTTGGTGCAATATTTCATCCATCTCTTCAGGGGACGAGCTACTCTAGTCCTTTGATAACGGACATTCTGACGAAACCAAGACATATTTCTTTATGTAAAGAGAGCGTTTTCCACTCAATAAATGCTGTGGGGGCTATCTTTGTTATTCAAAAAACCTACCTAATTTATTTACGAATTCAGTTTTGCGAAAGAAAATATCTTTCCCATCTTAGATTACAAATGAATACTATTTCGAAAGTTTGCTTGCCATTTTTTACAATGCCCTGTAGTAGGGATTATTTTGATAAAGAAGGAAGTCCAAGATAGTCAGTCGTTGTCGTGTGAGGAAGAGTGTTAAGTGAAAGTATCTTCTGTTTCGCACTTGAGACACGGCAGTTGTACGTTAAGTTTGCGAAAATTGTTTCTTTTTATGGGTTGAAAGACAGAAGGTGGAAATGATATCTGTCAGTAATATTGAAGTAGAGATGAGTTGATAATGGAGAGCGGCACGTACAGACCCATAAGAACACAAGCACGTTTTTTACGTTAGACTAAAGGAAACATAACACTTTTATTTTACGTTCTCGGTTTTATTGCGTAATTTTGCTGTAATTGAAATTTCGTCAGCTTCTGTTTTGTCCTAAATTTGGCATTTCATGATTATCAGCGATCAATGCATCAGATTCAATGAGCCTCCTTGATTTTTTTCTTCTTTTTCAATAGAAAGTTTTCATTATTAATTTTAACGTCCACGTCTAAACAGCTCTGTTCTGTGCTCGAAAGAGTACCTTAAACTGAAGTTGTTATTACAGCGTTACTTCCGTCGGAGCCATTTCCTCTTTCTAACAAGTCTTGGAGGGCTTTTCGAAAGTCAGTTTTGAAGAAGGTGTACAACAGAGGATTGATTAGGGCTGTGCTAAATTTTAAGGACAAGAGGATGATCCCGGCGGCGAATGGTATCGGATATTCAGGTTTTATGTCGTCCAGCAGAGAGATGATAAAATAGGGGAACCATCCTATCACGAATGTAATGGTCATGACAGCGTATATTATCAGTGCCTTTCTATCGTTTCTTCTCCTGTTTTCCCTGTCTTGCTTCTCAAATAAAGTCCCTTGTGTTAAGGCACGCCTAAATTTCTTTTCCTTGTGAATGTAATAAAAAATATGGCCATCTATACAGGCGATGATGATAAAAGGCAGAAGCGCTAACGATAGTAAACTGAATACCGAGTAACCAAAGTCGAATTTTTGGGTGAGGTTTTCGTTGTCACCTAGGATCCATGTGAGCTGAACGAAGGAAGCGCTCAGAGAGAAAATCCACACAGCCATCAATAGAGCCACTACTCGTCGCTTTGTCACCAGGATATTGTACTTAAAGGGTCTTTTGATCTTAAAGTAGCGCTCCGATGTTGCTACCAGCAGGTGAAGAATTGTCGAGAACGACTGAAATCGATGGCATAAATCCATGCTGGTGCAGATGGGATTGGAAAAAACGATCGAGCATAGGAGCACTAACGGGAGCGAAACAAGCCCAGCTAAGAAATCGCTGGCTGCCAGACTTACCAAACAGTAGTTCGTCTTTGTTCGTAAATGTTTTGTGGTCGCAAACAATAAAAACACCAGCGAGTTCGCGCATATTATAAGGACACCTTGTAAAGACAGGAATACGATCACTGCTTGACCGGATTGAGTCTGATGTAGCTTCCAACGGTTCATCTCTTGTGTCAAATTTCTGTTTTCCCTCCATGTTGAGTTTTCCATCTTTCTCCAATTTGGTCGCCTTTAAGTTGAAACACCTGTGGGCAACCGGATACTCGCGGCGTCTTCTGAAGTCTCTTGCAGTCGGCTAAAGGCTAGTCGTTTATTCTACGAACGCAAAAACACGGGTAACGTTAGATCACGGGTAATGGGATCACGCAGTCTGTGGTGTGGCGTGCGAGATTCTAAGCCGACCAAACAGTTTGAATGCAGTTTAACTCTCTCGCCGCGCAATTTCCAAAAGTGAGTGAAGTTTGTCATTATGGCCGTTTATCACGGCCATTAGTGTGCCAATATTTCGTGAAAGAAATTCAAATTGATGTTTACCTTTTGAAGTATAATTGGTAATTGTTTTTAGGTGATGATGGAAAATCCCTCATGCCCATAAATCATTGTTTCCCACGCTAAGATAGAAAGATGATCTTTGAAGTGGCATCATGATAGTGTGTTATCTTTCGAACACAAGTTCCGTTGAAGATTTTCTCTTTCTCACATTACCTCTGTGTTCGTTGTTCTACTTGTTTTGTATTTTTTATTTTAGAGCGATTTGTCATCGTCAAGAACCGGAAAGGTTTCATTGGCCCTGGTGATTTCATTTCCTGTTACATTGTCTATTTGGGAGTGTTATCGTTTTGAAATTTTGACATTTTACATTTTAAGAAAAACTTACGTGTACGACTGGCATTCTGCAAAATATTACACGATGGAGTCATTTTTATTCTTTTTGTATTCCATGTACAGATGTTTTGGCGAATTCGTGAGTATCAAACTGTGAAACATTGTACTCTCCTTGCCGTTTCTTCCTTTGTCTTTTCTTTTTTAAAAAGATTCATGGGGCAAGATTTAATAAAACTTTTCGCAGATGCAACAACTAGATATTTCAATTTTTTTTCCTTTGAAAGGTCCTCCCTTGGAGGAGACGAGAAATTTCAATTTGCGTTAAGTAAACATTGCCACAAGTACTCTAGGTATATTTGAGAACGAACTTCGGCTGGTTTAATTTTCTTAGTGTGGCATCTACCAGCCAAAGTTTAATTCAGAAAGGCCAATGGATCTCGGCATACCTAAAAGTTTTGTATCTGAAGTGTTTAAATCAAGTGCAAGTAATGTTACTTCGGTGATTAAAAATTTGTTGTGGCATTTGTTGATTCACACAACTATTTTAGCGTCTTGGTACAAACAAGACGCAATTTTTCGTCTGTCTTCTCCAAAGTAGTGATTAGGCTGATATTCCCCGAAACAGTTAATTTTTGTGGTTAGATGATGTACGTCTTTCCAAATTATCCGTAGTATCTTAAAAACGGAAAATGTGTTGCGACTGCTTTCTCCTCGCATTATGGTACCCAAAAAAAAAAAAAAAAAAATTCGGGTAAATATGCTTTCGTTTGGTTTGGCGAATCATGTTGCTTAAGAGCTTGTTCGTTTTGCTCTCGACATGTTTTTTGGCTTAAGCGGACCACCTGTCACAAATCGCTTTCTCTCAAGTATCTTCCTGTTTTTAGAAAGGGAGAATCTTTCTTTCTTGCCACTATTTAAACTAATCGTATTAAAAATACAAATTACAAGACAGCCTTCCCGTGGGCGAAACGCATTTTGATAGTTAAAGGCGCTAATGGCACAGCATTTCAGAGGTTGACGGGCGTGCCAACTTGAGCGAAAACGACCTCGCTGAGATGATTGCCATCAATTTTGATAATCGTTACTTTTACCTTGAAAATTTTCCCATCTTTGTGTATGAAATCACAATTTTTTTCCTGAAGTATTTGAGGTGAAAATTTTCTTGGGGGTTAAAGTTGTCAATAGTTGAAATTTCCTTCAGTCCAATATGCTTCTTCTTGTGCAATATTTATCTGCCTGAAGCAGGTGACGAGAAGGTAATAACTTAACCGTAACACAAAAATTTCGAGAGGCCCTTAAAAATAATAAACATAGTGGGAATTTCTTGGAAAAGGAAAAAGAACAATGAAAACTCAATTTCTCTATTCCCGGTTTTCGTCGAGAAGAGTGTCACTTTGTGCAAACACTCGAGCTTTGAACATGATTAAGTTTTATTTTTAGCTTTCACTTGTCAACAAACTTTTTTTTGTTTTACTCTTGGAATTAATTTTCAAAATTTCGCTTTACGTCATTTAGTTTCGTTTGCAAATTTTGACGCGGCGCAGATGTTCCCGGGTAAGAATGTGCTGCGGTTTATTTTTTGGGTAAAAACACGAAAAACAAAACTCCTCTCTCGGAGTTCCATCTTTCCGATTCTTTGTATCAATTTTTTTCATCTCTTTGTCAGCATATTTTTATTTTCGTTTGATAGCGTTTAAAAACACTGAGGCCCAGCTCAATTGGCCGGGACAGAATGTGTAATTATAGCCTCACAGAATGACGCCATAGTAACTCCTTCGATAAAGAGCGACATCTCTCTTTCGAAAAAGTCTGCCACGAAATGGGAAATTTGCTAGTGAAGCGATGAACTTTTCGAGTAAGCTCTTGTCCTCTTACCTTCTTTTGGATCAACCACTCTCGCTCTTCGCATCAAGCACAGACGGCAGTCAAATATTGGCGTTAATTTGTTTTTAGAGTATTTTGTTTATATTCACTTGTTTTTGGCGCCTGTTTAGCACCCTATTCTGTTACTTTGTAAGGAGCTTTTGAGCAGACCTCTGTGGAGACGGATATTGCTTGCAACGCTGAGTAAAATTTATCCCATTGTGAATTGCAATTATGCACTGCTGGCGAGCAGGTCCAGTGGGCAGTCACGCTGCTTGTGGCAATGTGTGTGGTTCGCTGATTAATTAGCACGGCGCCTTGACATCAAAATCTCATCACTCGTTGTTTTAATTTCGATCGTTTAGTGACACGATAGGTGATTGTACGCGGAATCACACACAGATTTGGCCCAAAGTTCGCATTTAGGCAGGCAAGGCAAATCCTCCCCGGGATTACAAAAATTTATGTAATTGTATTTCTCTGCAACAGCGAGCGTAACATTTCTTTCCTTAAGGTATGCTGGAAGTAACCTAGATTTGTTATTCTTGAACCTTTGCCATTGTCACAGTTTTATTTGTGTGCTTTTTTTTCCCAAGAACAATATTTACTCAAAAATATTTTTCTCAAACCTTTTTATAGTTAATATTCAGTTGGGAGACTTCAGTAACGGAAATTGGAAATTTTGCTCATCGACATGAAATTTTTCCTCAGGTATAACGGACTAAAACTTCGTCGCATGTTTATTCGAGGCTAGCCATATCTTTAGAACGACGAAGTGAAAGGAAAGTCGATATATAAGTGCGTTCACTTAGAATTTAGCCTCTCAGTAAAAGATCACCGAAAGGGCTCTCAAATGTACGAAATTTGACAAAACCTTGTAAGCATATTTCAGATGTAAATTTATCTATTGACATTGTTCAACTCAGCTTTTGTTTTCACATATTTCCTGAATACGTCAGGAGCTCAGTGATAATTAATTGCACCCTATAAATCGCGATTCGTATTCCTTCTACCGGCTTCAAGCTGGTGGTAGTGTTAAAAGTTTACGGTTTGAACTTGGCAGCTAACCGTAAACCGTTGTTGCGAGCTCATTAGCGGTGACCAAAGTTAGTGAGATTCCATTGCTTTTTTACATGGCATATGGCTTGATTGGAAAATGTCGTAGTTGATTGTTCCAGTTCTACCTTCCGATTGGTTTCATTGTCTAAGTGGCCCCAGTTTAAGAAAATGCACGGGAAAGGCTGGTTTACACAGGCGACAGAGTCGAGGTTAATTTGAAAATCGGGGTCTGAGGTGCAGTCATAAGCTCGATGAAACCGGAGTCAGAAGAAATAGAATCAGAACGGTTTCATTTGATTTTCGATTGCTCTCATGACTCGGATGTGTATGATCAAATGAAAATTAAACGCAGAAGCAGAGGAGCCGGCCAATCACAATACGAGTTCTCAGGACATCCGTGGCTTATTTAGTTTTCACAAATCATTAGCAACAGAGTTACAAGCGTGATTTTCACTTGAACATGTCCCTCTTCGCATCTGAAAACGACCCCTTAACATGAGTTTAACTGAAAGCTGGTTACGGAAAGTCTACTGTCGCTTTTTAGATCTTTCACTGCCGTCTGTGTAGCTTGCGTGCAGGCTCTCGTATTTGGGTCTCGCCTTAGGGCTCTTTTTCAGACACGGCCGACTATTGCTCCATCGGCAGCCGCTCATGGAAAAAGTTATTAAAACCTCTGCATTATTGAGAAGCAGCCTCAATAGTTTTAACAATGCTTACATTGAATCGTTCTCTTTTCAGGTGGCTAACCTGCTGTTGTTACTTAGACTACGACACTGTTGCAGGCGCTGACAAATTTGGTAACGTCTTCGTGGTGAGTATGTCCTTTACTTGTTATTGTCTAAGATGTGTCCTTTGCAGCCTGTTTTTTTTTCTCGTGGTCTTTAGCAAACTAATTCAGGAACGTAAATTGGCCACCGTTAAAAGTTTTTAAAGCTGACATTTCGAGCGCTCTGTCGACGGATTCACGCGCGAAATGTCAGCTTAAGAAACTCTATGCAGTGGCCAATTCAACGCAGCTGATGAAACTAAATTATCTTGGAATAACCCTTACCCTAGCTCTACCACACTTTCTCTAGAAACTTACCACTATAGCAAAATTCTTGAACATGATTGGTTATCACCAGACCTATTTGAGCACTTATAGGACAGATCACACGTCATACCTGTGCAAGTGGACAGAATGGGTCATGTACACGCCCTATTGTGTCGCATTTCCCTGAGTTAACTTAGGTGATGTAGGTTAATGTAGGTACGGCTATTGTGATCTCTACCAAATTCTGTTTGTAATCACAATTTTCATTTTTATTAAATTCAGGTTCGCCTCCCGTCCAGCATAAGTGATGAGGTTGATGAAGACCCTACAGGTACTAAAGCTTTCTGGGATCGTGGGCTCTTAAACGGCGCTCCCCAAAAGGTACGTTGCGAGCTAGGTGGCCGTGAAGACTGTGGCACACATGCTAATGCTTAGGCGACGCTAAACTGCGTTTTGGTTTCTATGGTTACGCCTATGGTTGACATTAATCCATATAACTTGTACAATGAGAACGGAAATTTTTAAAATGCTTTGCAGAGTGGATTAAGTAGAAAACACCATATTTATATGTGTTGTATATTTCAAATCGGAGCTCTTTGAAAACCATGCGTAACTGCTTTACATTTTGTTTGGGATGATTTTAAGGAGCTGATTTCGCGTATGCTCATCGGATTTTTCAAGCATCCAGGCTCATGTGCACGAAACTCATTTTAATAGTGATCCAGAGTGGACAGAAATTTTTTTCTTGCGTTATCGAATTTTCTGGTTAAATGCTTGAGATTTAAGATTCTGGCAAAGAACGGGCAACTTGTTTGCACGCCAACCAAATTTTACTGACTATTGTTATTGCAGAAAATATGTCAGTTTGAAACTGTGAAGCAACAGCATTAAATGAAAACGTTCTCTACTCGCATAATTTTTAGTGCCCCTACCTTACCTAATGACAACAACTTTGGTTATTCATGCTTGATATTTCCTTGTTTCACAAATGGCAGTATTTTTTCTTGAACAGGTGGAGACGCTGTGTAACTATCACGTCGGTGAAACAGTCCTGTCGTTGCAAAAGGCCACTCTGATCCCCGGAGGGTCCGAGTCGTTAGTTTTCACCACCCTGTCAGGAGGTATTGGTATGCTGGTGCCGTTCACATCAAGAGAGGTACAACATCCCTCCCTTCGCCACCTTTTTGTTATTTATCTTTCCTGTCTTTTTTGCTTGTTTATTTTTTTTCTGTTTTCCTTTTTATTTGTCACTACACAAAAAAATGCTGTTTTTACAAGCTATGAGGTAGACAGAGAGTTTCTGCTCGCTGAATCTGTTCGAGGACTATGTCTAGTCGCATCCTTTATAAAAGTATCGCGATAGAAAGCAATAGCGAATGTCATACTACAAAATGTAAATGGACTTTTTGTTTGTTTGGAGACCCGTTGACCTTTTCCTAGAACCTCTTTTGTTGTCACTTCTAGAATTACAAACAATCAGGCAGACGAACAGCTGGGCAGACGAAGGGAAACAAGCAAGCAAATAAGCTTTGATCAAAACAGTACCGTTGTGGCTTTTGCCATATGTACTATACATAGCAATTTAAACAAATATTTAAATAGGTACGTATTTTTCATTTTTTTGTTGTAATTTTTTTCTAGGACATTGACTTTTTCCAGCACCTTGAAATGCACTTGCGCGCTGAGCAGCCGTCCCTGTGTGGCCGCGATCATCTGTCGTACAGATCTTACTACATGCCAGTCAAGGTTGGTGGCCGTTTATAAAAAGCCTACCTTTCAACGGTCTCAAGGTCATATAATCATTCCAAGTTAATTGCGATTATATCAGAATGAGCGCTTCTCAATTAAGTGTCGTAAAACCAAGCCAGAAGTGAACAGTCGATAAATGAAAGAAAACAAACTTAACTTAACTTAACTTAAACTTGCTTCAAGCGTAGGAAAATGCGAGTTAAAACTCTCTATTGATTTAATTTATACATTTTGCTTTCGGTTAGAGGGGAGGGGAGGGCGATGCGAATTCTTTTAACCAAGCAAAAAGTGTAACAAAATAGAAACGGTCATTCCTCGGATTACTTTGGGGACTCAGTTGAAAATTGCACCTTCGTTTTATTTAAATTTTTTTCTTACTTGCGTTTCCGGTATCAGTAATGTTGGAAAATTTGCATGTGGCTATGAGGTGGGATTTGTGTATTTTTGGATTTTTACAGATGCACGTGTTTTCTATCATTTTTGTATTACAGAGCGTGATTGATGGAGATCTCTGTGAATTTTTTAATTCTTTGGATTCTTCTAAACGACGCAACATTGCCGAAGAACTCGATCGTACACCAGCCGAGGTATTTTCAAAGCAATATTTGCCTAAAACTCTGTCCGAAAAAGAGACAGGTGTTATGCTGAATTCTTGGCCTTTAAAGGAAACTTAAAATCTGTCTACTGAACACAGCTATTGTTAATGAAGTGAACATGACGATGAGCAATAAATAAACATGCGGTTTTTTGCTTAGGTGTCCAAGAAGCTTGAAGATTTGAGAACACGTTACGCTTTTTAGGAGTGGAAAGGAAAACCAGCAATCTTACGACGGAGATTGATTTTTGTAGCAGCTACAAGCGGAAATCGGTAGTTTTTGGAGACGTTTGGCGAGACACGATGTTCTTTAAAATTGTCTTCTTTCACTTTTGTATTTAAAACGAGTCATATGCAGTGAACATGTATTTTTTAGTGAGCTCATTCAAGATCCAAGCCGCTTTACGAACTACTCCTTGTATGATTGAATAGTAGCTGTAGAAATATTTGTTTGTAACCCTGCCTTGATGTAATGTACATTGTTCATTTTAGCACTAAATTGATTTTGTTAAATTTTGTCCAGACTGCTTGATCTCAATTGCTCTTTTCCGAAGCAAAGATGCCATCAAAGTAACAGGTAGAAACTTTGCATACTCGTGATTATACCTGTGTACACTATGAAAAAAAGAGATTAAGTTTAAACGTCTGTCAGTCGTGTTATTCTTCCATCGGTTCCAATTTTTGTGGTTTTTCCCAGCTTTTCCCCCCATTAATTTCGTCCTTTTCTATGAGATACGCGTGCGCCTTTGTTAACCAAAGATTAAACACTTTTAAATCTTGATTCGACAAGCTTGTCTACTTGAATACAAGGATAAAATTTTGCTCCCGGTTTGAAGCCATTTTGCTTCACGTTTTTCACTGTGAATAATTCCCTGTTTGCGCGACCTTCATTTGCTCTATGGGATCCCAGTAAGGCGCACTTTTATTTTCATGCGGTCGAAGCTAGACGCTAGTGAAGGAATTTTAATTCTTAATTTAAAGAGTGAAACGACTTTAAAGCCAAACTTTGTTTGACTTTATCTTGTCACACCTTGACGTTTCAAAAAAACGAAACCTAACTGCACAAAGTAGAGTACAAATAACACTCGATTAGAGTACAAATATCTTGCGATATTGTATGGTTACTTGAACAGTTGGTTATTTTGTAATGTACGAAACCTGTTTAACCAGTCAAATGCGCGCGCGACGCTTCTGTATCCGCTTTGCTTTTCCCGCCTTATGAGAAATGACAGAAATACAGTAGAAGAAAAGTAGTTGGATCATAAATAACTTATTAGACGTTTTGGTATGTATTATCGTTGAGTGTTTTTACTTGTTTTTATTTTGACTCGCTCTACGGCATCGTCAAAATACGGCACAAATCGTGAAAATACTTAGCGATGCTACACACCAAAACGTCTTATATGATGAATATATACCGGGTGCCAATCCTAACACTGCCACTCTAACGTAGGAAGTAAAAGCAACCGTTTCCCTAGCGACAGTTCTTTTTTGCTTTCGGTCGTCTCTTTCACCGAGAGCCTGGGACAGGCTGATTGAGGAAACGATACTAGTCCCCCCGTGCACGGGTTGACCGGGAGGGATGTAGCGTGAGAGAGTGGTCTTTTCAAGTTAAGTTTAGAAGAATTTGCTAATATCTCGTGTCAACACGTGCTCTAACGCTTTTCACTTCACTGCTTGCTTTGCTCCGTGAATTAATTGTTTTCTTGAGAATACAATTAAACTTGTGGGTTAATGTTTGATGAGGCTAATTGCAGAAGCCAATTGCAGTTGATTTGAGTTCACGTCGATTGCAACACGCGTACAGTGAAAGAGCAAGTAATTATAGCTTCATGGACGAAAAGAAGAGTTTTAACGAGAATGGAGCTGCGACGAGACATGAAAACGGCGACAGAAAGGTGAAGTAGCTCTATAGTTGTGTGACTCTTTAACAGCGACATGGTTGTAAGCGCTCTTTTCTACTCACTCGTCACTCGTCTTGAATCTCGTCGTGATATTTTCGAAAAATGTGAGATTTTGATAGGGTTCAACCCGCATATGGTACACTAGAACTAATATGCAAAGGTTATAGTATTCAGTCCAAAGGCATAAAGGTTTACTCAGGGCTTTGGCTGCCCGGATCTAAAGCGCGATTTCGTAATGCTTCGATTGTATTTTGGAAATTACTACTTCGATGAGTACACAACGTCGCGAAGTCGCAAAGCGCGCGGAAATGGCACCAAAAAGCTAATTTGTTCTTACAGTTATTTACTTCATTGAGTTAATCTGTCGACAGGCGATAACTTTCTCAACGCTTCGTTATTTTAAAGTAAAGATTCCGAGGTAGTCAGTCATTTCTTATTGGTACGTTCTTCTTATATAAACAACGTGTTAGCTTTTGCATTGTAGCTCAAATTACAGCTAAAATTATGAATCTCGAAGGATTAGCAATGCCGTACAATGGGTTTATATTACATAGATGCATGCTGTTTGGATTTGAAAATATGTCAGAAAACGAACAATGTGAACGGCGGATTGCAGCAAAAAATGCACTTTATGAATTTTTCTCGGTAGGATGTTTTGTTTCGACTTTAAGCGCTTTGTTTTACTTTCGTAGAAAGCTTCTTACCTCATTTTCCGTATTTAGGTTCAGTGCGTCTTTTTACTTTTTTGTGCTGTCTCATTTCACGTCAACGTTCACTCAGAAATGATTCTTTTGTCTCGTTAATGATACTCCAAATCACGAGGACCGTTCACCGTTTATTGTTTCATTTTTCTCGTGTTTATCAGTGCCTTTTTATATGCTAACTGCACCACGATATAATCTTTATTTACGCAGATGCATTTTCAAAACAATTTTTTCCGCACGATATGTTGTACCATATTCCCGATTGAGACAGACCTTTTTGAATCTGAATTTTTCTGGTAAATATGTTTAAGACAACTCGATACGAATTGTCTGAATAATGAAAACTAAACTTTTTGACTTTAAGTGAGGCTTTGCAACGTTTGAACCATTTTATCGACCGGTAGATATAATTTTTTCTTGTTGTTATGTCTTAGAAGTACTGCTCGATGGCTAATTTTGTCTTAAATGCACAACCTGAAAATTTTCAGAGTTTAACAAGCATGCTTTACAATTCGTATCTTAAATCTTGATATGTGATGAAAATGTTTTGAGTAAAACTTTTCGTTTCGTCACCCTGGTGATAAGTTATTTAAATGTACTTGTTTCATTAGAATTTAGTTTGTAAGGGAGAAAAATGACCTGTAAGGGTTTAGTGTGCTCTTTCTTTCTCGTTTGCGAATTTTGATTTAGAGAAAACAAGTGATTTATACGTTAGCTGCGCGTTCATCGAGATAAGAAGCACTTGGGAGTGTTAAGACTCTTTGCAAGCTTAAATTGCTCTCGGCTACGTCCCGATAATGTAAACGATGGACATTATTGATTAAAAGCGGCGAAATTAGCTGTAGAGTTAACGATAATTCGCATTTTCAAGCGTGTACTGCGATTTAAATCTTAAACCTTAATTTGTTATAAAGTGAAAGTGATTCATGTTGGTCATGTTGTGGATCATATTTGCTCAGCGTTCATCGAGAAAACAAGCACTTGGGTAGTATTAAGAGCTCTCTTGAAGATAGAATGGCTCTCGGCTACACCTCGAGCAGCCTTTATTTGTCAATTGTAAAGAATATTTAGAAACAATATGAATTTATACCCTTAAAGCGACATAAATAGCTTTGAAGTTAACTATACTTTGATTCCCAAACGCAACACGAATTCAAGCTGGTAAGTGAAAAACGCATCTTCCTGACTTTGTAGTTAGGTGTGGACCTGTTTTAAACCGTTAACGGTTACTTTTGTGTCCTAAATGTATTGTCTGTTGGTGATTTTGTTTTAAAGTCCTACAGCTTCCAGAATTTTCGACTAAACGCAACAAAATATACTGAGGGCGAATTTAGTAACCAATGATGTAAGCTGACGAATCTCTTGAGCCCAACTGCAAAGAAGGTCTCAATGGGCTGATGGCCTTTACAGCTAACGGTTAAATTTTGGCCATCGTACGGCTAACGGTTAATTCATTTCCGTTGTGATTACAGGAGAAAATTTTTAAGGTTAATGTTTTTGTACGAATAAAAGTTAAAATCTGTTAATTAATACAGCTAAAGAGCTCTTTTGAAGTTAGAATGGCTCTCGGCTACACCTCGAGCAACTTTTAACAATGAATTGTCAAGATATTTGTAAAAATATTCATTTGGGCAACTTTTTGAGTCAATTGTCAAGATATTTAGATACAATACGCATTTAACCCCTTAAAGCGATATTAATAGCTTTGAAGTTAACTATATCCCAAACGCGATACAAATTCAGGCTGGTAAGTGAAAAACGTATTTTCCTGACTTTGTAGTTTTTTTTAAAACCGCAAGTGGTTACTTTTGTGTCCTAAATGTATTGTCTGTTGGTGATTTTGTTTTAAAGTCCTACAGCCTCCAGAATTTTCGACCAAACGCAGCAAGATTTACTGGGGGCGAATATAGTAAACAATGATTTAAGCTGACGAATCTTTAGTGCCCAACTGCAAAGAGGGTCTCTATGGGCTGATGGCCTTTACAGCTAACGGTTAAAATTTTGGCCATTCTACGGCTCTGAAAAGGAACTACGCAAATGATAACCAATCTGAATCGCAAAGGAATAGCACGGAGTGATGGGTGGATAGCAGAATGACTTGCTACCGTGAGACATCAAACACTTGCGGTTTCTTTCAGTACACAATCTATCGTGACTAAACAAAAGTGATAAAAGTGTAGAGGGCGCGATATAAATAATGATTAAAGGAAATGTGGCTTTAACTAAAGACCTCCTTCTTCAATAATGAATGATTTTTAAGAGATGTTTGGAAAATATATTGGTTTGAGATTATTGATCATTGTCTTGGGAAGCTTGTAAAGTACGTGCGAAGCTATAGGACGTGCGAAGCTTCATTTGCCCTCGGCTACCCCTCAAGCAATTCTCACGCTTCTTACGTGCTCTCCAAATTTCATATCTCGATGAACGAACGCTGATGCAATTGTAAATTAAAAAAGGGCGGAAGACGAGGTTGAAAGCATGGCCCATGGAAATTCTAGGTTGCCTCCTCCTTGGCCCAAGTAAAGCTCTTAATTGTTCATCCGATGATCAGGAAGCAGTGTTATTTCCTGCGCCCGAACTTTCATTTTAGAAAGACTAAAACTCAGTCTTCAGAAGGGAAATTTAAGTGATGAAAATGAAAAGAAGACGTAAGTTTCAGCATAAGTAAACCTTATTTGTATTGGGAAATTCCTCTTTTTCAAATTTCTATCTTAGCAAGAGGTGTAATTTCATGAATTGTAAAGTTTAAGGGAAAAAAAGAAATGGAGAGGGAAAGCCGTGAGCGCCAGAACGCGGTATATTTTGTCTGTTCCTTCCGCACGTCGCCTCAATATGGGCCTTGCTTCAGTTGTGCCTGAATTTTTTATATATTTATATATTAATTAACTTATTGAATAGCGAGACACGAGCCAATTTTCACCGACTCCTCGTTTCGTTTTATGAATTAAACCAGAAAAATTCGGTGCCGGATGCTTCTCACTGATCACAGTATTTCTTCAGTAATGTTAACTTAGGCGATCGTTTAGAATAAATTATTTTGCGAAGTAATTTTTCACTATCTTAATCCACTTTTCGGTTGAAATTTTTCGGGAGTCGACAGCGATGAGTGCTTGAATAACTATGAGCTTCAAAATACA